TCTTTCCTTTACAATTCGGTGAAAACGGACTAAGCTGCTGTAGATTTCTTTTCGAAAATTGTCTCAGACTTAAACTCATTCTCCTCTGATTACTTAAATGGCTTATGTGTGAATATCAAACAGGACCACATGAATCATCAACATAACTTGTAGAAAACATTTCTGAAACTTCATCTTCTGATGAAAGGATTCCTCCATGTGGGCTATGTTGACAGAACTCAGAAGTGGAAATGGTCACACTACCGGAACATTTGAATTTAGAAGGCATCGCATGTATCCATCTTATTCTCACATATCGTTGTGTATAATGAAAACCTTGTTCATAATAATTTTTTTCACAAGAACTGTGAGTTTGTGTAATCTACCTCATTGCTTCTAACTTATTCATCAGGTTGTTTCTCAATACTATTGTGCAGACGAAGTTCAGAAGTGTGCCATCGAAGCTGAAGATAATGAGAGCATCGTTCAAAACTTGAAAGAAGAAGCATTCCGTAAATGCTTCAAGCGTCCTGCGTTCGTCGGCTGTGCCTAAGAAAACATTTGACGTTATTTATTCCAGATGCCATGAGGAAAAGAAGGTTTTCGACCGTTGCTACAAGTCGGCAATCCGATCGTTGCGAGGCTCAGTGAGAGATTCTGCAAATGAGAGTAAGCAAATAGCACTCTTCTTTTAATGAAAACATTGAAGAAGCAGGTCAAGAGATGTTTTCCGTTTCCATGATGAACTACAGATCATCAGCCGATCGTTGTTTCCTCAATTCTCCATTTGTTCCTCAACGACGACGTTTCGGGCCAGTCATATTGGATGGTAAATATCAGGGGTTTCCATACAATTTTTCTCATTGTCAGAGGATATCGTTTACGCCAGGATACTTCTCAGTGGAGAACTGGCAGATAGACTATGGGGACTTCCTGAATTGGGAAGAACTCGGCCCAGTTTAGATACAGCAGCTATTTGTCGAACTAAAGTAAAACTAAAACATTTAACACCATCAACTTCTCTTCGATTCAGGAAGAGTCCCGCGTTTTCGGAGGTGGTATAAGCAGACTGTTCCACACTGGAGATCCAAAGATGTACCTCATATGTAGTTATTCAATACTGGAAAATATCATTTCAGAAATAACTTGACAACTTCGTGTTTATTAGAAGACTCTGAACTTCTCTGTTATCGTCAATTTCTTGATAACAATGCTGAGTTTTTACAAGCAATTTTCCAACGAGACTACATGTTCAGAACATGCTTGGCTAGGTTAGTCCTATGACGTAAATACATAGTCTCACAGAGTAGAGTTTCAGAGTTCGGACCGAAACTCCATGTAGGAACAACGATCATTCAAGACTCCGGACATGCATCTGCAACGTTCGCGAACGATTAGATCATGACTTACAGGTGATTACCAAACTTCATAGCTAGTTCAAACGAGTCTTCTCAGATGGATTTGCTGGACTGCGTGCGAAGAACATCTATTCATAACATAGGTGAGCTAGCTATCCTCACCTCATTGCTTCTGAATTTTCAGAAGCCGTACATGACTCCGATACGAAGAAAGTAGTCTTGGACATTCCTAAACCAAAGATCTCAAAAGCACCAACAAGTCATTTAACCCCAGGTTCATTTCTTTGTATGCTGCCGTCTAATCTCTCTTTCTCGTTTTGCAGGTTTCATGGTTAATGGTAACTGCATGTGTAACCCTGATTCCAGCCTGAAATCATCAGAGAATGTCATGATTTCATCAGACCTGAAAATTGAAACGACATCTTCGGATGGACTGATAAGATTTCGAGAAGTAAAAAAAATAATAAATGAAAGTCTAGTTTGATAACATTCAGGACTCGCCAAGGCTGATGCAACCATCAGATGCTCATTCACATCTCGATTGGAGTAGCAGAGATCACTGACATAATTTCTTCGAAAAAATCAAAACAATAAAAGCGTCATAATCTATATCCGCTTTAGTAATAAACCATTCTGTCAATATCATGTGACTCGCCCAATGTACTATGCGCTGATTGCATTGTTTGTTGTCGTTTATGGGCACAATTCCAAGACGGTATACACATGGTAACATCCTGGAACAAACTATTTTCCAAGTAATCAGTTGAGTGAGCAAGGTTGGCTCGATCAATCGGGCGAAGCAAACTACATATAGTTATAGAATCTTTTATTTCTCTTCACCTAATGAAAACGTTATATACGAATGCTCGGAAACAATGAAGGTAAAGCATCTCTGAGAGTTACATGAGGAGGGAGACCTGTACAAGCAATTGAACTTAACAAAATATTATTATTTCATAAGTCTGTAGTGTGGGAAATTCGTTTAAAATGCCTTATTGTTGATGAAAGAATCAAGAATATGATAAGCAACAGCAGGCTTATCGCTTGGAACCATGTGGCCGGCACCCTAGAAATAAACATTTTGAAAGCACACAATTGTTCTTTCGCTTACGCGGACAGTCACAAAGTGCAAAAGACCATATTGGGTATGATAACCACCGATTTGTCCTCCGACATTGTAGTGTTTCTTGCCTTTGCTGACCTGCAAACAGAGAATCTTCTAACTAGGATCATTTTCAGAACTTACGTTGAATCCGAGTTTGCGAGAGAATCTTTGACCCATCAAGAAGTTGCAAGCCATATCAACATCTCCACTGTATAACATAACTGAAGCAAGAAATATGAGGGATTACTTACTATGGATTATACCTTTGATTCCACTAGTAATAGCTCTGACGAAGATGGAGCTGGTATCAGGGGTTTCTCTGGTGTATGTCTGACTGATCTGATTACTGAAAATAAAGAGGTGAAGAGGTGATTCATTTCAAAAGGGTGATGTGTGTCTATAATCCATCTCTATCCGTTGAAGTTTGAAACTCGAAAAGTTGAAATCAAAACATCACCTGCAGATATCCCAACGTCCAATTGATGTTGGAACTCCCAAGGCTTTTCTAACATCTTGACGGTTCAAGTAAGTGGTAACAGCGGTTTCGTTCAAGCATGGAACACTCGAAAGCTGAAAAGCTAAGAAGTTTAGGAGAAGGACTGAAAGAATGTTTCACTTGTGAAGTAACAACATCCTTTCCAGTTTGTTGACGATAATCAGCAGCAAAACGAAGTGGAACAGGCTGAGAAGAAGCAGATTGAACACAGTTATCGTACATATTGTAAGGATTCAATCCACTACTCCATGCCAGGGTTGTTTCCTGTTGGGCAAATTCATTACAGAAGTTCAATCCACTGAAGTTATGGAATTGGCAATCATCGATATCGTTATTACAGCATTGTGAGCGAACTTTCTTCCATTTTCTGAAAAGAGCTTATCATATAAGATCCATAAAATAAACAAAATGTACTTACGTATCATCGATAAGACCATGTCCGTACATGAATTCGATTAAGGAGTCGGTGTTTTCTGGGAATGAGACGCAGCCATTACCAACAGCGAATCCCTGTAATTCATTTTAAGTTTTCAATCTCTATGAACTTCCTGTACCTTCAAGTTCATCTTGAATTGATTTTGTCTGTCCATGATGGTTCTAACCAAAGTTGGTACATAGATACCTGAACTTACGAAAATAAGCAAAATCCCTTTCACGCTTCTCGTTGCAAAATCTCTTTCTATCCTCTCCCTCCTCAATGACCAGTCATTTCCATTTCATTTCATCAATGAATGGGACCGGTCGGTCCTCTATTCATTTCGCTTCAATAAGAATGACAGAACGGTTGCCTTCCTTCACTCTCAATCAGAAAAATGAATAAGTAACGGCCATTTTTTTTCTTTTAATAACTCGATTGTGGCAATTACCTCCGTAGCTTTCTCCTGTTACGTAGAAGTCGTTGTTCTTGTATTGTGGGAAGGTATTGAAGAAAGCAACGAGAGCCTCCCAGTTTTCACTGGCGGTCTGTATATTTGAAAATAGAAATAACAATTTTGTATCAAAACTAACCTGATTATCTCCAGTCTGGACATTTCCGTCAGTGGAATACGAGTATCCAACACCGGCTGGGGCTTCAAGAGTGAGGATAGAGGCTTTTTGATTCCAAGAATAAGGGTTGAGTCTCAAAGTGGCTCCATCATCGTTGGCCTTTAAAGGTAAAAACAACTTTGGTGAAAAAGAGAAAAAGATCTTACGAGGAAAGGTCCCCACTCAGTAAGAATGGCTGATAAACCAGAACATCCAGGTCCTCCAGTCAACCAAATAAGGACTGGATCAGTGGCAGGGTTACTTTGAGATTCAATGAACCAATAATGAAGCTGATGGTTCTTATTTTGTCCTACTCCGAAGTAGCCAGCATATTGCTTGAAGTTGACGGCAGGAGCACCGGGCAACTGATTGATTAAAGCGGCTTGGCTGAAAAGGAAAAACTCTTTTCTCGTTTTATTCAGTTTGAACTATGTTTTGAACTACAAACAACAGACCTCAAAGCTAAGAAGCCGAGCAAGAGAGTAAATCGCATCATTACAGCTCACCGATTGCAACTGAATTATCAGGGCGTTAACAATCCTCATTTTATAGAGCATTGATAAGCATCCAATCGTCTGAAAGTACGTAATCAATTAAACAATTAAACTTATTCTTCCAATGGACATTGCAGTTTGTAAACTATTCATATTCAACCTCAGATCAAAAGATGAAAAGTAAGGGCATCGACTGCAGGCTGTAAACGTTGATCAGTACACTTGAGTGAACAGTGGAAGGCAGCTTTTGAACTTTCTGTTCTGCACTCATGAACTTTGTGGTTTAGTCTACATAGTACACGTTCGACTTTTCAACGATTCTTCCTAATCTCTTTGTTCTTCTCCTTCGATAGGAACATCTCGAACAAAGAGCATCCAGCTTCATTCGTGGCTCTACTTGGGTGCAGTCTGGAAAAGATTTTTAACTTTCAGTTCACACCGAAATCTGACTCATCCATGTTTAATAGAGCGATGGCCCTGAAGTAAAGGAAGAAGAAGAAGAAGAAGAGCGTCATGATCCTGTTCTGACGTCAAAAACAAGTCTGAAGGAAGGCGCTGTAGGATTTCTCTCCGCAAACCCCAAGTCACATCTACATAAACTGAATCAATTGCATATAAATATGCCTTCCAAGCGTCTTTTCCTTTTTATTTCTTTCTGTTTTCATGAACTACTTTGATTTATTCTTTTTACAGAATATGAAGCTTCTCATGGTTGTACCGAAACACGAGTGGAATAATGAAGATTATGATCCCGCACTTGATTCTCAGAAAAAAGAGAATCAGAAGGAGAACGTTGAAATCCTCAAAAAGCCCAGTAAAAGTAAGGAGTTGGTTGAGCCAATCGTCAAGACTCTGAAGCAGATCGTTGAAGAAACCATTGAAAAGTTAGTTCTTTATCAATTATAAACTCAACCAATCCTTTTAAGGAAGAAAGAGAGCTGTTGCTTAAACCCCAAGAAATGCTGTATCCTCTCCGGCAAAGTTCACAAAGTTATTCCTCCATGTGTGAAGAAGACTGTTCGTCGTCTCGCTTTAAATTAATAAATCATTTCATTATGCTACTATTATCTTAAAAGAAATATTTATTTTTAATTATTATGAGAATCCTTCCACGTGTGTAAGAAGGGCTGGGAAGATGGCGAATCTAACGTCTGTACTGCTCGAAGATTTTCTTTGATCAATGTAGATCCCGAAACCTGCTGTTTCTTCTGCATGGCTTTTCTCTTCTCTCGGTAAACATGACGAAGAAGCTTTTGAACCAAATCCTTAAACGTTTAAGAGTCAGTAAGACTATAGTCGTCATAGCCTCTCCAACCTTTAGGACACTCACTTCCAAATCCAAACGTTGAACATCATTTTCCAATTTGGGAATTATCATATCCATATTCTTGGTGACACTTGTGTTTTCTAAAAAAAGGGATTTGAAGGATAAGTTCTTGAGATAAACCTTGTTGAATCTTGTTCTCTCCACGATCAATGACGTCATTTGTACTAGATAATAGGGCCAATGGTGGTAAAGTTTGCGCCTTCAAATTCTTTAGATCGAGAATTATAAAAGGGGAAAGAAACGAACTTCAACCTCAGGCGTTTCATTATTCATAACAATCGCATGAGACATGGTGATTATAGGATCCAATCCAAATGACGGCATCTTCGACGGCATTGGCGAACCCAACGGAATGCCTTTACAAGCAGTTTTTAACAAAACCATACAATCAAGTTACCACTGTCCTCCTTGAACTGAATGGCTTTCGGAGGAAAAAGAGATTTTGTTATTTCCAAATCTTTTGATGTGATTTCATCTGTTTTGTAGGAGACATCGGAAGGCTATGGTCATGATATTCAAAGAAAGAAAAAGGATTAAAGAACCTTGAGATATGTGGAAGTCATGTGTCCGTCAGGTTTTGATAGAGGAGTCTTCGATTTCAGCTGATTCTTCAAAAAAAACTCCTAATCAATGAATGTGATTCAACTATACCTTCTCCAACTGAGCTTTTGGGATCTGTAACTCATTATCTGTTCGGATGTCTATGATCTCATCATACAGTGTATCTGTCCGATCGTTGTTGGGAATCTCATACAAAGGAGGTTGCACAGTGATAGGGAAAAACAAATCTCCGATACGAACCTGAGCTCGAACTGCAAACATCTGGTTAAAAAGGAATAGGGAGTTTTTAAAAGTACCTGAGGATAAGATCCAAATGAAGCACAGAGTTTTACAGTCAACCATAAGGAATGAAAATATGAGAACAGAAGAAGAAGAAGAAGAAGACGACGACGACGACGACGTCGTTCCTTTCACAGAAGTTCCCAATGCAGGTCAAATAATTTGAATACGAAAAGAACAAAAGTGATCACCAAGTGAGGTAAAGGAAAATCACTTTCAATGACAACAAATGGACGTCAACGATCAACAGAATGTGAACTCAAATCACTCAATTCCTCTTTAGCCAAACATCCAAAAATTAATAAATAAAGATATAATTGACTAAGAGAACGTGTTCTTACTCGCTGTTTCTCTCTACTTTCTCAATTGAGAGTAAAATTGTGACGTCCGCTGGACGTAAAAGCTTCTTCTTCGTCGTCGACGTCTCCCATTTTCTCCTCATTGTCGTCGTCTGCATTCATTCGCATCTATAATGAAGATGGTATGGAGAGACAGTGGAAAGCAGTTGTGTTTATACAATCGCCAGCTGTAAATGAACCTTATAACTAGCCAGAAACAAAATCTCTGGACAAAGGTCATCAACCATGTTGTTATGTATGACAAGAATGATTGTTTTGAAATATATATGTATGTGTGTCGTGTGCAATATAATGTCTGTGTGATTACGTACATGTTGAGTGATGTTGAGGTTATGAGGAAGCCTTTCAAAACAAATAAATGATTTTATTCAATTGAAATGTCCTTTTTCCAGAAAGAAACATATGCATTCAAATGAAAATAACGACAAAAGGCCTTGATTGAGATTTCCTGAGCAAATGATGTTGAGAAGACCACAATGTTATTTTTCGAAAAATATACAAAGAAGGAAGTGCTTCTTCTATAGTAAACTAGAAGTTATTGCTTTTTCATTGAAAAAGGTAAACGAAGAAGGAGAAACCCAGTGAAACGGTTATCAGATGTAACAAGTAAACAGAGAGAGAGAGAGACAGAGAAGAGAGAGAGAGAGAGAGAGAGAGAGAGAGAGAGAAACAGAGAGAGAGAGAGAGAGAGAATAACAACCATATATTTAATAATTTAATTATTTTTTGTTTCTAAAAGGAAAGATAACCGTATGAATGTAATACTGTTTTCAGGTAATACAGTAAAGATATGTTAACTAATTGATGAAACAAAAGAGTTTTGAATCAATTAGATTTCCTATCTCATTTGCATATTTACATAATAAGTTAAAGGAGGAACAACACAACCGCTCTGTACGCTTTCATCTATTAAAATGAAAAAAAATTTGCGAATCCCACGTACATCACGGCCGCGTATGTAAAAGAGAGAGTTGGAACCGTAGAAAAAGCCGATGAAATAACAAAGTGACCATATTTGAGCATTCCTCTTAAAAAGGAGGAAAACGGGCAACTTTCAACTACTTTTAGAATCCAGCAGCTGTTTGTTTCATAACGTGCCTAATAGCTTCTTCTAAATCAGTAAATACCCGACATTGTCGTCTTTTTGCCATATCCTATAAGAGAGATTGGTTAGAAAGAGAAAGGGAAAGATGGTCATGGACATACCTTCAAGTAACAGAAAGCTATTTGATAACAATCATTCCTTCGCCGCCGGGCAGCTCGAGATACTTCGTCTTCATGTTGAGTGGAACCAAATTCTAACGTCTGTGATTCACGAGGCACACAGACTGTCACTTGCCATGAAGAGTGTCCTAGCATATAAGCAATCTACAACAGAGTTCATGATGAGTGAGAGGACTTTGTGTTCCTGTTTACCTCAACCATCCCGGAAAGGAATGTTTTCGTGGAAGGAATATGATAGAAGAAGTGCTTGAAGTTTCTGGACCAAGCTTTTAAACAATTCATCCTAATTTCAGGTAAGAGTCCAGGCATGGATAAGCCACTTGAGTAAGGAATGGATTGTCCGCTGAAATGAGTTTGTAAGCGAACGTCTTGACCAAAGGAAATCTTACTCCATCTGAGGAACAGCTTCTTTTGAAATCCAATCAATTTCATCCATTGAACTACAAACCAGCTCGATGCAATTGATGTTCTGCAACTACGGATGAGATTCTTCTCAAACATCATGATAAGCTTACTTCGATTGTTTTAAGCTTTCCATTCGTTAGACTGTTGTTACACAAATTCTCAGGAGTACTGAAGGCATTCGATCCATCTTCAACCATCAATTCATCACAAAACCGTTTAGCTTTGACTGCAAATTTAAAATTTATAAGAGCGAAGCATAGATTCCCTTCTCAGTTTTTGAAATCAAACACACACACACACTTCAATCAGTCATTGCGGTTTGTGAGTAATCCCTCCCAATTGATAACTTTATCAACTTTATCTTTTTTAATCTTTGGAATCATTAGAGAACCAAAATAGAACACTTTTTCTGTTTCCTTCTATTCACCTGTTGAGTGTTTAGATGTCTTGGGGTTGAGAGGAGTTGTCACGGTTGCCATACGAGGTGATGGGATCGCTGCTGAGTGTCTATGAGGGAAGTATGTTGAATCTACTATTCCTCGAGGTCTCATTGATCTGCAGTAGAAGTGTAAGTTGAAAGCTTTGATATACAGTATGCTCACCGATAGTGTTGCCACCTATTAATTGATATGATTATAACGACATTTATGATGAATAAGGGAATTATCACAAATAGGAGAGGCATACTTGGCGCTATCAGTTGACAAGTCAAAAGAATTATCTGAATTATCTCAATTTACTCTCTTAACCATGCTCTAATGGCATACCGTATCTATAGTACCGGCTACTCCGGCTTTAGAAGCGACTGTTCGTACACGCCCCCAAGCAGCACGTGCATGTTCGTGGGCTGCTCGAGCTGCTCGACGCGTACGCAATGAGAGATAAGCTAAGCGTTGACAAGGCACATTCAGAACTTCTGTCCATTTCTTGTTTCCGATTATCTCATCTTCGATGTAATTCAAAGCATCCTGCACATGTTCATAGATCATAACCATTCCTTCTCATTTTATGAGCCATACCTGTATACTATGCAACATGGGAACATCATGTGCATCCAATATTCTGTCCAACAACTGGCATGTTCTATTACGATCCGGTACATCATCCGGATGTGCTTTAGCCTTCCATTCCGTTTTTCCAAGAAAAACTACGACAAGTTTGGGTGATTTCCTCGCAGCAAAATAGGCGATTTCCAAAAAAGATGTAGCATTAACAGTTGCCGGATCGATGACGAAGAGGAAGAGTGATGAATTCTGAAACATCAAATCTATTCTTCTGTCGTTTAGTACACCTTATTGCAAATTATTTCTTTCTTAAATGGGTCTAAAAAAGAAAATGGTCTTTTGTTCCTCAAATGCTCATATAACGTCATGGAGAGAATCTTATTGGGCAGCTTTTGAATAAACAAACAGCTTTTTTGCCTCAGGGAGTTCCATGGTTAGCTATGCAAGAACAACGAATGAAGTCACCAAACGAAGAAAACGTTATTGTTCTCGTAAAACTTGGATGAATAAGGAGAAGCAAGCTGCTTTATAAATTTGCAAAAAGGAAACACAATTCAGTCATTTCAGAGATTTGTGTTGATGATGTCAGACTAGTATAGTCAGTATAATTAATTTAATAAAGTTATTCCGATATATAGATATCTCCCATTTAATCACTTTCATCCCCTCTTATTCTAATTACATTTGCTCGGCCGTTCACGTGGGCGATACGTGGAAATCAAAGTTTATTTTTGAAAGGGTGCAATGCATAGAGCGGTTGTGTATATGTGTTTTCGTCTTCCTCCATTCATTCAGCTTGCATAATCATTCGCCGTTTATGATATCACTCAATTTAAAATAATATTTTGTGTTTTTGATTACGAAACCATCTCTAAAATATAAAAAAAGGTTGATATTTGAAAAGAATGTATGGAAGAGAGTGAGTGGAATAACTTCTCCAATGGGAATAGGATGATGTCATTCAGCAGCTTGCACACATAACCCTCTTTCGCTCTTCCTCTATCTCCCTCACTCCCTCTTTGCCTCTCTCACTATCTTTTCCTCTCTTTAAACGAGTCGTTTTCCTTGAAATGGTGAGTAAAAGAAGACAAGTGATGAGGAAAGAAATGAGAAAGATTCTATTGAAATCGGAGAGTAAATACGAAACGGAAAGGATGAAAGCAAAGTTTGAAAAGGGCACAGATAGATGTAAGCTCAGCTTATAAGGACAATTACAAGGAAAGTAAAACCAAATGAGCGAAATCTGTCTGAAGTAGGGTAAGAGTGTCTACTCTGATGTTTCTGGATGGTATTCAAAGAGAGGCTTGTTATGTCCAAAAAAAGACCTTCTCTCTAACATAGAGCAAATTGGTTGCCTTCTAACTCACTGAGGCGTCCCCCCCCTCATCTCTCCCGTGCGAAAGATTGCGAGTGATGTTATCTGACATCATCAGTCTCGTTATGAAAGGAATGAAAAAACGTGAGAAGAATATTCCCAGAATTCATTTACATTTCCCGTTCAAACAAAAACTTTTTCCTAATCATTACGAAGGAGGAGAATGACGGAGTGAATGGAGAGATAGAGAATGAGAAGGTGAGATTGAGAGAGTAAGACACGATTACTCTTCAAAGGTTTCTATAAATGGTAAAGCTTAAAATAGAAAACTGCAAGGAGGTAGAGGATGACGTCATGAATAAGTTGTATTCAGGTTTCCCACTCTCTTCGTTGAATATTATTCGTGACACATCCGCAAATCTAACTATGAATTCTGGTATGACAACCTGTCTTCTTCTCAGATGATGTCATATATTACAAATTTTCTTTTAATTTCTTCTTCTTCATTAAAATTTATTTTTTTGTAACAAAACGGATAATTGAAGCAAAATAACAGAATGAGAGGAGAAGAGAGAGAGTTCGAAGACTTCATTATCACTCATTTGAAGAGTTAGAAAGAAGATAAAAGCCAATTCGTCTTCAATCACGTCATAATCGGAAGACATCTGCACTACTGCTGCTGCCGCATCTCTCTTCTTCCCTCACTCACTCTCTATCTCTCTATCTAAACCTCTCTCAATCATTTACAAGAGTTTTTCATTTCCGCACTCTCTCTCACTCTCTCTATCTACTTTTCCATAAAACAGAGATCAAATCGAAGAAAAAAAACTGAAGGAAAACTTGGGAATTATCATCAGAATTCGAGTGAATTAATTAATTTCTGGAGATATCCTGCTCTCCCCCCCCCCTTCTCTCCTCATGCAAGGCTGTTGTTCTACTTGTCAACGTTAAGCTTTCAACGGAATTTGATTGGAAATGAATCAAATTTTCACGAATTTCAGTGCTCACAGACAGAACTTCTTAGAAAAGCCAGAAGTTGTCAGAAGTAAAGCAGAATTTTATCGACTGAAAGATGATATTCTACTACGTGAAAGAGAGGACCCGAGGAGAAGGGGATTTAAATTTCGTTTTGTCCATGAGTAACGCACCTCTTTGGCTATGCTTTCCTCATAAATCATATTTTCACTCCAAACACTTCGTTGAGGATCATAATATGATATGCTTCTCTTCTTCAGAAATGGAATAACCAGCTGTCGTCGCCATACCTTCAATAGATGATAGTTGAGGTTAGTTAGTATGAATACTGTAATCTACCGTATTTCCACATGATCCACCTAAAAAGACGTCATAGGCAGGTGTTCTTGTCACTGGATTGGCCTCTTCTACATTCGCAGTACTGGCCACACACTCACACGTCTCCTTCATGAAATTTCCACTACTGAAAGGATGAAAAAATTAAGAAATTTCTCTGATAACACGCTATGGAAGGTTAAAGAGATGAAAACTCTCTGTGTGATGGCACACAAGCTGTGATGTTTGAAACGAAAATACGATTTGATAAGACAAATCTGAGACTTTAGAGGATTATCAACACGAGATTATTCTTCAAAAGTCATATTTCTGCTCAATTGTAAACTTCACACCCTCTCTCTCCCTCTATCCCACCCTCTCTCTCTATATATATATCCCTCTCTCTCTTTAAATCCTTTCTCTCTCTTTCTCTGTTTTGTTCCCTCAAAAAACGATATAAAAAATGAATTTTTTGAATGAAACATGACGTCATAAGACAGCAGAAAAATCTGAGATGAAATGAGAGATCAAATCGGGAGGATGAAGACTTCTTTTATAATACTTTATTTAGCTAATAGATTATTAAACTAATATATTTGATTATTATTAATAAAGAAAACCTCGATAAGTGAGATGGAAAGGGATTTCATTGAGTGAAGTAGGAAGTAGAAAGGGATGGAGGATCGAAGGGAGGGAAGGAGGTAGAGAGAGAGAGAGAGAGAGTGAGGGAAGACAAGGCAGTTCTTTGTTACCAATGAACAACAAATGGAAGAAAACATTATAAAGAAGAACAAACTTAAAGTGCATCGAAAGACGGATTTAGGAAGGTGTCTTCCCTTCATTAAATGTAAAAAAAATATTTTTCCTCTTCCTCTCCATCTACTAAGCTTAAAAGTGAATAGACTGAATGTGTAACGGCTTCGTACTGGTCAGGAAATGACATCATTTGCCGTTTTGCGCACCAATTGCCTGAGGCTTTTGGCGTCTTTTTGATATTTTCAATAAATCCTTTTGAATGGGATTTCCATTCAGAATTTTCGTTCAATTTTCATTCTGACTGACCATTGATGCCTTTCCATGCAACGAAATTAAAATAATTTTCAAAAATAAAACTTTGCCGCCATTTCTCACAATGAAATATTAATGGAGAAGCTTAAGAATAAGCGTTGTTCTTTTGGAATCTTCACGAATCACTAACGCTGCACAATCTAATCTGGGAATTGGAGAAAGAATGAGAAAAGGGTGGGCAGGAGGAGGAGAAGGAGGAGGAGGTAACATCGACTGAGGTTCAGAAAATGAGAAAAAATGAGATAAAAGAAGCAGCATAGACCTAATGATAATGAAAGGACGGCCAAGGGAACGAAAAAACACAACCGCTCATATCTTGTCGTCTTTATTAAATACGAAATGCACGTAAAAAGTCACGTAGAATGTGAAATCCAGCAACAAGATGATGACGTTTGGAAGGAAACGTGAAGAAGAAAGACAGGGAGAGAGTGTGAGAGAGGAAGAGAGATTGAAGTGAACTATGAATAAGAAAGGAGAGAGAGAGTATGAGAGAGAGAGAAAAATAGAGGTTGGAATTTGGATTACATGACATCATCAGATGACCATAAAAGGTAACGACAGTTTCGTCTAACACCTGATTAGGATTGAGAATCACGAGTCCATAGTTGAAAAGGTTAAAAATAAGCTTATAGTTTTTAGAAACAACCGATCAACAATGTGTAAAAATGATGGCGAAGCGCCAAATCAGATAATCGGCATGGAACTTAGGTCGTCAGCACATATTTCACACATTCGTTCAGCTGTTGAAAGAGAAGAGAGAAAGATGAAAACTGGACAGAAAATGGCCATATAAGAGATTATCTAACACGTAAGAACACGTGAGATGACATGTTTACATACACGTACATGACTATTTTAAGTATGGAATGATAAAGTATGAAGACGAAAAAAGAAAGGAAGGAAATGGGTGGGAGGAGTATAGACACGAGAAAGCGGTGAGATCGTTCAAGAATTTTCATAATACTAGAGAAAGAACATGAGATCTTTACTGCGCGAAACATTGGCGGAGACTTCATGCTGAGAAGACAACACACAGATGGGAAAATGGAGCGAATGTTGATGAACGGCTGGAACGAAAATCATGACAATCGCAATTCTTAAAAATTAGAAACCTATGGAAGAATCTGATTAGCAAAATAAAGAAGGAAATAAATGTTTGAATGACGAAAAGAATCGCGCAAAAAAAGAAAAGAGAGAATTGAAAGAGCGAGAGAGAGGGAGTGAGAGAGAGTAGAGAGAGAAAGAGAGAGAGAGGGAAGACAAGCGTTCATACGGGAAGCAAAGCACGTGAGCAGATTGCATATAACCATATGAAGCTTTTTGTTGCTTTCATATCCAGCAGAGTCCTTTATATGGAATATTAGCCGAAGTTTGGAGATTATGAGGTAATAAACAATAGCAACCGATAACAATAGAGGGTGATGGCATAACGATGGAATCATGAAGCTGAGATGTGCTGAGCCAATGAAAATCTGTGAGACGGGCAAAGACGACAACGATAACGAAAGAAAAAAAAACGACGGAAAAACCAATAAGCTTTGATATAAGCTTATAAAATGTAAAACATACAGAGACAGAGAAACAAGCTTCACCACAAAATAGGTTGCCATTCCCGGCTTGCTTATTAGCCACACTTGGATCTGAGTGTGTAGGGTGGGTGGGGACAACGACGTCACTTTTCCATCCCCTTACTCTCATTTTCCTCTCGTCTCTTTTCATGTCTTTCGCCTCTCTTGCTTTTTTCTTTATATTCTCATATTCCTCGTCTTGCATTCTACACAATCAGCCGTCATCGTTCTCCTTCTCTGCATCTCTGCTTCATCAACGATGTTGGCACGTCGACGGCAGACGACGACAAGACTACAAGCAGACATCCAGAGAAGCATAGCTCTCGAAGTCTCATCTCTCGTATTTTTCATATCTTCTCTCAGCTCTCTACCTCTCTCTCTCTGCTTCTCTATCTCTCTACCTCTTTTATATCTTCAACTCTTTCACATTTCAGAGATATTTCTTTCATTTTATTCCTTTTTATCTCTTGAACAACTTGTGAGCATATTATATTTCCATAGAATATGCTTCATTCAACGCTCCACCATGAGATACTTAGAACATCATCATGTCTCCTTTCTTATTTCATCTGATAGCAGCTTTATGTTTCAGACCAGTTATCTGTTATTCTTTCGGAACTAAGCCATTACAAGTCAAATGAGGAGAAGCATTGATCGAAGTTGCACAAGGATGAGCCACCACCAAATGGCGACATCAGATTTCTAATGAAACAATCCGAGTGAACTGGCAGCCAGTCAAGCTTCTATCACAAATCTGATATCATTCAATAACTCTACACCTATGGAGAGAGATTGAGAGAGAGAGAGAAGACATACATACACGCGCATATGGTATGGAAAAGGACTCACGTACTTCTTGGAATAACCATATAAGCTCAGATATATATAGATATTCGCATAATTTGCATAATTAACCAATCAATTATTGATTGGACATTAGAAGAAGACGAAGGAAGCAATGATTGAAAAGATAAATGCAAACTAGTGAAATACTAGAATATACAGATGATGTCATTTGTTTAAATTGTCATCACATATCCCAACAACAAATGGTCGACGACTTCAAGTGATCCAACTTGTCGTTTCCGTCCCGATTTCCATAATTAAACTTTCTTCCAAATAAATTTTGAAGTTTGAAAAGATAAGTTTCATTGGTGAGAGACAAAGCCTCAAAGAACGTCGTGACAAATCACTCACGTAACGTGTATTTCACGTGAGTATCACGTGAAATGTATACACTCTCATATGTCCATTCATTGTTAAGAAATGGTCGTAGAGAACGGTTGTGCATGTATGCTTTCTCATTTCCTCCTCCTCCCTCCCTCACTCCCTCATTCATGTCTCTCTCTCTCCTTCTCTCTCTCTTCCATGTATGTCCCTCTCAAATCTCCAGAAATATAAAAATAGATGTTGTCTATATCTTTTGCAAGAGAGAAGTGATATCATATCCGAATTATATTTTGTAGAAAAGAGAGAATGAGAGAGAAAAAGAAAGAATTCTCTCCGATCAAAGGAAATCCTCCATTAAAAATTGGTAATTTAAAATTATTTTCGTACCTTTTATCTGTTGATTGTTTCCTCTTTTTCCGTGATTCGACACCCTTTAGACGTGCTACAACAGCTCGCGTTCTGTCAACATTCTCTTCACTGAAATCATTAATTATAATAAATATAAATAATAGAACATGATCATCAATAACGCGATGAAGCTTTCAACGAGTATGTGACAGTCTATTAGGTGGAAGGGGGGAAGGGAAGGGAAGGAAGGTAGGTAGGTAGTGTGGAGGAGGAGGCAAGTTGGCAGATAGGAAGCACAGGTAATGGGTGAGGAGGAGGAAGAGGAGCGGTAGCCATGTGTGGGAACTCAAATCACACCTCCAACAAAACATAATCTTCACTGTAACAAAGAGTAAAAACAAAAAGCTAACTTAGATGTGGAAATGGCGCGAATTCAAGTTTGGACGAAACTGCTTTCCAACATCAAAAGCGTTTCTTCCATAATTTGATTCTCACAACATTCTGATGTGATATGATTCTTCAATTCTCGTCCTCAATTCACTTGGCAGTTCGGAGAAAATGAAAGAGGCGGGAAGGAAAGAGACAGTGAGAGGGAAGATGACAGAAAGAGAGAGAGAGAGACTTATGATAAACATGAATAAACGTCTGTCATAAACAAATTTCAGTTGTAGCTTTTGCAGGCTGCTTGTCTTCGCCCAATACTGATTTGAAGCAACAACAACAACAGAAAGCGCATGTTGAAATGGAAAAAAGTCAAAGCAACTTTTGGAGAAGTTAGGTTATGAAAGAGAAGAGAGTGAGACAGATAGATAGAAGGGGGAAGAAAAGAATTTGGAATGAGGAAAGAGGGAACCCCTACTGGAACATTGTGTCAAAGGGGAAAAGCAGGATAGCAAAACCTCAATGATGTCATTTGGCGTCATGTTGTTGGAAGGAACAACATGAGAGAAGGAGTGTACAGAGCATATGTCGTCCATTCTTTTTGCTGGAAAAGCCTGTGACGTAAGCAAGGTATCCTATTTTTGGAAGTAGTAGCCAATAAGGGAAACGTGAGTTTATCGCAATCAGTTAATCACTAACTGCATATTAAGTGACCTAATTGATATAGATGGCTTCTTTCTAGTAATTATGAAGGTAAATTTATGTGAAACTCAAGCGAAACGGATTATTTGCGAAATGAAAACTAATCAGTGACGTCAGTTGAGTTTGGCGTAATTAGGGGATTGTAGGTGAAGCTGGGAGGTGACAGAAAGGAGATGAAAATGGAATACTAATGGATTTGTTGGAAAAATAAGAAGAAGAAGAAGCTGAAGCTGAGGAAGAAGAAGGAGAAGCTGAAGAAGAAACTGCCTCGTAAGCTGAGCTTAATTTGCCATTTTTTAAAGGAATTGCGACTGTTTTGACAAATAGGTTGAGTCATGAAATGAGTTAGAAACATCATTGAATGAGTGACGTCAGTATGCAAATGAGAAATGAAAGATAATATAGGAGAGACGAAGATGTTTTTTTCACTTCCTGATAAGGGGCAGATAAAAAAACATGAGGCTGTTCGTATTCGAGAGGAATCAAAGAAGACAAAGGGGATTTTCGGCTTCATCATACGATGCATGTACTCTGAAGAGTGATGTCATTGGCTGTACTTCTACTGCTCACAATCATATCTATTAAAATCTTCTGCTCATTTTAATCAAATAATAAAAATGAATTTGCATAAATGTACTGAAATGAAGCGTGTGTGTGTGAGATGAGATGAGATGAGATGGCAAATGGATTTTCTGAGAGCAAATAGGAAATGCTTTTTGAGGAAAAAGCAAAAACACAAAGTTACGTGGATGCTCCACGTGAGTAGGAGTTGATAGGTGAGACTTCATTCGAAACATTATGCAAATCAATCAAGCGGTTGTGCTAATTAGCTGTGTGTGTGTCGGTGTGTGCGTGCGTGTGTGTTTATGTAAGATCAATAAGCTTTGGACAGATGTGTTTTTGATAAAGAAGAAGAAGAAGAAAAACATTTGCTTTCTGCTTCAACAAAAAAGAGAAAAGCATTGTTGATGAACATAATTATATTTTTCAAAAGTAAAAAATAAGAAGAAGAAGAAGAAGAAGAAGAAGGAGTAGGAGAAGGAGAGGAGAAGGAGTAGGAGAAGGAGAAGTTCTTGTCTCACTTGGAAATAGAACTTACCAGACATTCGATAAACATCTTGGACTAGCACATCTGGTCATAGTCTTTATGAATATGATCCTCTTTTTACTTTTAAATATATCTCACTTATTGTTACTGATTAGCTGCAACATCTTCATGTTATTTCTTTTCAAGTTACACGAACATATAATGACAACGACAACGACGATCACGAGGATCAGCAATAGAGAATGAAGCTTATTCAAGATCAACACGATGATGATAATGATGATGATGAAGATGAAGACGATGATGATGAGAATGATGAAGATGATGAAGATGATGAAGATGATGATGATGATGATGATGATGATGATGATGATTGCTCAAATATGGTTATAAGCTCAACATGTACGATATGTGAGTCGGTGAAGAACGGCGGATGAAATACAACAAAAAAGCTTTCGAAATAACAGATTTGAACTAAAAGCAACAACATCTATATAAGGTTTGAATGGAAAGACATAAACAAGCCGAACGATGATACCGATGATGTAGAGAGAGTCCAGCAAAGAAGGGAAAATTAAGAAGAGAGACAGAGATAGAGAGGATATAAGAAACAGAAACATGTAGAAAAAGTTTTTCGAATTTCAAATTAGAAAAGTGAAGTTCAATATTCTGAATACGAGAAGCATGATCTATCTCTCTCTCTTTCTCTACCTCTAATTCCTTGTCTCTCTTTTCCTCTAACTCCCTCTCTTTTCTTACTTTTCGATTCGATGGGCTAATGTATGAGCTGTTCACCTGTTTTTTCGCAATTTTATAGCAGACAAACACCTTGGAAACGGACGATTGAGGAAAAGCTGATATAGGAAAAGCTCGGAAACTGAAAGGATTCGTGGGAACGAAAAGAATTCTTGAAGATCGGTCGATGATGTACAAAGATGAGCGTCATATCCCAACTTTCACCGATTTTTTGATTTTCTCTTCAGAGGGAGACAGAGTGAGATTGAAATGAAAAGGACATTTGATCGAGCGAAGAAAGATTTGAACCAATTTTTTGGAAAAAAAAAGGTTTAAATAATTATAGAATTCGACTGAATCTCTTCAATTATGAAAAATTCGAAAAAATTTCTCAAGGGAGACGACAGAGACAGCAACGGAGAGAGAGAAGGGGAAGAGAGGGGAAGAGGTGAATGAGAGTGAATGAAGGCATCATGATCACAGGTTTCATCAATCTGTGTTCAATTTCAAACAAATCGAAGAAATATTCATAGGACTCAGAAGATTCTTTACTTTTTCCAACGTTTAACTGCCATATCAACAGAGTTTGCATTGCAGATTAACCTTCTTTACTCAGCTGAGACAGTCTCACATTCTAATTTTTCGTTTAAGCCCTTCAACCACAGTATCAAAGTGATCGTTGATCATTCGAGCATATTCTTCTTCTTCTTCTTCTTCTCCTTCTTCTTCTATTCTTATTATAATGCATTAGAATAAACAAATAAATACGTGTATGCAAATGATCACGTGATATCACCGTTACGTGATTCTACGTGGACAATCTCATTTGCATTTACAACACACATACACATACATGCAGCTCACAAACGGTTCTTTCTTGTAGAAGTGGAGAAAATAAAAATCGAATCTTACATACTTACATACTTACACCAGAGAAAGAGAGAAAGAGATAGAGAGAGAGAGAGTTGTATATATAGAGAGAGAGTTTGATAGAGAGAGAGAGAGAGAGTGAGATAGGAAATGTGTGTATGTGAGCAGACCTGTCAGGTAGAATAGAAATTCAAACGTTTGTAATCAAAATTACGTCAGATTTTCATAAATTAAATAAGCGACAAGCTTGACCACAAGTGATAACGATTCATATGAGAGGTGTTAAAAATAATCTTGAAATACAGACAGAAGGGCTTATTACTTGTTGGAAGCATCTGTAATGACACTCTCATTGAAGCTTCAGGCTCTTAGGTGTCTCCAATCGTCTTGTTACTCTAACAACTTTCGATAGTTACAACTCTCTCTTTTAAAATAGTTAAAATAGAATAACAAAAGGAAAGTACACAGTTTGACCGGATGGTCTTGTCTGGCTGACAACAAGTGTGACGAAGGCAGGTACAACTACTCTAATTGGAAAAAACGAATTCATGTCTTGTCTTCTTAGTGAGTTAATTGCCGACGGTTAATTCAGATTACTGACGGGCGGACATCCAATTAAGGAGCACGTCAAAGAAGGAACGAATATGGTAAAAAACGAGGCCGATTTTCTAAACAAATTGAGTCGTTTGTGCAATAAGGGTGGGGGGGGAGGTTGAGAGAGAGTGTGGCGATTATTGGCAAAGATTAAAGTGCGCTATAAGGATAAAACTGAGTGGAGGTGGGCCTGCCTGGACGATTGTCAGTATGGTACAAACTAGTTATCTTATGATATCATCTTCTAGTTTTGTACTTGAGAGGAGGAAAAAGGCGGATTTGGAGATACGATCGAATACATTGACTGAAGAAAAGATACAACATAAAATATGAAAAAAAAGGAAGAAGAAGGAAGAAGAGAAGAGAATCTTTATAAATATGAGAAGGAAGAGTATATAATCTTTCTAAGGACAATGATTTATCTCATGGTGAGCAAGCTATATAGAAGGATGAGAGAAAAGGAACATACAGGAGATAGATTAGAGAAAGAGGAAGAGATCTTCGCGTAGCCTATCGAGGAACTGAATCGACTGAACAGAAAATTGTCATTTGAGAACTTTCTATTCAATTATGAAAATTCCATTTTCACTCACTCTCTCTCTCTCTCTCTCTTTACAAAACAAAAGAGAGAAGGCATTTGTGATTGGTGCTGATGATGAAAGACCAAATGATTGGAAGAAGAGCCAGATGAGAGAAGGATGAGAGTCATTTAGACGCAAATCATTGATGTCTGATGTGAATGAGGATATAAAACCTGGTAATCTTTTAAGTAAAAAATGAAAAAATATTGGAAAAATGACTAGAGGATGGCAGATTTGATTGGTTTGTGACCAATAAATGATGTGATTTAGGGAGGACAAACCAGCTATGATCAATCTATCTAAGCCTCAAACACGGAACATCCAATACAGTCGTTTGACCTTAAACTGAGTATAGTTTGCTATATTCAAAAATATAATATTTCAAATAATATTTATAGTTAAGCATACAAACTATAACCTTATAAGGTCATATGATAGGAGAGAAGAGAGTTAGAGAAAGAGCATGAAACTGAGGTAATAGAGAGAGGGAGAGAGGGAGAGAGAGAGAGAGGGAAGAAGATGGCTTTTGGATGTTCGGTTATGAGAAAACAAGAAAATCAGCAATTCTTAATGCTGAATTATGACCATATGTGGACAACAAGAGAGATTAGATGAACGTTGAAAAGTCAAAGAAGAAAAGACAAAGAACTGGTCGACTCGTGAGAGGTGTTACATCTTCACACTCACTCACTAACACATACACACGAAGCTCACTTTCTCATGGAAACAGCCTTTTTTGTAATTCAAGCTTCATCGTAAGCTTTTGAAATTGAACAAAAATAAATAAAAGAAATCTCGATGATAGGTGTGGCTGCGGAAAGATGATTTCAGAATCATCTCGCATAACTTAGAAGCTTAATGGTCAAAAGCAAATCTTGATAGCTCGCGGCCGGTCTAGTACCGAGAAAGAACGACTGGTCTTTCGAGGAAACGGACATACTTAAATTCTTCTTTTTTTTCTATTTCCGTTTTAGCTTTCCATAAATGGAAAGAACCAGCGCTAATTCATCGCAAAACAATCAAAGCAGGTGTTGTTGAAAAGGAAGAGGAAGAGAGCAAATGGCGCAGAGACAAAAATAAAAAAGGAGAAGAAGAAGAAGAAGAACACAGAAAGAAGTTTTTGAAAGAAGGGAAGGCATAGAGTAAGATAGAAAAGGAAGGAACAACCGCTTAGCTCATTCCACCTAGAGAGAGAAACAGAGAGAGAGAGTTTCCATAAGTTGAACAACGATTCTGAACCAAACTTCCCATATCAGAATACTTTGATAAACCACATGGAATGTATTCTTTCGGACAATAAAAGACAGATTGTTTGTCGTTAAATATGAAAACTATAAAGATAGCAACGTCCAAGAAGAAGAAGAAGAAGAAGAAGAAGTTACATTTGATGATACGGATTCAAGAGAATGCACCTCTCATCTGATAGAAGAAACTGGCAACAAGTCCATCCCCCCCCTCTCTCTCTTTCTCTCTCTCTCTCTCTATTCATCCAAATATACATCCAAGACCTATGTGATGCTTGTGTAAGCTTCAAGTAAAAGCACTAGTACGTGAACAAAACGCGCAAAACTTCGACAAAACTGTTCTCCAAACAGTCATCTGATTCAATGAGATCTTCGTTTGTGTAATGATACTTTCTTATTTCTATTTCATTACAAAAGAAATATTTTTTTTCTTTTTTGAAACTCAAGTCAACAAAGCTCTTAATGCGATTCTGTAAAAACACATATCTTACAGTCACATGATCTTTTAATTTACTCTTTTTTCTTCTTTTCCTTCTCAACTTTACAATTTTCTTTTTATAACCATCTCTCCTTCGTTCCTCTTCTATCAATATCAACTATTCCACTCTCACATTAGTAACCTCTCTCTCTCTTTCTCTCTTTCTCTCTCTCTCTTTACTACTCACTAGCAAAGATGCTGCTGCTACTGATGCTATTCACGTCAAAATTCGTACGTGAAAGTACTATAGCGTCTGGCGTCATTTTCATTTTTCATCAAACTCCTCAACGGAACGGTTGTTCTCTCTCTCATCTTCTCCTCATTTTTCCTCTATCTCTAGTATCTACATTCTCTAATCATACTCTTTCTTCCTCTCTCTCTCTCTCTATACCTTCATTACTCTCTCTATCTCTACTCTCTCTTACCTATCTATAAACTATCTCACTTTCTTTACTGACATTCTTCATACATCTAATAATATCATTTTGAGTGCTGAATTCTCACTATCAGCTTCTCTGTTAAGTAACCTTTGTAACCTTTTATCAGCAATGGTTTAACAGGAAATCACAAAATTCCATTTCCCAAATTCTTTCGAGCAATTCATATCGAAGATGCATGGCGTGTGTGTGTGATTGAGACGAAAAGTCTTTTTTCGTTCAATATGAACTCCCAGCTTTTCATATCAACAAAAACATAATTATTATATTTATCGTTGAACGAATGTTGTTCACATATGGTTGAGTACAGAAATTCCAAACAAATTCAATTATTTCATCAGCAGAACATGTCTCCCAATTCCACAAAATGCTTTCCACCAACACCATCTCCCGGTCGCCTCAAACGTTTTTTGTATTCCTCCCCACCCCACCTTTCTCTCTACCTGAGCCACAAATTATGTTAACATTCCTCGTTCTTTCTCTCTCTCTCTCTAGTTACTGTCTAATTTCTCAATTCTCTCTCTCTCTCTCTCACTCTTGATAGTCATTGTTACTTTTCTTTCATTCATTAAAGAATTCATTCGTCCACTTGTTACGTCAAAAATTTCTGTTCCTACTCTCACTTCCACCCCTTTACCACTCCCTTCTCTCTCTCTCTCTCGTTCTCTCTCTCTCCAGATTCTTCTTCAGAATTCTCTACAAAACAAATTTTCGACAATATTTTCAAGTCCATGTTTGCAAATTTGGTGCACACAAGAAAAACGAAAAACTGTCCAAATCCTTTCATCTAATTTACGAGAAACAGGTTGAAGCGCGGGTTAACTTAATGAATTTTTGTTTTTGGCATCACGACAAGAACTATCTCATTCACCAACATTTCTCAGTCAATTCAAGACAAAATTTACTTTGTTCAAGCGAAAGTTTGAAGAAAAAAAATGTTTTTCGCTCATCTTCATTGGCAATGACGTGCTTATAAACGTCAGAGCAACCATTCTCATCAGTACACAATTCAATTAGAAGCTCCACCATATTCTTCAATCTACCCAAACATTCAAAATTCAGGGTCATTCTCCAAAAATAATCGGACCGGCTTTCACTAAACTAATGATGTCTTCAGATTCGAAACGAAAGAAAGCGGAAGAGAGAACGATGAAGACGACAATTTTGTCATCCAGCCTTCTACATCAGCCCCCCATCCTTCTTCTAACCCAACCACACACACACACACACACACATACACACACACACATACATACCCAAGAACCGGGAACGAATTTGTTCAAAGAGAAAACTTCAAAAAACTTTTGTGGCTATAGGTTAGGACATTCCGTTTTCAGATTTAAGACAAGTTAATGATCAAGACAATCATTGATCTGAATATAAAACATCATGCGTAGACCATTAAAAGAAGTTGGATGGACAAAGGAATGAACAAGGCAACATTCGCAGTCTACGGTGCCTCGGTCGAAGCCTGGTACTTCACCATTTAAGAGGTGCCAAATTGATAGCAGAAGGGAGGGAAAGAATGCTGATGTAGTTAATGGAATAAAACGAATGCAATGATCAAACTTTAGACGTTACCAACGAAACGTCAGGAAGAAGTAAGAAGAGAACTCGAAGATCACCGTGATATCACAATTTCTGCAAAAAAAAAAGCCATTATGAACGGTTATAAAGTTTGAAAGTGCTAAACAAATGAAAAAACGATCAGAAAATACGAAAAAATTTTCATTTTCGAGATAGTCAGTGTGATGTGCTGATGACGCCATTGGCCCGTGCTTCACACGTTTTTATATTTTCAATCAGATCATAGAGTGAGAGAAGAGAGAAAAGCGTTCTGCGTGAAAAGTGTAATAAGTCAACAAAAATAAACATAAGCATATGGATTCTTAATTCGAATTGAAAACATCTTATTAAGCATACACATCGACTAGGGAATGGAAAGGAAAAAGTTCAGCAGTTACGTCAGAATGCCTGTCATAGAAAAGAATTCCAAGTCGACACGTACAAAACGATGATGACAACGACACTTGTCATCAACATCATCAACATCATCAACATCATCAACAGCTTGATCATTTTGGAAAATGAAGAAAAAGAAGAAGAAGAAGAAGACAAGACTGTGCAGTTGTGTTTTCGGTGTGGCCGACAAACTTTTGTCGGCCGTTGTCGTGAACGTGGTCGACGCTACGTCTGCGTCAATGCAGAAAGAATGATAGAAGAGAGCAAATATTGATGACATGAGCGGTAAAGACGACATCACAACTTGTACAATATTTCAGTAAAACGACCAAACGGCCTGACGGAGCATAAGCTTGGCGTCATTTTTGTAAAAATCACTCGTCAACTTAGAAACGCAACATGATGAACAAAGGCATCGCATACACATGACAATACGTATTGACAGTCCTCAACAATATGAATTCAAGCTTAATTTCAATCCCACAAGTCACTACTTCCTTGTGCTTCCAATCACAAAGCTACACACACTTAATCATTCAATAATCGAAAACTTTTTTTTGCTTCAAAACCTTGAACACTTAGTGTACAACCGCTTCAATTAGTCAACTAGTTTTATCGCTTCCTTCCTACCCCCCCCCCCCTCCAATTTAAAATTAGAAATTCAAGTCAATATGCTCCAAAAAAAAAAAAAGCAAGACAAACATAAATGGAAGAAGAACTAACTTGAATACAGTGCTGTACAGCTGATGAGCGAATGATGATACGGCTAAATCCATCGTCCTGTTCCTCCCATCACCACTTATGAGCTTAAAGCATTAAACAAATTATTTTAATAACGGTCAACACTTATCACAAGATAACCATCAGATAAAAAGATAATTCAATCATTTGCGCTTGTTATTCTCCCATAATACGAGGGTTTACAAATGAAAATCCAACAAAATATTTTTTTCTTTCAATATATAAAAACGTTTTTCACATAATATACGAACATAAAAATATTTTCCCGAAATATGCAAATGAGTATTCTCGTATTCTAATTATGACGTGAAAACGACGCCGTCTTCATTTGAACGTCGTACTTACAATCGAGTGGTTGCATTCACATTTGGATGGATGAGGTTATCCAAATTACAAAGTTAACTAATCAATGTCATCATTTCGCTATTTATTTTTTCACATAAATAAATATAAAGAACGATATATTTGGGCGGGAAAAGAAGAAATGATGACATATACGGTATATGGTTCATTGAGTAACTGTTTACAGTTGATAGTAGAATGTATTTATAATAATTTGATCGTTTGGTGATGTTTGGAAAGCTATAACGGGGCTCTCATTCAAATAAAACAGAGATCATATTAAATAATAAATTTTTAAACATATAAGCTGGTTGTTGAAACGTCTTTGAATCGTCATCACCACCTTCTCTATCACGCAGACGTCTGAGAGGTTGAAACGAATAGCAAGCAAAGAGCTGGAGCATTAAAGGCCCAAAATCGATACACTCCAGGCTGTCTCTGGCCCTCCATGTTACAAGTATACTCTACATTATTTCTGCTTCTACTACGACGGGTATAATGGCATTTGGAAATGACGTCATATGGGCATGACATCATGAGCTTAAAGCAAGCAGCAGCATGAGATAACTTGCTTTTTCTATAGCTCTTTCGACATCAAAATTTCTGTACTATTTCATGTTTTTCCTCTCCGTCACATTAATCAACTAAATCTGAGTTTGTATATGTTCTCCTGAAAGACCATAATTAGGCATTTGTACGGATAATACATGCTCTGCTGTCTCCATCAACGATGCCAACTAACAACATAGTTTTAAATCTTTAATTCGTTTCGTAAGTGAAAAAATAACAATAGTCTAGATACTTTAAGCTCAACCATGTCAGATGTGAAGTTGATCAACCTATATGGTGTGTTGATCACCCTGTTTTAATTATTTAAAAGGAATTATTAGTATTTGATTTAAATGAGCATGAACAGTGGAACACCATTTGTATGGCGGCAGCAAGTCTTTGAAAAGATACACAAGCAGAAAAGGCACAAACACTTTGAAAGAGCAAACGCGAAAGTAAGGTTTCTATAAAACTGTCAAAATATCTTAAATAAAAATATAAAAATCTCGATCATCACCGAGTTTCGTGACCAAATTCCTAATGACTGTATTTAGATTAGAAAGCAGGCCGATTATAAGAGAGAGAGACTAAGAACGTATGAAAGAAAATAAACAGACAAGCATCTCATTATTATACAGACGCATAAAACTTTGAAACGCGTAGGGAACCCGTGGAAGAACATTTGGATCAAGCAAAACACTACAGTTTGCTAAGAATCCTCTTAAAAACAAAAAAACATAGGGCATGAGATAATACCGAGTGTACAATATGAGTTTAAATCAATCGTTCTTCTTTAGTCATATGCGACATAGGCATGCTGTAGGCAGCCGAGAGAGCATGCTCTTCCCTAGCAGGATTATATTTACCGTGAAGTTTCCGTGATTGTTTTATATAACGAAGAACAAACAGACTGGCTGCTAATAATAGTAATCCGAGGACTGTAAACGGCGTGATTATCATGAACGGAAACAGAAGCTTACCTATTAAAGCTACTATTGCTACAATCCAGCTGGCTGCGGAACTCTTTTGTCTTTCCGAACCTCCTTCTTGTTGATGTACATCGGGGGAAGTAGGATTACGAGTAACATTTTCGAGCTGAAAAACAACATTGTCTTATCCTCTTGGACATGTTCGAACTACCTCATGTGTTTCGTTCGAAATATTCTCGTTCGAAACATTGTTTTCTTCGCTAACTTCGGATACTCCAGTGTGGACCATCTCCTACAACATGAGAAAATTAAATAAATTAATAAACTCAATTAACAACCGTTGGTCGTGGAACAAATTCTGTCACCACGTGGGGAACGAAGGGAACTGGCGGTTTTGTTGTCTGCGTTGTCAGTAGCCATAAAGGTATGGTTACCATCGTTGTTGTCTCTGGTTCGGGTTCTTCCGTTGTGGTTGTTGCCTCAGTAGTAGGTGTCTCTGTCAGGAATTCGGTGGTCAATTCCATGGTAGTGAAGCTTTCTGCTGTTGTTCCTTCAGAGGACTCAATCTCTTCTTCGTATTCAGCCACCGTGGTATCCTCCTCTTCGGTTGTTGTGTCCGGAATAGGTGTGTTTGTACTCATCTATAATAGTTCAGTCTTCCAATGATCAAATATAAAAGAAATACCGTTTCGGGATGAACTTCAGGTACTGGTGTTACATGAGCATTGAAACTGTTCACTTCAGTTGATTGTTCAACTGGTGGAACAGATTCGTTCTCTTCTTCCAATTCTTCTTCCTGTGGCATAGGAGCAGGAGTTGGGAATCCAATATCTGGTTTTATAGTTTCAAAAGTGGGTTGCGGCGCTGGGCCGGTAGGGAACAGAGGATGAGTTGGTTTATGGTCTATAACTGGCTGAGGTGTGCTCTCTGGGAAGTTAGGGAAGATGAAAGTAGAAGGAGCAACATGAACAGTGTTAGCGATAGTTGGCACCATAGACGGAGTTGTAGACACGATATGCTGAAAGTGAATAGTTCCACATGTTATTCTGCGTCAGTAATCTTACCGAAGTAGGTGAGAAGTCTGGCACGAACGATGATGCTGGGAAAGAAGGATGGATGGAAAATGTTGGATTTGGTTCTATCTCAGGTACCAAAGTAGGAAGAGCAGTGGCTGAAACATTAGCAGGTTGAGGGAGATCATGAACGATAGTGAATTACAATCTTCCACCAGAACACGTTTCTTTGTTGTGGTCTGTGTAGGTAAAAATCCAGGTAAACTCTGCATCTCTACAGCAGGGAACGATGGAGATGATGTTGGCTCAACCATGGCTGAACCAGAAATGGTAGCCAGATGAAGTTGCAAGCAGTCAACAAATTCTAAATCAATCACGTTTTAAGTCAATGTTCTAATTCCAAACCTCCATTAGCAGGATGAGGACATCTACAGTCGTAGGTAGCATTGATAAGTGTTGGAGTGTTGATTTTGTAGCTGGTTGGGTCAACGACACATTTCGCATTATCACCGAACATAGCGCAGGCAGCATCTCTGAAGGAATGATTAAATGAGCAGAAAAAAAACGAAAAACAAACCCCAAGCAAACATCTATGACGTTACAGTTGATTCCCATGAAACCTTGGCGACACTCGCATTTCGGTACACCTTCATCAACAACACATTGGCCGTTAGAGCATTTGGTTTCACAAACCGGCTGCAAAGATATCAACTATCACAAAATTCAAATTCTATCTTACAGTTTCACATAAAACTCCAGTAAAGCCAGGTCGACATTCACAGAATGCTTCTGCTCCGTTTGTGCGACATACGCCTCCGAATTGACAAGGAACATCGCGGCACAAGTCGACTTCACAGGATGACCCAATGAACCCACTTGGACATAGGCAAGTTGGCTGAATTAAAAAAATTAATTTCCTTATTTTAGCATTCATATAGGTCTGTAAAAGTTTGAGAACAGCCCCGTTTGTCATGAAAGATCACTAATATCTCTAGGATGTTATTCTCAAGAACGTTCTGTTCCTCAGCAAGGTCATCTCGTCATTAGACCGATCAAGTATAAGTAATCATCTCTATAATGGGCACACCCTCAATTTCTTCACTTGCGTACACCTAGACTAACTGACGACTAATGCGATTATGAAAAAATGTTAAATGTCAACGTTCACCAAAATATTCGATTAACAAGTTCTTTTGATCATGAGACAAGGAAGTTTTCGATGACAAAAAACAGTTACCGAGGATTTGGTGATTCTCATACTGATGAAAGGAATTTTAAATTGCTTAAACAGAAGTTCAATTCTCTATGATCATACTTCAACCTTCACAAGATAACCCAGAATACCTCTCTCATGTGAAAAACGCTGACACATACTCTCATAACAGACAGGGACTTCTCTACGACAGTTAAAGAATAATTATAGAACTTACCAATCCATCTTGAGTGACAACACAAGTTCCATTATTCTGGCAATTGTAATCGGCACATGGTCCAAGTGAAAATTCTGTTGTTGCTTCAGAAGTTGTTGGAGATAGATTCAAATCGAAAATAGGGAACTGTGGACCACTTGGCTCTGGAGTTAGATAATGTATGAAAACCTAGGAGCTCTTGTTATACCTGCATCTTCCGCACTACTGTTCTCCAATGGGCATCCACACTGGAGGTGAAGTGATGAGAATGAATTGTTAGACAAACGAGGAGGACATCCAGAGGGTCTCTCGTTTTGAACCACTAAATCTCGAACACAAGAAGGTCCAATGGCTAGAATGACCATTCATCAATAATTACACTCTGTCTCGAAGATATACCTGCTTGAATTCTGACTGAGAAAGTTCTGGGAGCTTGAGATGGTGGGAACTCAACTCGTGAAGCATTAGTTGCAGAAACAATACAATGTAAAGAGTTGGCTTCAAGTACCCATTGAAACCTTGTCCATTTGCCTGGAACATCACACATTTTTTCAGATCTCTCCGTGTATTCCTACCATGTTCATCAGTTTTACATTCACCGAGAATATTTCCAGTTGAGCTATCTACTATGGTCATGAGAACAGTTTCAGGCATCGCTTTGACGGTACTGAAAATGAAAAATCCATGAATCTATTACTTGCTAAAAAAGAGAATCAACCGCTCCCATGAGCTATTCACATTTAAATGAACTTCATACGTGGAATCCACGTGAACCAATTTTCATTTTCACTGACCAGCTGTTTTCAGTTTTCGGTCATTTCGATTCACGATAGAACCCATAGTTCCGTATAGTTAAAGAGAACCCGATAACCTATTATTCCTTAAATAATGCCCGTGCTTAGATGTCTTTTCCATTATATTCCAGTTTGTTATCTGTTTTCAAACGTTTAGAGTAATCAACGTGACACCTGAGAGCACAAAACAAAGTTTTCCGTTTGTTAACTAACCATTGTGGTAATGTAACTCAAAACCCCTTTCGCATTATCTCGCTTCAACCTTAATAGCTTTTGTAAAAATCTTTTCTTTTCGAAGTCAGTCAGAAAGAAAAGAAATAATGAAAGCTTCTAGAAGTGTGGCCAAAGAGATGTGGCCAGCTTGAACAAGCAAACACTTCTCGCATTGCTCTGAGCACGCATATCCAATAAGCATATGATACTAGGCAGATCAGTGATGTAAGCTTCCTGATAGAGTAATGGTGAACAGACCAGAACATGCTTTCAACACAAACCAAAGTGATTTCGAGAAATTCAAAAGGTTTTTTTCCAATTTATGACCTTTACGACTACTTTAGAAAGCTATTATTAGACAAAAAGAGAAGTCGCGAACTTCGAACTCCATCTTTGATATTCTATTTGATTCGAAGGTTTCTCTCCTAATAGATGCTATCGGTCTTTCTGACAGACGAAATGTCGAATGGAGGAAAAGGAATCGAGAGAACAGGAGGAATTTGAAGTGAACGCGAGCGATTTAATTCTCTTCTAACTCCACTACGGAGCACTTCCCTCTTAGGTCGTGATTAGCCGGTAATGTCAACACTTGAAATGACAGTTTGAGAGGAGACTCACCGAAAGTCGCGTGCCCACATACCTAAGAAGAACAGCTCATTTGCTCAAATACTTAGCCATCAAAACAGAGGAAAGCTTATTAGATAAAAGGAGGAATGATACACAATCACTGTTCTGGCTATCACAAGTGAACGGATCGTTTCAGAATTGCGAAACTTTTGAATGAATGTGACTAGTCAGACTGGACACATGTAAGAACCAACAAACCCCCCTCCTAAGCAATGCAACAAGTGGTCATTGCGGAGACACAAAAATTTCTGGATATATTTCCATAGTACAATAATATATCTACAAAGAAGAGAGGTTCGGAAATTCCATAAGTTTCATAACTCCCTCCAAACTAGACTCAATCGCAAATTGAAATTATGCTTCTATCGCACATGAGATGGTCCTGAATTGGTCAACAGAGAGTGAGAGACCGCAAGGAAATGTGATATCCCCTATAGTTTTCAAGATATTCTTCACCTCACTGTACGCATATAGTACTCTTTCAGATGCTCACAATAGCAAATTCAAAAGGTGACAACGATCTTTGCTATTCATACGAGCCTCAGTTCACTTCCACATTTGGCACTTATGATTTTTTTGCAACAGATCGAGTCTTCACAATGAAATCAGACAATGCAGAAACGGTATTTTTAGTAAGTGACACGTGATCTCCAAGTCTCTTGAGATTCTGAAGCCGATCGCGCTATTAGATAGCTCTTGTCTCATCGATGTTTGTTGAATAAAGAACAAGAAGACCCCTCAGGCAAAAAAGTCACAACACGAATTTACAAGCTGTTCAATGGGTTCAGTGATTGTTCATCTGTGTTTGAGCTAATTTAAGCAGAGGCAATAAGCTTAGAGGAGCGATTTACTTCATCATCGAATGAACTCGGCGCAAGATCGCTGATTCTTTGAACGTTAGCGACAATGGACAAAGTCGGGTAAGTGTATAGATAAGAAAAAGACATGGACTAACCTAATATAGTCATAACTACCAGCCCAAGGTAAATTCGTATCATCAATAATCCAGACAGCCCTTCCGTTCTGTTCATTGGAGAAATGAAGGGCACTATCATCTTCGTTCTGAGCGAGGGCTAAGGATACGAATCCTAAATTCAAATTATGATCACATGAGAAGCAAACCCCTGATCGGGTAGATTTTTTTTGTCAGACTGTCAAGGTCACTTTCACATTCACATTCACATAAAAGAAAAACACAATCAATGTTATCAAGGTACCAATGTATCACGGAATGCTTAGTGATGATGAATGGAGATGAACTGCACAAGAATGTTTGGCAGTTACAAACGAATGATCGAACTAATTTGGCAGACAGAATGAAAACTCTTTCTTACACACCTCATGACAACCGACAAGAATTCATTTGATAAATCATTGGGAACGAACTTACCTAACACCAGCAATAACCGCATCCTTTTCACGGCTTCCTTGAAGGACTGATTTGAGCAAATAATGAGTGTAAGTAGCAGTAATAGGCGAGAAAAAAGCAGTTAATTGCCTTGACACGTTAAAAAAATTGGGGAAATTCTTTCCGCATCGAAGGATGTACCCCACACGAAATCTGAAATCAAAAAAATCATAGACGAAGACGAAACATCAGATTAATCGAATAATCAGAAGACTAAGCAATGACGTAATGTTCGAAAGGAGTATAACCGGATTTACTCAATCGTCGAATTATATGTATTGATCAATAGGTAAGCGACCACGAGACGAAGTTGGAAGAACGAGCATGCACATTACAAAATGAAAATAATAAACTGTTTCTTCGTCATGTTGGTACAATAGAAAACAATAAAGCTGTTGTCTGAAGAATATTATAAATTAATTTTGAGTGTCTAGAAAACAACTGAAAGACGGGTAAATACTATTTAAGGACAATTCAAGCAGGTCAGATCGTGAGAACCGAAAGAGGGTCAACGCAGAGCCTTCGTAAACGAGAGGAAAGTAGGCGGAGCCGTGCAAACATGAAACGCAAACTGATAGTGGGAAGGAAGAAGTTGAAAGCCGACAATCCGTTTCGAAATGCAAGCTCTCCTAGTCCGGTAAGTGTTATTCAATGATGATATGACGAATAGGACAAGAAGAAAAATACCTCTAAATTGTGCTTAAGCTATTTTAGAAGTGGACTAATGCCGGACTGTTGAGACAAATGAATCATCGGATCAAAATAGAAAAAAATGAGAAGAGAACCTAACAATTAGAACAACAGATGCAACCGTTTCACACGTTTACGCGCCAAGAAATGAAGAACGTCAGGCACGTAAAAATTAGACGTGAAATACGTGGAGGATGTGGAATAGATGAGAGAGGAATCGGGTGGCCCGAACAGATATTCAGATAACCGAGCAAAGCCAACGACAACGATAGTTATGAATGGTTTTCATATAACAGTAGGAGAGAGAGAAAAAAGAAAACTACGAAAGATATATCAACCAGTGAGATCGATCTGTACGTTGCTGGTATTACGCATTCCAAGGGCAATAATAACAGCTGGGTCTAACGGAACAAAAGGAAAAAACGAAGAAAGAGAGGTGATCCAATGATTTTCCAATGTATGTACTACTATATCGCTAAAGATATTCTGAACAACTTTGAACAATTACATTTTCGAATCGTCACAATGACGCTCCATCATAGAGAGCCAGCGAGCTCACCGCACAAAACCCTTAATCAATACAAGTAATTTAATACAGTATTGGTCAGATTGTGGTTACAAATAGTGAACTTGCTCACGGAGGGACATTGAGGTGGTAGAGGCGCAGTAATGAAAAAATCAAACATGGTCAAATGATCAACTACAGCGAGAATGAAGAGACTGAGAGCCAGAGCTTCAAAACATGAAAAACCAGTAGAGCTTAAATTTGGAATCTCAAGACAATAAGCCAGAAGACATCAGCATAAAAACAAAAAGCACAAACGCTGGAATGAGGACTTCTGAAATGCAACCTAGGTCAACAGCATGAACAATGTCTGCTCAGTAAACTCGATTGAAAAGCGAAACGGGTAAACATGGCTATGAAACAGCTTCGGAAAGCGCAAATGGAAATAAGAACGCATACATCATACCTTAAAGACTCGTGAGAGGCAAGGATTCCTTTTATAGAATAAGCAAGGACAAGCCAATCAAATGGTTTGATCATGGTGAACAGACACGAAACTCGAAAAATACAAACGCTGAAAGGGTCTCGAATACAGCGCTCAAAATCTGCTTTAAGCATTGCAATTTTCGAACACAAATTGGTCACTTGTATAGATGTTCCTGTGCGGCTCATGAATCCCAGTTGGAGGTCGCTGAGGAGGATAGGAGAGTAAGACAGATAGGAGCGACATAGGAGAGTGAAAAAAACCAGATATTACTTATTCAGAAGCTAGCCTTGTAGAAGCTTCATGATGTCACATATACCAAAACAGATGAAGCTCTACTGGAAGCTATTGAAAGAAGAATTTGAAGAACTATATACACTTGAAAGAGTGACCAAGTGAAGAACGGTCAACAATGCGGTATAAATTATGCAGAAGTTGTTGGAGATCGAGAACTTGTGAAGATAATCGGCATATATCTTCAAACTCGTAAAACGAAGCGAAAATCATACTCATTCACGAATATATATAGAGCTGAATTTGACCGTCAAATACAGACGACCTTTGGGAAAGACTTCAATCAATGTGAATTTTCACGGTAATTTGAATTTGAAGATGCCACACTAGATAATGAAAATCATGTGTGACGGGGGAAGACGGAAATTAAATATTGAAATGTCAAAAACTGCAGGTGCAAGAAGATCCGGAAACGTCAAGTGAGTTTTCACTTGTGAATTTTGATACGGAATAGTGAATCAGGCTTGTTCGAACGAATAAATTACAATGCTCAGTCAAGTAGCTATCATTGAAAACGATGCACAAAGCAAAGAACCGCTATGAAGGGACTATTTGTCCTTTCTGGTCAGTGACCGGTAGCCGTTAGAAAAACATGTTAAGACGATCGTAAACATTTCCGTCTATGGCAGAAAGACGAATAATAGACTATCAAAGTTGCTGAAGGCATACAAACATCAGATGAAAGCAGAAAATTAGGTTCAATTTTTACAAACAATCTGCTAGGCAGGGAAACATAATGGACAACATCCTTGCAACTAATCAAAAGTAAGAATTGCGCCAATCTATTATTTATAAAAGGGTCAAGTAGCCAAAATACCGAGACAGTGTCCAGCATTAAAGGACGCGGACAGCGTTTTTCAAGACGTAATCTGCCTGATCCTCAGATTCTTCTAATATACGGAAGAATTATACAACCAATGAAAAACTAAGAAAAGAAAAAGTCGGACAGCATGTCCTGACTTCTGCATGGAGGAGTAAGCGTGAAAAAAAACCGGACAGTTACTATTCAATTTCACCTAATTTGGGAGAAAACGAGAACTCTAGAACTTTTGAAGTTACTGCGTGTGATTTGAAAGTGGAAAGAAGCGACTCGTTACGAAAAATACAAAGAAAAACAAAATATTGCTTAGTACCGTGAAGAGAACACCGTTCCGACAGTCGCGCGTTGGCCAAAGACACTCGAATAGTGAGCATCAAGACGTCATGTAGAGATGTTGAAGGTCTTTGGCTAAGCGATAGATAAAGACTAAGGAGAGAATTAGAAGAGAGAATCGCAGAAGACGGTATGAAGATAGCATTATAGTATCAGGCAATATAAAAAGAAAGGAGAAGGTGTAAAACAATAGATGAAAACAAAAAGAACTATTAATAAGAATAAAAAAGAAGATTTACATATTTAAGGAAATTAAGAGAGAATTCGATTTTTGCGGAATGTAAATACGTCAACATCTTTGAATATGACCAGATTTGGGATTAGAGCAATAGATGGTGGCGGTAGGTCACAAACAGTTTTGAAGGATGATGAGTGCAGCTCGGGAGTGTAAGATGATTGGTTTTATGAGTGAATCCGTAGATTGAAGAACGTTTATAACATCTAAGCGAGGTAAAGGCTAGTATAAACATTTTTCTGGATCTCTTCTCATAAACATAAACAGATGAAGTATTGAGGAAAAGTTTCAAATTACAATGTTTCAGTGAATAATATTTATGAAACAGACAGACTAATACTGGTGACCTAACTGTTTAGGGAAGTTGGAGAGTAAGAAACTGATCTGTAATGGATGATTTACTCTAAATGAAAGGGATGGAAAAGTTTAACTGTACAAATGACAGCTATAAAATAGCAAATGAGTACCTAAGACGGAAATGAAAACAAACAGATGAACTCCTCCTTCCGGCTCGTGATAGGGAGAAGGACACCTGTCAAAGTAGCCACTGATGCACGACCGTATGTGTCAAATTCATATCCGAAAGTCAACTATGCTTATACACTTCATCGCTAATGTGTCAAAATTAGGAAGAAAGTGAGAATACAACTTGGGCAACAAAAACTGTATTTCCCTTCAAGGGGTGACTTCTTCGAAACTATCCTTCTTTAATTTGTTCAAGATTAGGGTCTACCAAACACTAATGCCTTGGATTATCGAAACAGAGTCGTGAGGGAGACCTTCAAAAATAGAAGAAAAACCATGAATCCGAAGTTTGAAACATCTGATCCATTAAAAAAAGTCTTTCATATAGTGTTGATGCACTGTTGAATTGGAACGCCAAGCCCCTCACCCCTAGTTATTGAAAGAACATGAAAGTCATTTCCTGATTGAATCAAATTGACCCTCGGTTTCTGTCTTGGATGAAATTAGCATACTCATTAGAATTCACACGTGTTTCGCCGAGCTCTGGCGTCATTTCATTTCATTTCCGTCGCAGCACACAGCGGTCGCATTCCAAACTTCTTAATAAAACCCTTTTCCAAATATATGCGCATGTTTATTTTTTGTTTAATTTCTCGTTTTATTTACCTCAATTCAATCATCAGCCCCATTAATCCTCATCAAAAAATCGGCGGCCAATTAGAAATGTTGAAGAAGCTCTATGCTTGTACGTAATTGCGTCTTGTACGATTGTTTTGATTGTGAACGGCTAAAACAACTAAGCATGAAATTGAATCAAATCAGCAGGACCAAAGGTTCTTTCGACTTATTGTTTCCTGAGAATAATCCATTTTCAGATAATTAAGATGTTTTCAATACTTAAAAATTAGTAATTAAATGTATTTTGTTGTTTCGTTCCTTTCTCAAACACCTTTATCGATTAGTTGATTGTTGAGCGTGGTGTTCATATTCTTTTAGAAACTTATTTACTCATCTTTCATTGAATGTAGAAGATCGCAAGCAGTTTCCTATCTCCCTTCTCTTCATTAACATGAAATAAATACTTTCAGAAAATGGCTGGTGTTGACTCATTTGAGCAGTTGCAGAAGCAAATGCAAAGTATTGATATCTATAGAGATACGCCAATCCGTTACTTAGGTTGATTCACGTTTCAAAACCCCTCTCAACATTTTTTTAAAGGTTATGCAAACGAAGTCGGAGAGGCCTTCCGGTCTATGATTCCAAGTGTTGCTGTCAAAGCTACCTATGTAGTAGCGTTAGGATATGCTTGTGCCGATGCATTGGATAAGAGTCGTAAAGTCCATAAGGTGAATTTACCTGTCTTACCTATTACCTTTTAACAATAGTAATTCAGCAAGAGTGGAATAGTGCTGAAGAACGTAGAAAGCGTGTTACTATTGCTGCTGCTGATACGTTCTTATGGCAAGCCTTAGCTTCAGTGGCCATCCCTGGCTTCACCATCAACCGAATTTGCCATTTCTCCAACGCACTTCTATCGAAGTAAGCATTTGTTGCTGGAATTCTTGGAATTGTTTATAGAGCTTCTTCTCTTCCAACGCCCATCCGCAAATGGGTAGTTACTGGAATTGGACTTGGAACTATTCCATTTATAGTTCATCCAATAGACTCCGTCGTTGAAATTGGGATGAATGAGACCGTTCGGAAGTTCTATAACACTCAACCGGAAAAGAAGGAATAGACCAAATAAGTCTTTGAAGATTGTTCGTTCACATTTGTCAAACTCGGGTAACGTTGTAGTGAACTCCTTTTATGTACGTTCAGTTTTCACTTAGGGAATTTGCTAGACAAAAGATTGTAGTCATAGAATGTTTTTCTGAAAAGAATAAGAGATAATTAAATAAAATATTGAATTCATTCCCTTCTTGTCGACCGGAAGCACATGTTGGTTTGTGAAACTCCAGATGAACTTCCAGTAAACATTGATTCAATCACATTTAAACTGAGAACATGTGTTCTCGCAGGCATTTTACATGGTAATAGGCTGAGGGAGTTCGGCAGTAGCGATTCAGCACAAGAACTTTCAAGTAACACTCGAGATAATCCTATTTCATATATTCATACTCTGAGAACTTCTCTTTCGTCCTTTCCGAGAATCTAATCAGGTTTATCAAAACAGTTTTGTAGCAAAGCGGCAATCCGCAACATCGGACTCTTGCAGACGCCGCTTAATGTTATCCACTAACTTCCCATATTTATTCTTCCCTTGTGCATCCTTTTTGTTTAAAAATTTTCGAATAATGGATATTGGTGGCGAAGTTACAAAGATTTTCAGAACATTCGGACGTTTATCTAGCCAACGTCCTTGTCTGCCATTCGGAAATGTCTCTTAGTTTGAAAGCCCAGGGGAAAGTTGATCTTGCAAAGAGAGTGAAAGAGATTTCTTACGAAAGATTTGTGACTGATCGACTTACTCAGTGAACTATATGCAGCAAGCACAATGCCTTCTGAAAGTAGCTTCGAATTAATTGTTTTTTGAAGCCTCTCTTACCGTTCATAGATCTGGGAGTAATGACTTCTGAGTGCTGCTAGTCTTGATGAAGCTCATTAAAGCTTCGTAAGGAACTTCCCATAAACAGTCTGTAGTTTCAGTTGTTTCGTATTTTTTTCTCATTCTAACCTTGTTATTCACTAATTGTTTTGCTCCAACAGCTTTTGACATCTTTTCCAACAACCCTGGAATGATGCATCTCCACGCGGAGCTTAATGAAAAGCTTCTTTAAAGAGTTTCCAGAGAACAACCATCCGAGCTTCCCAAATTCACATGTCTTCTTCTTCTTCTTTTTTTGTGAGGAACACACAGGTTGAATTATTAATGAGCCAATATAAAATGAACGGATTGAGATACAGCCTGAGCAGAGCATTGTCGACGTAAATAATAGTTGTGGCACATCGGCACTTCTTTATGCCTCCTCAGGGGCTTGAAGACAGGCCTAAGCAAAGGAAAAGAATGAACGACGTATATGAAGAGAATATGAGAGACAGCATATGATGGAGAGACTCAGACGAAAAACTGACGGAAGAAAAAAAGAAGAATGAAGCGAATTTTCGATTGACGTGAGCATCCGCTTCTCCCTTACTGCCTCCTTCTCTTACGACATCCATTTGCGTCGTTTATTGTCATTTAGCTCCAGGTAAGACTGTGGTGTATCAATGCTTTGAGCATGTAACACGATTCAAACACAGTTTAGTTTGTGGACTAACCAATACGACATGTATGTAGATGGAATAATTTACATGTTTCTCTGACATATGGCATCTTCTTGTAGCTCATTTGCTCCGACATTTCTCTTTTCAGCCTCATCCTCCTCTCCTTCTCCTTCTCCTTCTTCTTCATCTTCATCTTCGGCTGCTGCTGCTGCTGCTGCTGCTTTTTCTTCTTCTTCTTATTCTTTTACATTTGCCTTCTCTTACCATGTTTTCTATTCCGATGACGGCGACGACGTCAACAACGAAAAACAAGTTATTTTTCTTTTTGGGACCATGTCATACACTTTCTTCATGGTGCCATTCAATGCTCTTTCTTCCTTTTTCGGTTTTTTTCGTTTGGACTGGATTCTTTTGCACAGACGGCCCTCTGCTTTTACTAAGACAGCGCTGTCAGAAAGAGCTGGAAATATATGTTTTTTAACGAAATTTTCAAAGCTTCTTACGAGAGAGCCATCTACTTTTGTCGTTTCCCATATATTGTTCATTCAATTCGTTGATTTCTGTCATTATATGCTGACCACTGATTGAAATGAAAACAACTTCGTTACATAATAAGAGAAATTCTATTATTTTCAGAATCAAATGACCATATGTAAATGAATTTCCGCCCGAAAACAGAAACGTATACTTCTGCGCCAAATAAGAGAAGAAATTCAAATTCATTTTACATTGACGAACACACCCGAATGATAAAATTAATGAAACATTAAGAGACAGCTGTAGAAGCAAGATGGGAGGGAAAGAGGGAGGGAGGGGGAGAGAGAGCATAATATTTTGTCGCCTTATCCCCTTATATGAGCATGCATTTAAATAAGAAGTAATTAGAAGAGTCTCTTCTGTCCTGCTCGGCATTTTTTTGAAAAAACACTTTCCGCGCCAAAATTATGTCTTACGTTGTAGTCCGTGCGCTTTTGCTCCGCCGACAGCAATCATTTTCTTTAAAATGCAGTGGCATGATCGGTTGTGTATCTCTGTGTCTTTCATATTTTTTTTATGATTTTGTTTTTTCTTTTCTAAAAAATTCTTTGACACTGTTTATGATTGTTGCTTGCTATTCCATCCAGCTTCTCCTTTCTGCATCGAAGCTTCTATCTTAAACAGAATCCATGTAAACTGTTTATGGAAAGCCATTTCAACTGCCGTCGTCTCTATAAATCTTCCAATATCTATGCACGAACGTAATATTATTTTATATTTTTACTCAATTATGTATTTGTTAGTCTCTTTTTTTATATTTATAATCATTAGAATTCTGTTGGAAGGATAAGTCATGTGTTGTGTGTATGTGTGTGTGTATGGGTATGGGTATGTGGGGTGGCAAATTCATTCCTTTTTCGTTTCTTTTTTCACGATTTCAGAATAATACTAGAGAGAGAGAGAGAAAGAGAGGGAAAACAATTGCTTATTTCACAAAGAACCTCTCTCTCCTTTGTCCATATTTATTTATTTATGTGAGAAGCAACCATTTCCAAGTGGAAGCATGATTTGAGGCAAGAAAAGTTTTATTTCTCTCTCTCTCTTCATCTCATTCTCTTGGCAACCTCTTTATCACAGTTAGTATCCAATCAGCCAATATTTTGACGCTTTCTATCCTTTTTTCGTGAAAATACAGCAATTTAAAGGCATTAGCAGCGTTTTATCTTACGTTCATGCAGAAAAATTGAATGAAAAACAGCATATTGTGGTGAAAAAGCCACAGAAGGAGAAATATTCTCTAAAAGTCAATATATAATTGAGATTTTTCTGTAAAAGCAGCAGAATATTATAACTGTTTTTCTTGCAAAACATAATATTTTTGAGTTGAAGTATGTGGATAGAAGAAGTAGCTCTTACGCACGAGAAGTATGATTCAATCCAATATGGCGTATAAGCTGGGCGCAGCCGGGAGAGATCACGTTCGACAGATCCGATTTCCCATTTAACTCATAACGTTCTGTTGCTTTTATATGTAATTGTGAAAAGCAATTAAGTTCCTGTCTCATTTCCATAAATGGCTTTGATATTTGAAAATAGCTCATATAATGGAGAGATTATAAAGATTGAAATAGTGAGAACGACAGATACAAATAGAGAAAAAGAAGTAAAATCTCGTCGAGTTGTTAAAGCTTAGTACTCGTACTTGCCTATTTTCGCTCTCTTTTCCTCATGAGAATCTCTGCGTCAGAAGACAAGATTTTGATTGTTTTTCTGAAAATTTCCGAAGTAATAGGTGTTTTGGAAGAAAAGCGAACTGCCTGAACCTATCTGTTACATATACTATAACGAGCAATACACATATCTTGCAACATGATCACTATCTTTTGCATCTCTCAACTCATCATCCGCTGTTGAGTTATCATCAATCCTTCCTCACATCTGCTGATTAGAATCCAAATTCTGCAATTTCGAAGTCAATATGTGCCAGAATTGAGGTTTTCTAGTTCATGAAATCTTAATTTCTAACTTGTCAATCTTCCATCACCTCTCGTCGTTTCGTTTATTTTCGAGTTTCTCTTCTCCCGCCTCCCTAAGCTATGATTAGATGGTTTTTTGATTCTGATGTAACCATTGTGCTTTACCTTCATCTATGGTATGAAATAATGTATTGATCGACCCTTATTGTCTCATTCTAACTCTAAAACATTCCCATTTTCCTGACTTATTCATCCGAGAAAAGAGTTTGGAAGTCATCCAATTGTCTTTCAACTTTATCTGGCATATGCCCATTCTCAGTCAGTTCTGACGTCTGATTGATCTGTGATCATGCTGACTTGAGTTCGTTTGTAGCTATGTTATGACAGTTAGCTATGCTGATTATACATATGCTCTCCAAGTTAGTCAGACCTTACCAAGTTCTCCTCGGGTCACTTGAACAACCTTCTGTCCTTTCATGCATATCAGAATATTGCCCTTTAGCTAGTTGAAGTTGGGAGAATCGTTAATATGGACCCAATCCAGTATGAAAGAAAAGAAAAGGAAGGGAAGTAACTTGTTCTTTTTTTCTTAAAGTTGTCAAAGCTTTTTTAACTGTTGTGCAAGTCATTTCCGCTGGCTCTTGACTCAGCTTGAACTCAATATTTATGTAGATTGCTATACAAATTGCCAATGAAAGAGTAGTTTTGAAGTAATCGTTGTCGGTTGACGATTGACCCAACTTATCGTTTTATGACAAATTTTTACTCTTTCCTGCAGTATTTGTTCAAATTTCTCTTTTTTAATGAACTTGTTTGATGTGCACATCCTCGTTTGGAAGTTTATTCTTGTGTGCTAATCTTTGATATGCCGAACCCCTCTCTCTCTCTTTTCAAGAGAAGTTTTCATTTGAAAGCTCATTTGCATAAAAATGAAATCCAAAAATTACTATACGTCGTTGCTTAATTAGCATATTTACGTTCAATATATATGTTTGACGTGAGCATTCATCCTCATTTCACTTACATGTTGCGTTGCAGAGCGGTTGTTGCTTCCTTCTCCTCCTTCTTTTCCTCTCCCCCCCCCACTCATCCACTAAACTCTATTACCTGTTCTCATGTTTCTGGGGCTACTTTTTCGTTCTCTTTTTCTTTTGATTCCTTTCGAATGAACGACAATGAATATTGCGAAGACGAGGGATGGATGGATGGACAGCTACGATTAATTGTTAGCTTGCTTTGCCTCGACTAAGCTCAAAATACTATAGAACATTCAAATACATAACATTTGGCATTCTTTTTTGTGAAATTCAATGTTGAATTAGAATGAAATTAGATTTGAATCGGATGGATTTATAGTTATTTTGGTTGGGTGTGTTTTCATAAAAACAATTATATGTTTTGGATTGAAATGAAGATGAAGTGAGCAAGCTTGCTTGCCAGATATAAATATGGTAATGACTAGGGCAACTAAGATCTCATTAATAGTACATTGAAGTGCAAATGATGACGTTAGGAAAGATTAAATAGAATTTATGCAGATGAATTTGTATGTTTTTGAGTTGACTCTAATTTATTTAAGCTGACAGAAAATCTTTTATATTTCTCAACTGGTCAGCTGTTTCTGCTAGCATCATTAGATCAATAGTGTCATTCACTCTCTTTCTTCTCTTTTCTAACTTTTCTTTTTTCTAATACTTCTACACTGTGCAGAGAAACAAAGTATGATAGCTCATTGAGTATGGAAGACTAAGATATATAGATTGTCAGAGAGACAGAACAAGAGAGTAAGAGAGAGAGAGAGAAAGAAAAAGAGAGAGAAAGAGCAAGACGATGAGGAAGAACTTCTTTAAACTATGCTTGTCAACTTTCCAATAGCTCAATCTCTAACTTAGTTAATATTCTTTATAACATTTCCTATTTTAACACATAACTTAAGTCAGTTCTCACACTCCACAGTCCAGATGTCAATGTGTCTTTCCCATCGCAACGAACGCAACAACTTCTTTCCCCCCATTAAATACAAATAGTATATAAGTGAGAGCATTTTGTAGATATTGCAAATACAAATAATATGTTCTTATTATATACTAATAGTAATTGGTATTTCAGTTGGAAAGTACATTGTCAGACTGCCCTGCATATAGATTCTGATGATTAATTAGAACAATTAGAATGAGAAGAAGTTTCTTCAATTTTTCCTACCATTGCAAGGCTTTCATATTTCATACTCCAATATATTGCTTCTTTCAAGTTGAGGCACACACACACACACACACACACACACACGTTTCTTCCTTTTATAGAAATATTCCTATTAATGAGCAGAGGAGTGTGACCGCAATGTGCTCTTTGCTCTTAATTTCTTTTTTCTTTCCCGAAATATGATCATCACAGCTTCATCCAGCTGGAACTTTCCCATTTTCATCGACTCCATCCGTGTCTTTCCGAAGACATTTATGATGACTACGTGCCCTTGCACGAAGCTTCTTCTGACGATGCTTCGCTCTCGACCAACGTCGTCTCGCTTGTCTGACCTGTTAGCATCATCTGTCTTTCGTCACAAATATCATTAGATGTTCAATGCCTACATGACATACTTGAATATTTAACAAAATTGTTCAAAGTCATCTATCTACTTCATTATATTGAAATTTCGACTCAATCGAATGTTTCCTTAGGCCGTGTGTCTATGAAACTTTCATATGCATCTCAGCTTTTCCTTGCTTTCTTCATATTTTCCCATCTTTTTACTTTCGTCTGCCCTTTCGTTGAGATGATAAGACCTCTCCTCACCTTCATTCCCATGGTTATTTCATTCTGTCTTATATAACCTCTTTTGTTTTTTTAGCATTGAAACTTGCTCGAAACAAGTCTCAATGCCGCGCAAGCACTGCTCCTAGGCCACGGCCAGCTGGCCTCATCTGGTTCTGTGGCCACTTAAACAGCTTCAAACAGCCCATCCTTCATCTTTCTCTCATCTATTATGTGCTGTAGATGACGATCAAACTGCGTTAAGGATAAAGAGATGCGACGAGAACTATATAAGAGAAGAGAAAAGATAAAGCCGAATTTTGAGGTCCTTTCAAGCATGTTCGTGCTCCGCTCTCTTCTCGGTCCAGTCAGTCTGCCCCTATTCGGCTTCTGTTCTAGCTTATTTCTTCTTACATTCAAAACTTTTCTTCTTTCTCTCCTGTCTTCTTATTTCCCTCTTTCGCTGTATATACTGAGTTCTTGTCTTATTCTCGTTCTTTTTCTCTTTTTCTTTCTTTTATTTCAGTCTCTCCTCCTTCGCTTTCTGCCTATTGAATTACTCCCGCTGGCCCTCTCCCTCCCTCCCTTCCAGTGTATCGACTGCTCTGCCTACTCAGTCGTGTCCCTCGGACCCAGAGTGCCGAAATAGAAAATGGCTCTAGTATTTCCAGACTTAAGCTGAAGCTACTGCTTTGACTTTAAGTCAAGCATGTCAGCAATCTATAGACTCGAGTTGACGCCAAACCAGAACAAATCTCAGTTCGGTGCATCTCAATTGATCTTATATTGTTTCAGAATGCTCGAGGTCATTAACTATTACAACAGTTTGCGCAACTGGTATATATAAGTAGCATCTTGTTATATCGAGAAGTAATGTATACATCTAATTGTCTCATAGTCGTCGTTTTTCATTTTTCTTTTCCATCTCATAATCCAGACCATATGTATGATTCCGGACGTACTTTTAGCTAAAGAACATGTCCTCAACTCTCAACGCCTGCTCGTATATGTGCATTCTTACTTGCTCATTAAATTATGGCTTACCCTTTATTCCGAACTAATCAATCGAATAGGCTGTCGATTCAGTCAAATACTTTTTAGATAAAGCCAGTCGACTCTCTTAAGTTGCTTAGAAATTCTATCCAATCAAGCTTTCTAGGCGCGCAAAAGAGGCTCATTTTGGGTGGCACTGCTGTAGTTCCACGGGTCCTAATGAGGCTGCTCTCTCTCTCTCTCTATGTCTTTTCAACAAAAAAATTTATTTGAGTCTGTCAACTCTTTGTCCCTTGTTGCCTGTTTTTCACGAGATTTTTGTCCTTTTCTATCGCATCTTCTGTCTCTTTAATTTGTCTCTCGAAAATATCGGCCAAAATGTGCCCGCAGGTGATATTTCTGCCTCAAGCTTTGTGTGAAATCTCAACTGCTTCTGAAATATTACGAAGTAGCCAATATTTTGGACAAAAACGTTTTTTCATGAGTTTGACTCTAAAATCAATGGAAACAGATCTGGAAATTAGCTTTCTGCCGTTTCTTCGCACCTAACACAGCTTCAATGTATGCATGTTTCACAAAATGTAAAATAGCATGAATGAATGATGAGATGAAGTAAGTAAAATCTGTTGTTAATACGTAGAGTGAGAGGGGAGGAAGTGAGAATGGATATGGAAAACGAACACAACCGCTCTCTGCGTCACAACTTTAAACAATAAGCCAACATGCTTGCTGTAGGTCCACGTGCAAAGTCACGTATGCAAATTAAGTTTAGCTTTTCCATTGTGTTGTCTTCTTTCTTCGTCTTCTTCCAAACCAAATATGCATGCACAAGTGTTTTTGTTGAAAGGAAAATGAAAACCATGTTATTTGTCACACAACATATAGCCGAAGGATGGGGAAATGTTTAGCTTTTCCCAAATTACCTTATTGTTTCAGCCAGATTCTCTCTATATGGCCTTTTCATGTATTCCATTCTTTATCTATATTTCCTATTTTGTCTTATTTCAAGAATCCTTCTTATCTCTTTCTCTCTACGTTTCTTTTTGTTCCATCTGTGTTATTCCTCTTATGGGTGTTCTCGTCAACACACCCATCCCTTTAGCTTAAGCTCCACCCTATAGGCTTCTAATTTTCAGTTCAAACCCTTTTTTCAGTCATTTTCTGTGTTCTCATGTGTTTACTTAATTTCTGTAATTCTCTCTCCCTCTCTCTCTCTTATTGAGATCAATTTTTCATTCGAGACGTCATAAGATGTGTTCGAATACCCGGAAATAGCCATTTTGAAGTTTTTACTCGTGTTTCTTCATATTTCTTACTTGCTCTATATCTTATTCTTATTTATGATGTTTAAGGGCGTGGAATGTCGGGAAAAGAGCGCTCAGAACCACAATGGGTCACACCATCTTCCAATCAGGTACCATCCCAAGTACGTCCACAACACTCACATTGATTTGCTGTGTATGGTAAGAGGGAATAGAACTCATCCTTTTCATTTTCGCTATAATAATTTTCACTGAAACGGTAAACAACTAACAACATCTTAATTTTGTGTTTTAAAAATTTTTGACTGATGAGTTCTTATGCCCTATTGCTAACTAATTGCTTGCTTGCTAGTCATCTTACTTCAGTTCGTAGAAGCTGTTCGAACAGTCGAGCAGGAATAATGATGAAGAGAGAATGTGATTGAATGCATGAGAAAGACAGTAGTAATCAGTGAGATTATTATTATTTTCTTTAATCCTCACATGAGTACTCAAAGTTTAGCCTCCACACAGCTGCACGGCATTGCATGAATACTATGTATCTCTAACAACCTGTGCATTTCCTATGTTTCAATGTGAGAATGACCATATACGAGAAATGCTATGACTGACTCTATTTATGTTTATCAACTTGTGGTGCAAATAACTTTCTTCTGAATGATGTATGTGTGTATATGTGTGTGCATGTGTGGCACTGAGTTGTATAGCATGACTGATTGTTAACACAAAGTTTCTTTCTTCTATGTTCTTATTTTGTATATTAGCACAATCCCGCTTTTTAGCTTCTCAATGACTTTCAGTTTACTTATTTTCTTCTCTTTTCAAGGATGTGCCTCCCGACTATGAGACGATAGGAACTATTTTCGGTTACTTATTGGTAGCCTTATCATGGGTTCTCATTATTGTAACTTTTCCATTTTCCATGTGTGTATGTCTCAAAGTATGTTCATCATCAGTTATTCCATACTACATACACCTTTGCAGGTTATCAAAGAATACGAAAGGGTTGTCATCTTCCGAATTGGTCGTTTAATCTTCGGAGGTGCTCGCGGGCCCGGTATGATTTTCGTAATTCCATGCATCGATACTTATAGGAAAATCGACTTGCGGTATGTAATTAGTAATTTACTCCTTTCATTCATTTTCTCTTAGTGTCGTCTCATATGCAGTACCTCCACAGGAAATTTTGTCGAAAGATTCCGTGACAGTATCTGTCGATGCCGTCGTCTATTTCCGTACATCAGACCCCATCGCATCCGTCAACAATGTTGATGATGCTATCTATTCAACTAAACTTCTTGCTCAGACCACTCTCAGAAACGCTTTAGGTTCTTAGTTTTTTGAGTAATTGTTGCGAAACTTTCATTTCCCATATTTCTAGGTATGAAAACCTTAACAGAAATGTTAACTGAGCGTGAAGCTATAGCACAACTTTGTGAGACCATTCTCGATGAGGGTACAGAACATTGGGGCGTTAAGGTTGCAACTACTTTGAAAATTATCTCACACCACATCTCTGTTTGCAGGTAGAAAGAGTGGAAGTGAAAGACATCCGTCTCCCTCAGCAACTCACAAGAGCTATGGCTGCCGAAGCCGAAGCTGCTCGTGAAGCTCGAGCTAAAGTCGTTGCGGCAGAAGGAGAACAAAAGGTGACTTTTATTTCCTTTATAGGAGTCTAGATCAAGAAAGATTTCTCACTACTCTCGTATCAAATTTCAGGCATCTCGTGCGCTGAAAGAGGCAGCGGATGTCATTCAAGCCAACCCTGTAGCACTGCAGTTGAGGCATTTACAAGCATTAAATAGCATTGCGTAAGTTTGTTTCCCATTCTTTCAATACCACCAAATTTGGATGGTTCTATTCTTCACCACACAAATAAGGGTTGAGATTAAACACCAGCTAGCTCCGGCTCAAAAATTAATCGATTGATGTTACCCTTTTGTTTTCTACTACTCGTGCAGCACACTCAGTGAACCTTCTACTTTCAGAGCTGAGCATAACTCAACGATCGTCTTCCCCGTCCCGGTAGAAATGTTTGGAGCATTCATGAAGAAAGATGTATAATATAAGCTTTATTTAATTAATAATTTCCAATTGTTTCTATTTCTACATGCAATACATAAATTATGCTGTACATTCAGCGAATACCTTACATTTCTTTCCACATGTTTTTCTTTTTTGTCAAAGTCATTGGGCAGATTAATTGTGTTGAAAGTTGTTCGAAATCATTCATGACTTTATTTTTCTGTAAAGCATTCAGCAATTGTCCTCTTTCACCCGGTCTTGTTAGTAGTTTCTTTAGATCCATAATACCCTTTATGGTCACTTTCCTTTTTCTATTAAATGCCAAATTTCTATCCGTGCCAATGTTTACTTAAAATATTACAATCGTTCATGTGAAAATGGATGTTCGTTATAAAATTTTACACATTTATCATGAGATGCCTTGATTTGAAAGGAAAATACAGAAACACAACGGAAGTACGATCATCACCATGATCGCCAAACAAAACAAATAATTAAGTTGGAATAGATATTTTTTCAGCTGCTAACTTCAAGATCTGATCTGACTTCTTCCTCCAGTGTTCCACATCTTTAGAAATTGAAGTCCATAATTCTCCGTGCCTAGGCTCTGCCTCGATACATCGATCAACAACTTGCTTCTGCTCCACCTGCAATCACACCTATCACACTTTTTGATAGCTACGAAAACACTACATCTGTTCCATGAACAAGCTCGAATTTGTAAAAGTGTGCAAAAGCATCTCCATTATCGGAATCCACATTGACAGCTCTATTGAACCATTCTCTAGCTTTCCGCACCTGAAAAGCATGAACTACTCCATTTTTCATAAACACAATTACTTTTCGGTCAGCCCAGAACAGTTTAGCAGCAGCTACCAAAACATGAGGATTATGTTCGCATTTCTTCAGTGCGTCAATAGATTTGGCTCTTCTTCCATGACGTTCCTCCATGCCTATAGCCTCCGCCCATAAACGACCTTAAAAACAAATATTTCATATGGGTCTTTAACGCATATAGAAATTTCAAAAACAAACTCACCAGAAGATTCACATTCTTGAAGAGCTCGAGCCATGCGTTCGGCAGCTAGTTCTTTAGAACCGTTTCGAAGTTCCAAACGAACCTAAAGTTCAAATTAAGCCAAAATACTCTGGAAGTTATAGAAACATACAGCTTCCAACCATAAATCTTCATTTTTGGGATTACAAAGTCTTGCTTTCTCCAAATCAGAACGAGCTTTTGTGGACTGCCCTTGAGATTCTTCTAGTCGACTCAGCAAAACCCAAAGAGGGATAGCTCCAGTACACTTTTTGACCTTAACGAAACAAAGGGAAATGATAAAAACGGAAAACAGCTCACTCCATTCGTGAACCATTTCCTCGCTTCAACATAATTTCCTTCTTGCTGATATATTTGCCCCATCATCATGTACAACTTCGAGAAGTCGTCATATCTTAAGAACATGCTGAGTGATTTTAGAAAACAAAACAATTTTACGTTTCCAATCCTTGAATTATGAGATCTTTCGCAGCTTGAAGCTCTCCAAGACACCATTCCAGCCTAGCACTTTTCATCCACATTCTGAAACTCGCATCTTATCATGTCGTTTCACTTGATTGAGTACCTAGCAGACGGAGCGCTTTGTCTAGCTTTTTCTAACAAGCGTCTAGCTTTGTTATACTCGTTGTTTTCGTACTCTAACTTGACGGCAGCCATCCAGATTCCTTCAGAATTAGCATTATGCTCGAAAGCCTGAAAATTGCAAAATTAAATGAAGTTAAATCTAAGAAACAAACCGCAGCAAGGATTTTTCTGGCTTCAGGAACAAAGCCTTGGAGCCATTTCGATTTGGCAAACATAAGCCAGATAACTTCAGCGTTTGGACATGACCGAGTTGCTCTCTCCAGCAATGAATCGTAAGCTTCTCTGAAAATCAGGAAGTTCTAACATGAATCCGATTTCATTTGAAACATACACAGTGCCATGTGACTTTTCGAAATGAGCCGCAGCAAGCCAAATACTTTTCTTAGGAATTTGAGCCAAAGCATGTTCGTATACAGCACGAGCACAGTTAATAGCTCCTGCAAATTATAATCGAATAAGAAAGAGAAAATGAATGAAGAACAAACCTTGCTTCTCGAAAGACTCGGCATCTTCCATCCAAGTATTTCTTCTGTCTTCATCTTCAATACCGTACCCGATAACATTCTTGCTGGAAAAGATACAACGTATCACTGCAGAAACTTATTGACTCACATAATAGCTTTAGAAGTAAGTGGGCAAGATCCTTGTTCGCAATCAACAGCATCCTTCAACCATTGATCGCGATTGACTTCGACCATATTTGCCTTCAGAGATACTAAAGCCTGGAAAGGATAATAACTTAGGAAAAAACATATAAGTTTCATGCGGACCTTGTCTACGATACGATCAACAGTTTCCTTCTGTCCTCGAGTTTCTTCTAATCTAGCAGCACTAAGCCAGATCTGGCGATCGGTAGGAATATGCTCACGAGCCTTATTCAAAACCTAAGAAACAAGTCAACACTAGTATTTCTAAAAACACTTTACCTTACGAGCATTCTCATACGTTTCTAAACGAGCCAAAGCTAACCATAACTCAGTAGCAGTACTAGAAAAAAACAAGTATTTGTCTTGTATCGATGTATTCACCTGCAACACTCTACAGCACGAGTCAAGAGAACTCGAGCCTCTTCAGGATCTTCCAACTCAACAGCAGCTTTCCAGAGACGAACAGAAGTAGGAATTTGTTCCAATGCTTTTCTGAATACCTACAGAAGAAAAATGAGATGAGGAAATTAAAGAAATATTACCTTCTTTCTTGCTTTCAAATCAATTTCGATATCAGCTGCCTTCATCCAAATACGCACACTGTGAGGTAAATGTCTTACAGCATTAGCAACAATAGCTTTAGACTGCTCAGGAGGATGAAGACTTAAATGAACAAGGTTAGAGAGAAACTGATATTGTATTCACGAACCGGACAGCTTCGAGCCATACATCTTCGCTTTTTTTATTCTGATCACAACCTTCCATAATCAAATTACGCGCAACCTGAAAAAAAGAGTTTAGCTCAGAGCTAATGTAACATCATACCTGTAACTTTCCGACAACTTCTTCAAGTCTAGCACTGGCAATCCAAGCTGGAGGATGCTTTGGATTTGTTTCTCGCACAGACTTCAACAACATTCTGGCCTTAAACACAAGATTCAAACATTGCTAAACAGTTCTGCGTTCATACCTTCTTAACATCATTAATATCTCCACCATACTGAGGAATCATAGATTGTAAATCTGTGAGATAACCTTTAGGATCAACAACAGTTTGTCCAGAAACGGAATCTGACACCTTCAAAAAGCAACTTTAACTCAAAATCGAATGAATGACTAACCTGGTTAAGCTTGATGTCCATAATCTTATTTCTAGCCTGACCAATCTTGATTAAGTCCAAATCGTTGCTTGATTTGATTCCTGATTGTATACCAGTCTTCCATCCTGGTGTCATAATACCTCCTTGAAACTAATGGTAAAAAAATAGCAAATGATCATCTTACCTAGAGTACTTTGCATTCCAGAGCCGAAAGGAGTCATCATTCCGGATTGAACTCTCTCATCTAATGTGGCAGAAGATTCACCATATGATAAACCCATAGACAAGACTGAATCCGGTACAGGAGTAAAACTAAAAAGAAATATTTCTTCAATATATGATTGAAAACTACCGTTCATGACGGGGATTTCTTTTCGCTTTGTTTCTAGCATCTCCAACTTCAGGGATGGCTGCCCAATCATCTTCAGACACTTCAGCTAATTGACGCTTCAAATCAGAAAATTCTTGCTGAATCTTAGGTCTTTCTTTACGATATTTTTCAATGGCTTCTTTGTACTTCTTCTCTCTAAATTTCGAAAAAACATTACTCGGGTTACATGTACCGGTACTACCTGTATTCCTTACGACGCTCATCAATTCTCGTTTCTACAGCGTTGTATATTTCGTCAGCTTCCTCGTCTTCTTTGTCATAAGGATCTTTAGAGAAAAGACTTCCTCCATATCCTTCGAATTCATCATAATTGGTATCGTTGAGATCTTCGGCCTCCTCTTTCTCATCCTTAGCTTTTTTTACAGGTGGAGCTGTTCCTGCTTCGGGTACGTCTGTTGGATCTTTTGCAGGTCCAATATCAGATCTAGTGGTAAATCCAGTGGCTCCTGCAAATATATATCATCTATCTATTCTAAACAACATGTTTTCGACGTACCTCTACCAACACCAGGAACATAGCCAGTGGGGGCTGGCATGCCCATGAAATGTTTCTTGGCCTTATTAACCAGGGAGCCAGGAATAGTAGTAGCCATTCTATAATAAAAGTAAATAATATTACACTTTTCACAATATTTCACTTTGAAAGAGAGCTAAATCTTTAAGAGTAACGAGCTTCCATAAAAGAACCTCGCTAAACGTTAAAGCAGCCATTTCGCATTTTTTTTATTGCGTACGCAAGAGTTACCGTACTTTCAAAAACACAAGATGTACTGGGTGGTGAATTTTATGGCACATTTCGGCATTTGAATTGGATGTTGGACTGCAATGAGCATATTAAGGAGAAAATGGTTTAAGCGTTGTATTCAACCGCATCCTACCGCGATTCATTTCAAAATGAATTGTTCGAACAAGTTCACGGACGCGTTTTTTTCACGTGGACTGACGTGTTCAAATGTCTCACGTTATGAATGAGCAATGTTGTGTCGACACATGCCCAACTCGAGATATATCAAGGGGAGGTATACAGCGTTGTTTCTTTGCTACATTTCAAATATTTTGCAAAATAAGTTATGTAGTGAGACGGAATTATCCCGGGTCAGTTTCTTTGTGTTTTCATTTCAGAAGTTATTTATTTATTTATAAATGTAAAAAAGTTTGTTTTCGACATTTTCAATTTTCTCTGCTACAACATCTGTTATCATCACACAATGGAGACTACATGTTGGAAAACATGATCGTTCGCACATCCTTCCGATACAGATCCATCAATTTGGAGCGCCTGAGATACCTCTAAACACAAGTGAGTTTACTGTTTCTCGTATGCGTATATTATCTTGGCTGCTTAACTTCTCATGGCTAGTGACTATTAGAATATGAAGGTGTGTGTGAGAGACGTCGAGAGATCTCTCGAGAGCAGGAAGAAAGACATTTATTTTGGAAATCATTAGCATTTCAAAGATTTTTTCAACAGCTGACGACTTAAATCTGTGAAATAATCAAAAACTGAAAATAAAAAAGATAAATGTGTTTTTAATGACTTCTGTAGACTTCAAGTGGGCAGAAAATTAATGGAGGTATGCACGTCCCTATAGTCGACCAGTGTTTGTGAAAATAAAAAGCACACCTGATGTTCACAGTTTGAACCATTAATCTCTTTTTTTTATTCTCCCATAAGAATATAGCCTTAAAAAATCGTAGAAAAAGTTCTCAAAGCTGATCTGATAGTTTTAACTCGCGAATTAACTAGAGCACAGTTGTCTGCGGTCGGCTTTTCGGAACATTACCTGAAGAAGATAGAGACAGGCCGCTTAAAGCACCTGATTAATCTTGTTCTTGTTCGACATCCAATACGATACAGGAAGCTTTCGGTATTTCGTTTTGACTTTGACTCTTGTGCCGCTAACCAATCTGATCAGAATGGCATTGTTTAGACGTTTAAATCAAAAAAATGTCTGTTGAGATGTTCTTTCGATGATTTACTTATCTAATTTAACATGTCAATGATGTAATGTCAAAGGACAAGCCTTCTTTATGTACAAGAAACATTGTGTTCGTCTCAGTCATATGTTATACCCTCTCGAGAAACACATAATGACTGATTATATCACTTGATGATATCAAAATCTATCTGTCAACTAATATTTAATCGATAACCCTGCTCTATCCTCATTAGCTGCGCCAATAACGATAGTGTGAGAAGAGTGTTTTTTATCCTCCAGGATTATTTTAAAACTCATAAAAGCTGTTCTGCAGTTTTACCACCTTCTCAAGTTTTTTTTAACGGCTTTCGGGCGAAAATTGTTGGTCTTCATCTTTGCTCCGAATTTCTGGCTCACCAGGTTTGAAGCTTCTCAAGACATCACTTGTCCATCTACATTCTCGACTCCTCCACAACTCCACAACTTAATAATAGTTGTTAAAATAAAGGCGAACACACTCACAAACCTTCTGTTTTCGCTTTTTCTCTCATTCTCTGTGCGCTGACAAGCTGCTCAGGTTGGAACTGAAAATGACGAAGTCATCTTCAGGCATTTTATGTTCTGATGAGAAAATGCATCCAATTCTGATCTGTTATTTCTTACGCGCCATACGCAATGACATAGCACATCGATCATTGTCTTTTCTGATTTTGTGAGCTCAGTCAGTTGTGCCGTTTATCTTTCAATCGCCTCATCTTACATGCCAACAACAACTACGTTTCATGTTCCACTCTTTCATCTATTTGCCACCAAGACTGTTTTAATAGGTGACTGCTTCCCCCTTCTTATGGCTTCACTTTCACTTCCTCATGAGAAAATCTGGAGAAGAATGGTCACCAATTCCTTGATTCGAATGAATTCAAACAATAGCAAATCGTTGTTTTTGTTCTACACAAATCACAAGCTTCCATATAAAACCTGAGCATCTTAGGTATTCTGCTCTCAAATAAGGAAGACCCCGTATGCTCACCAGTCGCTTCAGACTTATACGCATAGTAAACTACGTGTGTCCAGCCCATAACTAGCTCTAGCATCTCACATTCTTTCTCAACTTCAAGAAGAAAAGATTGCCAGAATCTATTCTCTTATCCTTTCTCTTTTATCCTTTATTTTCCTTTCTTTTTTTCTCTTTTTCCTTTTATTTTTCTCGACGAAAAACTGTTTTTAACTTCTTTACTTTTACTTCTTAACCAAGCAAATGTTTACACGTTTCCTCCTTTAGAATCTTTCGGTACTTTCTCAATTTTACCTCCTCTACTTTGGAAGTCTCGAGAGGATTTTTGATCAGTTTTTCTTCTTTCATGCAACATTACTTCTCGCTGTGTCGTGATATATCGAAATATCTCATTTCATATTCTTTCCACTAGTTAACTATTTTTTCTACAAACCTTTGGTCTAGTCTTCTCTCTCTCTTTCTCTCTGTTCCAAATTAAATATTTTTTAGTAAGAATTGAAGCTGGCTTCGCCACGTCAACACGATATAACACTGGCTCCACATATCATTAACCGTACAAACGAACATCTCCAACCATGCACTATTCTGATCAATGACATCCAAAAAGTTTCTTGGAAATCGCTTTCACATACCATATCTTAAACATGTTTAGTGTTCAATGACTAAGAAACCTGTGCCACTTCCTCCAGTACGGTCAAGCTCTAGCCAGCTGACTTCTAGGGCAGATATTGATCGGAGAAAAAGGTAGAGCTACAACTCATTCTGATCACCGAGCTTTTAAAGATCAAATTTGGCGCCTTCTGTTATAACAGGCAGTCCAAACTGTTCCGAGCCCCGGAATACTCCATTGATTAGGGTCAATTCCGATATCGTTGAAACGTCTTCCAATCACTTATCACCGAACTATAGTCGAAATCCACGAGCACCAAATAAGCACTTGAAATCAAATGGACTAGGTGAGTATCAAATCAATTTGTAACCCAAACAGAAATGGAATTTATTACTTTTGTTTTGGTAGTATAAGTGTAGAAACGCGGTTGTTTATAATTCTGATTATTTATTCATAGCCCTGTGAATACCTGCCTATGAAGGACAAAGAATCGTCTTGAATTTCAGTTGCAACTTAACTTCGTCGTTAACGAGCAATTATATTCAAAAACTAAGGGAATGGCCATTTCAACTCACTGCTCATTCTATAACATATTAGTCTACAAGTTCTAGCTCATATAAGGCTCTATTCCATACATGACCGCTTGGCGCAATGGTAGCGCGTTCGACTCCAGATCGAAAGGTTGGGCGTTCGATCCGCTCAGTGGTCAAAAGTTTTGCACGCAAGTTTGCTCATGCAGTGGTTAAGAAAATAGAAAATTATGAAAAACATTCGTGTTTTCACCGAACTAGCTACAAGAACAGAGAGTGCGAGTTGCCAAGCTCAAAATAATTGACGTCTGGGAACTAAAGATGAAGTTCGTGATTGAAGTGAAAATCACTCTCATCACGCAAGAGAAAGTATGAATAATTAACTCTCAACTTTGTACCTTAATAGTTTCGTGACAACTGCATTTGTCCTAACTTCCTCAAGTGGATCCGTTGCTTCCAATTCTTTGGAAATGGAAACTCCACGGAGCATTCGATCTGATGATGACTTTATTCCCTACATATCTTCCTCTTCTTTCAACTCATGTGAGTTTTTGTTGTGTGAGACCGAAACTGGAAGATGCCTCAGACCCATTTTACTCGGAAACTTCGGAGCAACTCTTTTGACTCAACGTTCCTCATTAGTTAGAGACGCAATTGAACAATCAAATCAATTGAATCAGGACTTACATATCTCCCGAGCGTCCGCTTGACCTTCGTCCACTTCGCAACTGGCGAAGATTGTTAGGTCATCAGCTCTTCGAAGAGTAATTAGATTATTGGAAGAGCACAAGAAAGCCCGAATGGCCAGTTCATCTACCTTAAGCGGCGAGAGATCGCGATGCTTCTTTTTTGTTGTTCACACCTCAAGAATTATTTGTAAAGAGCAAGGAACGTTTAAACATAAGACGCTGCGCATTTTCGCTAAAGACTGGTGATCCATTCTTTTTTCTTTTCAAGTATGCTCTTTGAACGGAATATGCCTAACGATGCCGATGACATTGTTTCAGTTCATCATCGCCAAAAATCAAACGTTTCAAGCGCTCGTCGGATGAATTGCATTATAGTGCCTGTTCCTTCAATCTCTTACACTCTCCTGAAGTCTCACTTTCTTACAAAGTTTCTCTTAGAATATATGAAAAATACTTGAGAAATATTGAAAAAATGCCTATGAGTTCTTTGGAGGAGAAATCTTCCTGTCACTTCACTCTTATCCCAACACAACCTACTCAGCGATCATTCACTCCATGTTATGCAGGTGAAACCTTTTAAAAACAAATGAGAACTTCTTTGTTTTTCTTATGCTTATAACTATCATGGCCATTTGAATAAATTATAATAGCCGATAATCACATAATTTCCATAAATGAGCACATATTTGTTAGTTCGCCTGCCCACACGCAAAACATTTCAATATTAGCAGCAGTATGGATGGACCAAAATAGGAATAATACCTTATCGAATGGAGAATTTCTTTTTTCAGACATGAAACCAAGAGACACCATTGTTAGTTTCGCAGAAGACCCTGTTCCTCCGAGCCACTGTTGTTGCGGAACCATACGCGTCGAAGTGAGGTTGATCTGTCATTCTCTATGTAAAGCTATCTTCAGAGTGGTTGTAAAATAGTGGCCATTCTCTCCTTAATAGGAATGACAACAAATGCTATCCTCTACTTCTTCGGTTTGAGCCGATTAGGATTGAGCACATATTTGGAGTTATTCATTATCGTTTTCGATTTCATAGCAGTTGTTTGCCTGTTTATGGGTGTGTCAAACAAACGCTCCTCAATGCTCAAACCTTACTTACTTTTCATGGTATGCCATGCTTGGCCGCCCAAAACAAAACTTAACTATTCAGGCTTTATGGACCGTCGCTCTCAGTCTTCTATTCTTATCTTGTTTATGGAATGTTCTACGAAATAGAGAATTTCCCCGCAATCTACTACACAACGTTTACAGCTTAAAAGGTGATCCCGACCCTCACAGAATGCGCCATGTTCGTCACGGAGACGATGGAGGTAAAAAAAATATATTAAAAACTTACTTTATGATCTCGTGATCCCAATATCAACCGATCAGCGTCCTTACAAACTCAAAAAATGATAAACAACCCACTTTCCCGCGCATTTTCAGTGCACTTTGTTGTTACGACAGTTCTAATGGTGGCATTAGGGCTCGTAATTTTCATTGACGGCGTTTTTCTGCACGTTGTTTACCGTGGATTCCAGGTTTCTTGTGCTCTTTTGCCAATGTCATTAATTGAATTTAAGTTTTTTGCTTACAAAGAAGATAAAGAGCGCGAAGAGGAGGAGGGTAAGTCGCCGAGAGCGAATGGATCTAGCCCTATAGCTACTTGATCACAATAGTCTCAATATCACAACTCATTGTTCAGTCCACATCTTTCAAATGTTTCATTTTGTTAATTTGTTTTTCAGACAACACATTCCATAGTTTCAAAATATTTTAATGATGATTTCCGAGGATTTATTAGATCTCCTACATTCGGGTTGTATGTGTTCAATCATTTTATTTCAAGTTATAAATAAAGAATTTTTACTTTCCAATTATAGCCAAGTTTGTTTTGATGATAGGATCACACTTGTTCTCCAACCAGTCATTGATGTCGAGCTCCTACAATACGATTTCACAGATAAGTTTATTGACACATTCAAGCTACCTCGGCAATCTTCTCGAACATTTCATTCAACACTTTGATATACTCTAGTTTGGCATCATCTTGTGATGTGCCCTTCAATCCATTCCAGGAGTCCCTAAAAATTATTTCTGAGAAGGGTTCTAAGATATCTTTTTATGTCTTTCAAACTGTTTATCTTCTCTCGAACTGAACAGTTAAATAAATAATCAGTATTGATTGAACATACCACTTCTTTCTTTCAACGATGCTGAAAATGCCTGGACGTTCAGTATTAACTTCTCCAATAGTGGCTTGCTTGAAAAGCGAGTAAAACTTTAACTTTTGGTCGTTGCTGGTGCTAACGGGTCCTGAATGGATGAGAGTCAATACTCTACTACTTGGTAAGGTCATCTCTTACCTTCTTTTGGCAACTTCTGGATAATTTCGACAGCAGCATCAAACTTCTCGTTCAAAGACATTCTCTGGAATTGACAAGTAATGATATTAACCCTTATAGTCTACTTCTATAAACAGAATGATAAGATGGCTCGAATTGATAAAAAATCGTAAATCACAACGGCAAAGCACGTTGTTAGCATTGGTTTCTAATCAAAACAGGGGTGACACTTGGAAGAAGACTACAGATAAACTGCACTATATCGCAAAAGGTAGAGAGAAGGTGAGATGAGTTGAGGTTTCCAGCGGAGCTACAGACTAACATCCGGACAACTGATTTGTTAGGGGATACTAAAAATTAGGATTCATTGAAAGGAATTGTGGCCAGATGCGGTCAATAAACGGCCTGACCTAAATCTAATTCTCAAACATCTCTTATATTTCTCAAATTCAAGGTGATCGAATATCCTTCTACGAGTGATACATGACTGAATGGTTTTTCAGAGACTTTACGAAGTTCTGAAAGAAAACGAGTGGACGTAGAGAACAAGAAACTGTCAAATTGAGGCTATTTGAAGATAACTTTCGAAATTCACTTTCAAGACAAACACGTAACACTCTTGCATAGGTTTGATAAGTTAATTGAGGAGGAATGATAAATGCAACCGTTCGATAGCGTGCCACTGGAAGAAATGAAGTCATGACATATGCAAATTTTGACGTCAAAAGTTTCACGTATACCACGTGTACTAGTGAATTTACACGGCGGAAAGAATTCGAGTGAAATCTTGATGAAAGGAATGATAATGAAATAGAAGGGTTCTAATTGCTCCGAAATAAAGTGAAAGTAAAGTATTTATTCAGTATTTAAGTTACAAAAAAAAGAAAAAAGTTTCAGGTTCGGAATATAAGGTTCATTAACGGTAAGAGTGTGGTTGCAATGCGTCTAGACGGAGCTCGGGACTATCTAGGAAAACCAGACATGAGCAGAATATTATTTACTACATCAAGGATGGTTTCTAGAGTAGAGCGAATGCATTCCAGCATTATCAAATGGGAAACACATTCACGCCCCTGTATGACCGCGTCCAACCTTGACTGTATTATTCCGGGATGTGTAGTTAGAAATCCCGATTAACCACTATCTTCAACATGAAGATGTTGTGTGCGTTACTTGTTTGAACTGAAATGGTAAAGAACAACGCTTTTCAGTTTTTTCAAAAGGGATGTTGCAATGAACAGTTCCAACGTCATCAGCCGTATTAAGTGATTGAAAACACATTTGTGCAAAGAATAACATTTATAATGAATTCCCATGGAAAAGTATGCAAGAAAGCCGACTCCCAATTCTTACATGGTCCCACAGTCAAGACGATCATTAAATCTTACCATCGTTCGATAAAGAAAACGCAAGAAAAACCCCGCGTTCATCGCCTTTTCCACTAGTTTCTCGCATTTTAGAAAAACGTTGTCAATTGCAATTTGTATGCTTGTTACATTAGTTCATATATAGTTCGAGGAAGACAGTTTTGCTTTATCATTATACGTGATATACAAGACTCTCCTTATTTGTTCAAACAATAGTGCGCTACAAGTCAGAAACTACATGATAGTCATGTTCAAAGATCATAAGTTTCTTTCTTTCGATCAATGTATATCTTGAAATTCCCTTACTATTGGCTATTCTTAGTTTATTCCCGATGGTAAAAGGCGATCTCCGGTAACTCGAATAATATCCAACGTGACGGCCGGATCGGCTGTTGTTTACGGAGACCTTCGTTGTTCGAAATTCTATGCGCTCAAGCTATAACTATGAAAGTTCTTGTTTTAATTGTACTTTGTTCTATTTCAATATTTTTCCAAACAGTTTTTGAATAAGCTTTCTATCCTTTCAGTATCTTTGGAAATGCTCAGCAGAATTAGCCAACCTTTGCTGCAAACAGCTCAGAAGGTAGGTATTTACCTCTTATTTACTTGTGCATTTGTTACACCATCCAATTGATTTTTCTTAATTACGTTATTCTATTCTTTTAGACACTAGCAGCTTCTGCTAGAAACTTGATGCTCCATGAGCATCATGGTATGTCTGTTCTTCAAAAGGAAGACATCAAGGTGAGTTGTAACATGGCAACAACACTTAACATGGTTTCAGGTTCCACCTTTCGGAGTAGCCCGATCTGCTGAGCAAGCTAAGGATCAAGCCAGGAAAATTGGTTAGATTTTATTGGTTTATGATTTTATTTTGTTTCTTAAGGCGGTAAAGATTATGTAATCAAAGCCCAAGTTCTTGCCGGAGGAAGAGGAAAGGGAAAGTTTGACTCTGGTCTTCAAGGAGGAGTTCAAATCGTCTTCACGTATGTTTCGATCTTGTAATATCATATTGTATTCCTTTGCAGTCCAGAGGAAGCTGAAGAGAAAGCAAAACTTATGATTGGTTCTAATCTTGTAACTAAGCAAACTGACCACCGTGGAAAGAGATGTGATGAGGTAGTTCTAGAGAGTTATCGCTTAATGTTTTTCTTTCATAGGTTATGGTATGCAAACGTCTCTTCACTCGCCGTGAGTACTACTTTTCTATCACATTAGACAGAACAACAAATGTAAGTTGTATCATTATTCCTTTTGAACTTCCAATTTTAGGGACCTATTATCATTGGATCCTCTCGAGGAGGAGTCAACATTGAGGAAGTTGCTGAAACTGAACCAGATGCAATTGTTAAGGTTCCCATTGACCTCAGTGTCGGAATCACTGAAGAGATTGCCAAGGATGTTGCCACTAGAATGGGATTCCAAGTAAGTTCCATACCAAAATACGTTATATATAACTCTTCTCAGGGAGATTGCTTGACCCAGGCTTCTGAAATCATCAAGAAGCTTTACAACTTGTTCAGAAAGAGTGATGCTACTCTCATCGAAATCAACCCCATGGCTGAAGATGTTAACGGAGATGGTTAGTAGAGATAGTCTTCACACAAACGTCATACTTTCAGTTTATTGCATGGATTGCAAACTTCTCCTCGACTCTAACGCTGAGTTCCGTCAAGCCGATCTCTTCTCTCTCAAGGATTCCAAACAAGAGGATGAACTCGAGGTAGTATTAGGAGATTGATTCATATAACGAACCATGTTTGAAGATCCGTGCTGCTGCTGCTAACTTGAACTACATTAGATTGGACGGAAATATCGGATGCATGGGTAAGATTCGAGTAGTTGACGGATTATTATAAGATTTTTCAGTTAATGGAGCTGGATTGGCTATGGCCACTATGGATATCATTAAACTTCACGGAGGAGAGCCAGCTAATTTCCTCGATGTTGGTGGTGGAGCTACTGTTGAACAAGTCACTGAAGCTTTCAAGATTATCACAGCTGATGAGAAAAAAGTGTTGATCTTCATGTTTCCCCTTTCTTATCACATTCTTACAGGTTAACGCTATTTTAGTAAACATTTTCGGAGGAATTATGCGTTGCGACGTTATCGCTCAAGGTATTATTCAAGCTGCTAATGAATTGAAACTGAAAATTCCAATCGTCGTTCGTCTCCAAGGTTCGGGTTATTGATATTCCTGTCGTCATCATCTGATTATAGGAACAAAGGTTGAGGATGCCAAGGCTCTTATTGCCACTTCTCAGTTGAGGATTCTACCATGCGACAATCTTGACGAAGTACGAGTGTATTTATAAGATTTAAGTACAGATTATGTTTTAGGCCGCCAAGATGGTTGTCAAACTTTCAAACATCGTGAACCTTGCTCGTGCCGCTCAAATCGATGTTAAATTTGAACTGTCCATCTAACTCTAGTCGTGTCTTAGTCAATTAGATTAATTTGAAAACAGAGTTTTAGCACAAATAGCTGAGTTGTGTTTTATTTTTGAATACAAAACAGGCTTGTGTGTTTGTAAATGGCTTAACAATCAAACTTACCATCTTGCTCTCAGTTTGCAATACACATGTGCACTCCTCTTAGTGACTTGACTATAATAAAACAGCTTTTAAGTGAACGCTTTTATTTGAGCAGGTCTTCATAAAACTTATTTCTCTACCTTTTCCATGTTTTCAATGTTTCAAGGGTTTTCCCTGTGCAATATTTCGTTTCGTGTCGAGAACTAATTAGATTTGAAAGGTGGCAATCTCTCTAGTCACCCCACTGTCGCACTATCTTATCAAAGAAAGGGGAGAGACAGATAGAACTGGAGTGTGACCACCCACTGTATCCCTACAATTCGTTATTTGTACTTATCAGCAGAGTGAGGAACAGTCGATCTCTGAGACTTGCCCCTTATTATATCATGATGACGAAAACTTGAGTATCTTAACAGTTATCTGTCTCATTTTGATTATTCTGTCTGCTTAGGAACATCTATGACGTTTAGAGTTTTTCAGGATGGCCTCTTTGACCATTCGCGCTGGGTTAAATGCCAGTACACGTTTACCCACATCATCACTACTCATCATCGGACATAATCGTCACATCAAAGCTTTTTCGTATGATGAATTGAAGCCCAAAATTGGAGAATGTGTCTGTAAGTTACTCCTAGTGTTGTTCTCTTGATACTTCAATTCCAGCTGAAGCACAGTGGAAACATGCTGTGGAGATACTGCCCAACTCTGGATCACTCCCTCTGTACTTTAACCAAGCCAGAATAGCTTCTATCTCTGACAAACTATCGAGAGGAAATTCTCCAGCCAATCCAATTGAGATCTTCAAAGAGGTTAAGAGCTCAAGCTCTCTCAAGGGTTCTGAGGTATCAAAGTCAAGCTGAACGGAGAGTTTTGAAAGTCATGTTCAGACGATGAATATTGTTTTACTGGCTGATTATGAACACGTATTAGCCAGTGTTGCTGCTATTTCTCGCTCTTTCCCAACTTACTGTCGCAAGACTGGTAAGTCTGAGGACAATATTAGCAGCATTGAAGTTGAAGTTGTTGTCACCAATGGAAAGGTAACTGTTATTATTGGATGGGAAACCTTTTCTTGTTCCAGGCCCTCACAGAGAACGATGTTAGTTTCTTATCTGCTCTTTCACACGCTATCAGAGAAGCTGGACGCCTTATTGATGCTCCAGCCAATGAACTTACTACCGATGCGTTGGTTGATGAAGCCAAGGTGGTTGCAGCCAGTCTTGGACTGACCCCTACCATAATCCAAGTGGGCCTTTATCAGTGGAACTAGAGCATAATCTTTGTTTAGGGTGAAGAGTTATTGAACCAAGGGTTTGGAGGAATCTATCATGTAGGTAAGGCTGGTCCTACCCCACCAGCTTTTGTAGTTCTTAGTCACAAGTACTGTTGATTTAACTTCTTACTTCATTATACAAATTCTTAAGACCAGCGGGTGCTACCCAGACCTATGCACTCGTAGGTAAGGGCGTTGTCTATGACACCGGTGGAATGCAAATCAAGGGAAAAACTGGAATGCCAAGTAGATTTCTTTATCTGCCAGACAGCGTCTTATGTACTATGTTAAGATATGAAGAGAGATATGGGTGGAGCCGCTGGATTTTTACATGCTTTTGCCACTTTAGTAAAGGCCGGTTTCAAACAGAATCTCCATGTTTGTTTGTGCATTGTTGAAAACCACGTCAGCCCGATCGCCAAGTAAGAATAGAGTCGTCATCTTGCACAATTTGCTAATCATTGCAGTAAACCTGATGACATCATCAGAATGCTCAGTGGAAAAACTGTTGAGATCAACAATACTGATGCTGAAGGTCGTTTGATTCTTGCTGATGGAGTTTATTACGCTAAACACACCCTTGGTGCTGACACTATAATTGATATGGCAACTCTTACTGGAGCTCAAAGTTATTTGACTGGAAAGCTTCACGGAGCTGTCTTGACTAACAGTGAAGATTGGGAATTGAAGGTGAGAATAATAAAGTGAGACCAATTCTCAATCTGAACTTGTAGGCTCTCCAAGCAGGAAAGAGATCGGGAGATATGCTTGGACCAATGCTCTTCTGTCCTGAAGTTCATTTCCCTGACTTGAAGAGCAAATTGGCTGACATGAAAAACAGTAACTTGGGAAAAATGAATGTGAGTTATAACTTCAGCTATTCTGATTACTAATTAATGAAAACAGGGACCTCCATCAGCAGTAGCGGGTCTTTTCATTGGAGCTCATATTGAGTTTGGTGAAGGGTTGAACTGGTTGCATCTCGATATTGCTGCTCCTGCCGAGTGCGAAGATAGAGGAACTGGGTACGGGCCAACACTTATGAGTGCTTTGTTGGGAAACGACACAAATGTCCCATTATTACATCATTAAGAACTTACTGTTTGTACTATATCGAGTGTGTTATAACATTGGATTGTATGTATTCAATAATTTTAAACAATGAAATATCCTTTTTCTTCGTTATACGAATTACTCGATTGGTTCACACCATCTCATACACGGCTTTTTACGGGAACAATCAAACTAGGACTAATCTAGAAGATGAGTGATGTTGATGAAGTAGCTGATATGCTTGAAGATCTTCTTTCAAAACACCGAAAAGAGAAGAAAGCACTTAAAGGTAATATCTCTCATGTTCTGAATCACCCATTATGTTCAGAAAAATGTTTGAATCTCAAAAAAGTAGCCAAAACCGGGAACAAACAGAAGCAAAAAGAAACTAGTGCACAGATCGAACAGCTTGAGAAAGAGCTTGAGCAGAAGCACAAGGCTGAACTTGAGATTGTAAGCATTTGAATGGTAATGTTATTGAAGCTCTTTTACAGGTCAAACCAAAAGAAACTGTTGAAGTAGTAGAAGCCAACATTGAAAAGGATCCCATCACTAATGATAATGAAGAAGCAAGCTATTATAGTGAACGCAAAATGACAGGAAGACAAGCGAAACGACAAGCAAAGAAAGATGAGCAAGCGAAACGAGTGCAGGAAGCTATTCTAGAAGATCGTCAAAATTCCTCTTCTTCTTTACGGATAATTGAGTTGAAGGCCATCAACAAGGTAAAACTGAAATTTTATTTATTATTAATCTTCGCCTAACTCATACACAACCGTTCTCAGCAGCGTCATTCTGAGAAATGACAGAACTGCTTTATGCTAATTAGTGTGCTGACACGTGTATGACAATGACGCAACATTCCATAGTAAACTGATTCGAGTGATTCATTGTAAAAATGTCATCCTTTAATGAGCAAAATAGAAATTTTTATCACTTTTCTTTGCAGGTGCTTGATGACCAGGGTCTACAATTATTTGACATAGCTCCTGACGGTGATTGCCTTTATAACGCTATCGCTCACCAACTCTCAAAGATCAGTGGAAATGAAACAGTTGGGATAACCTACTGTTTTGAGCATGTATAATTCTTTTACAGACAACAGGAAAAGATATGAGACGACGAGCCGCCACATACTTGCTTGGCCATAAGGACGATTTTGCACCTTTCCTAACTAATGTAGCAAAGTTTTCGTAGTTCTCGTTCTCTACAATATCATTGCAGAGCGATGGGGAACCATTGGACGAATTCGAGTTTGAAGAGTATTGTGAAAATGTTAGGAATGAAGCTAAGGACGGAGGAGTTTGGGGTGGAGAACCTGAGTTGAATGCTATGAGCCTGAGTCTCGAGAGAAAGATAATTGTATGTTTCACTTCTAAATTTGATAGGAATCCAGCTGTTGTAGGTGATACAACCGGAAGGCCGTTTCGTCACTTTTGGAGAACAATTCACGACAAAACCTTTGACAGTGGTGTATCATAGGCATGCTTATCAATTGGGGGAGCACTATAACTCTACTCAACTTAAATCTGTTGTAGCATAATAATAATATTTTTTATTGTTCAGTTTTAAAGATAATATACGTTTCCGTCATAGTTTTGACATACTAAAGATGAGTTCAAAGCTTCGTATTTCGATTAGTGTTGTTGTGTATATTAGTTTATCGGCCTTTGGTTTAGAGTCTGTGCATGTCTTCGAATCATTATGACCCTGTTGTCAAAACAGGAGGTACCATCAATGATTTTTTCTTGTCATGTTACTTCGCCTGGAACAACTTCTGGAGCCTGTTAACCGGAAAAAGTCATCTTGAACGTATAGTCAGTATCTCTGATCTTTTGAACTGATTGTGTATCATTTTCAAGTTGGAACAGCAGGGGACACACAGAGCTTCATTGATAAGTCATGTTGAGTGGTTTTTACTGAAAGCAGGATGTGTTATGATAGAATCATTGTAAGGTGTGGAAACTGAACCTTTGTATCTGCGTTTTCAGGCCCCGAGCGGATCCAGAAGATATTTTTGTCAGATGTGCAGTGAGTGCTCAAGGAGAACACAGAAGTGCTCTAAAGTTCAGATTGAGCCGATACTTGAGTGAAATGAAAACTTATAATAAGCTTCGAGATAATGTTGTTCATCTTCACTTGACGTTTTTTTTAATCTCTTCAATAGGTGGAAGATCGAAGAAGGGAAGTGTTCAACCCCAAGAACGATGAGCATGTTGATAAGTTGAAAAAACTGTGGGAACTGACACTACCTGACAGGATAGACGAGTTCGCGTTGGTGTCTAAGGTTTGGCAAGAAATCGGGTATCAGGTAATCAGATCAAAGGAGATTAAAGAAATTTGTTTTTGTCTTCCAGGGTGTCGATCCATCCACTGACTTTAGGGGTATGGGAATGCTCTCTCTCGATCAGCTATTATACTTAGGGGAGAACTATCCTGAACAATTGAAGGCTATACATCAGATTTCACATCATCCAACAATTGGTTTTCCTATGGCTGTTGCAGGTTAGTCATTTTTGGAAGATTGTTCCATCGTTATTCAGGAATCACAATAACATCCTTCTGTCATCATATGCTTAGAAAAGGCGTGTTGCGTAAGCATTTCTATAACTTGAGCGCATCTCATCGCATCGATTTCATTGCCTACAACAACGCGTACTGTAAGCCTGCTTTTCCATAATGTAGTCATCATCATAGAATTCAGGTCGGATATTCACCCTTTTCTGCGAGTATTATAAGCGTAGCAATCCTAAATCCATCATGTCCTTCAACGAATATCGCCTGAAGTTCGAGAAAGCAGTTCATGAGTTTCTCGATCTAGACGGTGCTGACTTGAGTCTGTTGACAGTGGATACCTTGTGTACCTAGTTGGAAAGCTTATCGGACCAGAGATTTATTCCACGGAACAAAGATTACAATTTAAATATTATTATGAATAAGTATTTGTATATATACATGTGTATATATAAAAACATTTATTTCACTCCGAACTTCATCTTTATCGGAGCCCTCACGCCGCCTTTATTGAGTATTGTCTGTTGTTCCGTTTTGTTTAAAGCTTCTCTTTCTTTCTGCAACTCCTGTCGTTCTCTTTCCAATTGACTTCTTTGGGCTAACATGGCCAACTTTTCCTCATTCTGAAAGGACATCCTTTATACAAGCAAAGTCTAGCTGAGCCAACCAAACCGTAACCTAAGTTGGCTACTTCCATTTTTGGATGAACAAGATAAAAATCTTTTTCATTATCAAACCTGTGCTCTTCCAAAAGCTCACCTCGCCGAAATTCGATTACGTGAGCAGTGGGTATGCAGAAATCCTCCATGAACAACATTAAGCTGTATTAACAATAGACAAATTTGCGCTTGTTTTGAGCGTTTACTACTTAATTAGGAAATTGCGCGAAATATAACAAAAAGCTTATCATTATTTAACTATACTGAAAATATGGTTACAGGGAGACAGAGGCCGTAGAGAGATTTTTGAAATTATTGAAGAAAAAGAAAAACTAACATATTTCTTTTCACTTTCTTCAGCGTCCCTGATTTTCTGCTTCAGCTGCTCCTCGAGAGCTTCACACCGGCGACGGGATTCTTCCTGCTCATATTAGTTAGTACATTTAGACAAACTAACGGTTCTTACCTCTCGTCGACGAGTAGATTGAATTTCTTCAGCCATCTCGGCTTCAATTTGAACTCGCAATCTTTGCTCAACTTCAATTCTAGCCTTCCCGATGCGCTCAGTCATAGCCGCTTCTAGTTTATCAACACGGGATAATACCTAGACATCATTATGAGATTGAATTCAGGTTAAACCAATCACCTGTTCAGCAATTCGATCTTCTAAATACTTTCTAGCCGTTTCACTGAGAGTGGATGAGTCAAAATTGCCACTCAGCTCTTTTTGAACATCCTTCGGGATGATGATTCCTTCATTCTTTCTACAACAGTAGTATGAGATAAGAGAAACCAGATACCGCTCTTACTTTCTCTCCTTTTCTCGGCTTTTACTTCTATTTCTTTTTTTCTCTTTCAACAAACTGCCAAGCTTTCCTCCTTCTGCGTCAGACACTTCAGATGAATCAGCTCGGTGCCTAAAGCGTGTGTAATGAATAGAAAGGAATTATAGCTTACCTCCTCTTCTTTTCCTTTTTATGTTTACGTTCTCTTTCTCTACTCCTGTCTCGATCTCTATCTCGGTCCCTTTCACGACTTCGGTCGCGTTCTCTACTATTACGAGGTGATCGAGATCTTGAACGACCCATAATAACAAATGTAGCCTGAATGATGAAACGGATTAATGCATCAGGTTACTGATCAGGAAAGTAGTGAGAGGTTTCAAACCTCGGAATTAAGAAGCAACATAACAGAAGTAGTTATTGTATGTTTCAAGAAAAAAAAAACCCGCAAAGTTGGATAAGTGAGTATCAGAACAAAAACAGTAAATCAACAAGTAGATATTTCACATGAAAAAAAGGATTAATCTTGGCTTCCTAGAGGGGAAGAACGAGTTACTACAGGTGACCATCTCATGCAAGTTGGATCGAGTAAAAGTTTAGGCGCGCGAGCCATATTAAGTGATTTACAGTGATCGATAATTCGTCTATGAACGCGAACAACATATTCATCTGAAATGTTCGTAATGTTTGACGTTCATAACACTAAACCTTACTTGAACCTTTCCAGTATTTCACCATCTGCATCGTTTGTAGAGTGGAAACTATATCCGGCTCACTGATTCCGGAATGGATGGATAGTTCTCTGGCAGTTATATCTTCCACATTTTCCTTAAGTACTTGGTGAGTACTCAATAATGTAAAATTAAGACTGACCAGTTTGTCCATGACTTCAAGTAAACGCCACCACCAGTAGCTTCTGTAGCTTACTTTACCCAGATCGGACAGAGGTTTCTCTGGTGTGCCTATCCATCCTTCACGTTTCGATAGTTCATAACCTGAGAATAATATGTATGAGAATGTATAACGACCGAGTATTCTACTTAGTTGAATCAGAAGCTTTCCATATCCTTTTCTTTGATATGGAGGTAGTATCATTATGCAGGCCAAGTTGTTTTCGGACATTCTCTCTTTTGAGAAATGTCCAACAATATGCGCTCCATACTCATCAACCTGCAACGTTACTCATAGAATGATGTCTCACAGACGAATAGGAAGAATGCAACCGTTCTGTCCGTCTGCGTTACGACTAACGCATGGTGGAAACGAACGAAGAGGGGAGATCTAACGAAAATCTTGTATTGAGAACCTCACCTCACACAGAACATAGAAGAGGAAAGTGTCGACATCGTAGTACAGTGTCTTATGATCCATGAACAGTTTAGATAACAAACATAAACATTGACAATAAACCTTGAAATGGCAGCTACACAAAAAAAACCATGATACAACCTACTTTGTTCATTCTTCCGTCAATCTCAAAAACAGAAACTTTACCGCTTCGGTATATTTCATCGCCAGGGGGTTGACGAGTTTTACATGTATGCTTCTAGAAAAGGTTCAAATTCTATATAAGCTTAGCAATTCATACCTTATGACACAGATACTGATTCTGGTCTGGTGTGTAGACTAGACAGTACTCACATATGTATAGTCTTTCTCCTGCACAATCTTCAGGAAATGGGGAAAAGTACCATGTTGATATCTCATAGCTACCGAGTATGATCTGTTGGATATTCTTAACTTTCGTTCTCTGAAAATAACGAGATTGAAAGGAACATGAGTTCTCTCTTGCTTACCTCTTCATGCTCTTTTTCTAACTTAGCAGTAAAGGCATCCATATCATCATATGACTTTTGAACATGATGGAATTCTTCGTGTATCCGCCTTTGGCTTCTCGTTATAGTTCCTTGTTGGTTAGCTGTAAGAATAGAAGTATGCTTTCTATTTTGTTTTCGAATTGTACCGTCATTAACACCAGGGTTTATCTTGGGTGGGGGTAAGATTTCGGCTCCAGCAGGAGCAAACTCAACAAACCGTTCTCGCTCAACCCATTCATCCATTCTTCTGTCCATTCCGATGTAATGTATATAGTACAAGCGATGCATTCTTTTTGTTGGAGATTCACTGTTTGGAACCGCTTCATCCTCAAAATCAATCATAAAAACTGTGTAAGCCGCACAACATACCTCATCACCATCCTCAGTTAAGCGCTCTTGTCTAGTTCCAGGATTATGCAAATTCTTCTCTTTCTTCTCATCTCGATTCTTTTGAAGTTCTTTATTGCTGACTTCTTTGGTATCAATTAATACAGCAACCACCTATATTATATCACTTAACTAACAGGAAAGTAGTTTTAAATATACCTTTTCATCAACTTTTCCGTTGAAACGCTTTACGATGAAATTCGAATTTTTTCGAAGCTCTTCACCTGGATATATTTGACGACCATCAGCTGGTCTTTTCCTCATTTCAAACTTAACCTTTATTAAGTATTGGAAAAAAATGCAGGAAGTGTCAAACTCAGGCGAGTCAAAATCAATATACGCTTAAACACTTACAGGACGCCACTTTGCGTAGTTTACGACACATTACGTACGGAAAAAACAAAAATTAGAATAATGTTTATTTTATAAAAATAATTAATGAACGATCAGAATAGGAATGATTTTACACTAAATAAAACTTGAAGAAGTTCAAACTATTGTTTAATGGTCATTAATTCGGTCTTCATTTGTTCAACAGTGGCGATCAAGGCAGGAGCTGAGGGATTCGTCTTTTTGGCTGCAGCCTGAAAAACAAGATTGAAGCCGGTTCGGATAGTTGAGCTTGGATCGGCTCAAAGGAAGATTAAAATGGGAAGATCGAACGAACTTCTCTATAAATCTCGATGATTTTATCAGCTGCGGAACATCCAGCACCAATAACATCCTTCCGCTTTTCAGAAGCACCCTTAGTGTGACTAGCTATATAGTTGCTACTCTGTAATTTAAGTTGTTCATAATCTAATTTCTCGTAGTGGTTCTCAACCAGAATAATTCCATAAAGGGCACGGAGATCATTTGGGGTATGCTTAACAGTTTGCTCATAATACGACTTGGCAAGCTCGATGTTCTCCAGTCCACCCAGAGAATAGCGCACCTCAGCTAATCTTCTCACGAATAGACTATTTAAAGGCTATAATATGGATTCATCTTTGTTTTCCAGTGAATAAAAGGATTTACCGATATAAGAACGCATTCCTCCAAGCAATGCACAGCCTTCGCTAAATCTTCTTCTTCAATAAAAAGTTCACTCAGCTGTACCCAGGCTTCGGTATCGTTCAAGAAAACCTGTATGAAGTTTGTACATTCTATTATTAGATTATGAACTCACTCTTAAATAATCGTTAAGTTCTCTAATGGCTTCTAATCTTTTCGACTGAGCAAGGAAAAGGGCAACTTTACGCTTCCGGAACACCTAAACATCAATTTCAAAATAAGACGGAAAGAGGTGGAGTCTAACGTTATTTGCAGGATCACTCTGGATAAGGTCATCATAAATCTCTCCAGCTATCTCGAACCTTAAGCAAAGCTTGAAAAAACATATAGCAAGGAAACAACGCACTGTCCCTGCGATTCATAAAACATTCCTTTCAACTTCAACACACGTGAGCTTTTAGGAAAACGCCGACTTAGAGTTTTCAAGCATTCTTCAACGATTGGAAGGTTATGAGTATCCAAAGCAGCAAAGCAGAGCTGAACTTACGAATGATAAGCCAAGTGTCAATACTAAGGTTCAAACCTGCTCATAAATAACCCAAACTTCATCACCAAGACGAGAGCGATTTTTAGCTAAAGCATTCTCCCAGATTGCAACAGTCTGGGAAAACAGGACAGGTATGGGTAAGGATGCTATGACTTACCTCGGCACTTCTTCTAGCACCAGAATCTCTCCATTCCTTCAAAGTTTTCCGAGCATCTTAAAGCATAGAGATTAAGAAAAACGAGAAAAGATATACTCAGCACCTTCGAAAGATATTTTATTAAGTTCCACAGCGTCCATGTCTGTTAAAATATAATAGTATAGTAAAGGTGTTAGACGGCTAAAACGGTCCAGCAGCTTGGACCAATATGCGATTACTCTAGGTCGCTTGGTGCATACTCGGTGTCATGGTGTAATGTAAGTGTTGGATGTCCATTGTGCATACATCATGTTCACTCATTCAGTGGTACCCCTCTCCCCCATGACCATATCTTTCTAAGCTTTCTTCATATCACGTATTAGGCAAGAAAATCATTTAATTAACTCCAGTACGAACCAATAGAAATCAATAATAATACATACAACAATAAAATTAACAAAGATCACAGGCATATGATGTAGTCTATCCTGGACAAAATAGGAGGAATATTGTCTGCATTTCCACCTGTGGCCTTCCATGTATTCGTAAGAACTCTTTAGAGATGTTATAAACTATTCTCAAGCCAAGTCTCACCTCAGAGCCTGCTCCTCACAAGACTTTTTGTTTTTGGTCGCCTGCGACATCGACAGTAAGTTCACTCGGTTGGCATTCTAGAAGAAATTGTAAAAGTTAAGTCTCTTAGAAGAGATCTTACTTCATTAACATCAGGGTCACAGAAAGCATGGAGCACTAAAGGTGCATCCCATAGCATTTTATCGATACCCATAAGACCCATTACACCGGGACCAGATTTTGAAGAATTTATACCTGAGATTCGAGTGCTTTCGGATATTTACATCTAGGAGATACCTGTTTCAACAGTATCATGTAAGTCTGCCCTTCTGGTGTTTTCATCCAAGGTGATTGGTTCACGAATTTCCGGATTGAAATGGATCTAAATCCATTTGTAACCGAAACCACAACCCTAACCTACTTTCACAAAGCGTTGCAACTCTCGCAAGAGCTTATCGGAATTCCGGCCACTCAGCAGAATGGTTTTTGTCAAAAATCCATGTACTTCAACATTCTGTAAACTCATTAAGCATACTATCATCCTTCCGAAACTGAGAATACTTGGTTTTCTAACACATCTTCGAAAGTGAACACTATAGCACTTCTGTCAGCAGCATATAAAGATGGATATTTCCTTAGGATTATGTTCAAATCATCTTTCCATAAATTGGGTTGTGAAGAGAATTTCTGAAAAGATGTTGATCGTTCAGAGAAAAATTGGCTCTCACCATGTACAGGCCCACAAGAATTACAAGAAGAAGAAAAGAAATGGAAGATGAAATGATTTTGAATGGCAGAGGTTTACTTTGAAAGTAATATTTGTACTGGTACGTCTTGATCCTTACATAGCGTGATAGCTCATCAGTCCAGTTCTCATCCATACACGAGTCTGTACTAGAAATAAAACTGTTTGCTATCGAGACTTCCAATGAATTAGGCATCATCTAGAAAGCTAACCTTTCACATCCCGATGATTCTGAGGGGCTGTAAAACATAATAAGTAATGACTGTGTTCATAACAACTCTTCTTACTCCGGAAATTCTTCCTGAGTTTCTACAGTCCTTGTAATATGAACTTCCCTCGTAACTAACACTTCTGTTTCATTTATCTCACAAGATCTAATTGTAATATCTCTAAAATAATACATTTAAACACTCTCATAGTAAATCATACTTAGTGATGCTTGTATTCAAGCCTCGTTTGGGAGCCATCCTCTATACCGCTTTCAATAATTCGTGTAATACGTAACTACAACAGAGAAGCCAGACCAAGCCATTCCTGTTATAAATTACTGTAAGCTCTCATGAAAAACACTGCTGACGTTAAGTTGCGTACCTTCATCCATCAAAAAGCGGCGACCCTGATAAAAGAAATAACTTATCAGCATATCTTTTAGAACTATAGAAAACTTGTAGAAATATTGCAATTGTTTCTGTTTCAATCTAAAATGAAATATTGTAGGCAGCTAAATCTAGAAGTCGAAGATGGTGAAGTGCGACGACAATGGCTATAACTCAGATGTGGGAGACTAGAAAGTACTGGTTCATTCAACAATTTCATGTTTCAGAACTCATCAGAAGCCTCACTGCCATCAGTAATTTGTAGAATGGGAGAATCAGATACGGACACTTCTGTAAATTCTCGTGATGGCCCAGATTCATCGGATGGAGAAGCTCCTGCTGCTTTTCCCTCAAAATTGAACCATAAGGATAAAGGAAATGACGGCTCTAAGCCACAAATAGATGCTAGCGTTGGAAACGAAAAAGTTGTTAAAGCGCTACCCAAAGCAGTTAGGTTTCGTTGTGTAATAGGTTCTCCATCTTTCAAATTCAGGAGAAGCGACCTAAGCGAATTATTGATGATATAACGGGTACAGAAAATGAGGAGTACGAATTGGTTCTAATCAAGAAACCCATTGAGGTAACTATCTTCTGTTTCATCAGAAGAATTATTTCCGATTTAGTTATCCATCGATGATTTGAAAGAGTTGAACTTGTTCAAACTTGCAAAGAAAGCAAAGAAGTTCTCTACAGGTTTGTTTTTGATTTCAATATGTTCCGCTCTAAGTTTGACTCAGGTAACGGCGACTTCGTGTCTACGGTTTCCGAAACTAAAAAGATGTTGTACGTTCCTTGTCCAACTTTTGTGACAGAAGAAGACAAAATTATCTCACCGAGTAGTTTTCAATCCTCCTTTTCATAACGTAGTTTACATTTCAGCGGGTTCGATTACCTCAACTATCACAGTCAGAAGATTCCTTGAAGAGAGTGCGTTCAATGATAACAAAACGCTTTTTGATTAGTTATTTTAGACGAGGAAGAGAAGGAACTAGATATCCCATCAATCCGTCGTAAGCCTGTTCTGAAGTTGGCTCATTTGAAACAAAGGTTAAAACCCTATGGTACGTTTTCATTTTGTTTTCGGAGAGTCTGTTTGAATGCAACCGCTCCGTACGCATGCGCTGCGAAAATGAATCTTCAACTTTCAGGTCTGCCTCCCAAGAAAGTGAAGTGTGAAGATTCGTTAAAGCCCTATGGTACGTTTTCATTTTGTTTTTGGAGAGCGTGTTGAATGCAACAGCTTTGTACGCAACGAAAATGATTCTCCAACTTTCAGATGTGCCTCTTAAGAGAGTGAAGGTTGAAGAAGATTAGTTTGTTATTAATTGTGATCGTTGTTACTCATTGTTATCATTGTCTTCGTTAGTTGTTAACGAATTAAATTTTTTTTCCAATTTCTCTTCTTCTCCTTTATGTTCTGACATTTCGCTATTTAAGCTCATGAGTTTCATTTAGTAATCAATGTCTTAGTGTCATGTCTTCGGAAACTGACAGCACCTGTTCTGATTATGGAGTTTCGGATATGGGAGAAGGTATCATGAACATAGTTCGTCCAGCTATTCATCAGCTAGATGCTCAAGTAGAAGCAACTAAGCAAAGTCAGGTTTGTCTTTATGATGTGGGGATGTTTTGGAATGATGTTTAGAGTGTACTTGCTTCTACTATAGAAGAGTTGGCCGATCTTCTACGTGATATCAGTCAAGAACAGCCTTCCGATCTCGATGTTTTCGTGAAGAAACTGGATGATAGTCGACGGTACTATCAAAAAAACTTCTATAGCTCATGAAAGTTTGTTTCAGAAGAGTAGCATACTCTGGGAAAGTTTTGGAAAGCGTTCAGGAGAGAATCACCAGACTTCAGAGAGATGTCTCGCGAAAATCTCATATGGGATCAGATGTTGCATCAATACCCCCCGCGGCTCCTCCTAGATAATTCTGTGTTGTAACTATCTAGTATACACGATCTTGATACGAGTATGAATGATTCTCCGGTTCTAGTTCATTCCTACGACATCATCTTTCTGATGCGTGGTCAACGCCTTCAAACTCCAGAAAGCTCTGAGCTGTTGTTTCAAATCATTGGGTTCTCTGAACTGCTTTATCTTGTGCCTTCATGCTATCATTTCTAAGAAGTTTTTTGAAAATTCAACAACTTTCCAATAAAAATTGGTAATCGAAGTCGGAATTCGTGTTTGTTTTTAGTTTCCGACCTTGGCAGTAAAACTTCATAGTTGACAACAACTCAGCCATTCTTTCTCAGTGTTCTCATTCATCGTGATCATCCAAGTTTGGCCTTGGCTCTTCAGTTGAGCGCTCGCTCTTCGCACAGTTCGATATTGTTATTTCCTTCCTCAGCGTTAGTGGATCTAAACATCAATGAATTTGTTTATCTTGTTGTTTTCTCTGTGTTGGATTAGGCGACTAAGCGCTGAAGAGTTTTTCTCGGTAGGTTTCATAATATATATGCTTCCCTTACTTCCTTGTTGTGTTTATGAAGACTGTAGACATGCTAACAGTATGCTTGTAAGATCTCGAACTTGAACTTCTTTTGTTGCACCACAGAGGACTCGTCTGAAGTTCTCTTATCAGCTTCCATAGAGCAAATTGATAAATTACTTGTGAACAAGTTTTGGTTTCCCAGAACGAAAACAAATCGTTTGCGAGTTTTTACTGTCTCTTATTTGGGTCACATGCATAAAAGATAATTTGGTAGATTTTTAGATAAGGGAACATAGCTAGACGACCAATGTTCTTCGACTCAGAATCTCTCTGTTTCAGGTAAACCCTCCTTTAAGAGCCAATGATAAGCCGTATACCTTCCCACCTTTCCATGGTGGAGATCATCCCCAGGTTTTTTAGAGAGTTGATCGTTTCTCAAGTGGCTCCTTACAGATCCTTCACTCTATCCAGGGGTACAACTCTGATGCAGAGTGTCGAAGTCCTTCAAATTCAGCAACTGTCTTCGTTGAATTTTCTGAGAATATTCTTGAAGATTATTCAGATGGCGCTCGAACCCCTTTGAAATGTAAGTCAAAACGTTTCTCAACAGTTTAACGTTCGAGATTTATCTCAACTAGCATGTGTCAGTGATTTACTATCGATTGTGGTCGTTCCATAGATTATTTTGAGTTTCGTCACAAGTTTTGTCTTGAAAAATCAAGTAGTGATGAGAATGAAATCAGATAGAATGGACTTTCTCGAAAAACCTTACTCATCGACTTCCTTTCACAGCATCCTGTGCTCCTTGCAAGAGTGGAACACGGTTTTCTTATGCTCCTCTGGCGCGAGATCAAGATTTGGATGAGCTGGCAGTTGGCGATATCAGGGATATCGTTGTTGGAGGTAAAGTTTAGGCATATTCAGAATGAGTTCTATATCTCATTTCCAGGATATCGATGTGTGAATAATTCGAACTTGTGTGTTGAAGCCACCGATGGAACCTACTACCGCGCGAACTCTGATAGCGTAGTCATTTGGCCAGTACCCTTCTTGAAAAGTATCGAAATACTCTTCGATTCTGAAAATAATATTACTCTCTAGATAAGAAACCTGTGATGTTAGCCATTTTGGACCCTACCGAGTCTTTGAGAGAACTCATCGGAAACAGAATCGAATTCGGTCGCGATCAGATACAGGTTTTATAATGAAGCTGTCGACTTTCAAAGGTTTTTTGACAGAGCTGGGCTCCAATGACATACAAAAAAGGACATGATTATACTTACATAGAGATTGAAGGTATATCTTGTAACTCATGTAATGGAGCAATGAATCATTGTCCTTTACTCTCCGCACCTCCCAAGAAGCAGCTGAGATTGAATGACTGGAGAGTAGCGTACGTTTTAATCTTTCCACCATTTACTAGTAATTACTACACAGAGGTGCCAATATAAGACCTCCAGGAGAAGCACCCGTTGCTCCAGTAGTTCCACCAGTGATAGAGAGGACGGGATATAGGTAAGCGTGTACTGTGTCGAGTCCTTCACAGTGTTCTTCAGTTATAACGGACCAGAAACATATTCTTCGGATACTTATGGCAAGCCTCAAACATCTGTTACAGAAGAGCCTTATTCGAACTTAGGTTTGGTTTTATCAATCTTCTTTTCATTTTCTCTCTCATCAGGCTACGAAGAAAACAGTGTGTATGTACAGCCGGACGGAATGAATCCTTACTTAGATCCTAACTTCGAGAAAAACCAAGAAACTTCCACACAAAGTAATACAGAAAAAGAAATGGAGCGTGAATCAGATACTGGAAAGGGTTTGTTCTAGTGATATTTGGCTGTTAAAAAGAATCCAAAACAGCTCTCAGATATTCGGTTTTCCGTTCTTCTCCAGCACCAATCCCTCTACGAGCAAGTTCTCAAGATCGTGACGATGGAAGAGAAATTGAGGTATCATGCTCTCTTGAATAGTTAGAGAAGTTTTGTGTCTAGATCCTGGATCGGCAGGTAATCGAGAATGGACCCATTAATCCGACGAGAAATGAAATAAGAAGGTAAATTGAGGCATCATGCTTTCACTATTGTTGGTCTTCCAGAGCTCCATTGCCTAATCCAAGTTTCAAAATGATGGAACCAATTTCTGTTCAATTCCCTCAAACAACACCTGCTCCCTTAACTCTGGCTACCGTGCCGGTTCAGTTTGTACCATTTAATCGTGAACGGCAAAATTTTGCACTCCCTCAAACGAACCCTGTCATTCCTCGAGTCCAGTCAGCTTTCACTTCAACCTCTGAATCGACTACAGCACAGCCACCCCGAGCTGTCACTCTTGGCCAAGCATCTAGAGTTGAATCAAATTCCATGCCCACTTTCCCACCAGTCCTCCCCCAAGTTATGCCTAGTTTTATCCCCACTTTTTCACCATTTTTCTCTCCTGCTCCCACACTTGCCCCTTTCATTGCTCCGGGAAATAATATTCCACCAGTGTTCTCACCCCAGCAACATCAGGAAATTCCACAAACGTCTACCACCCCAGCAAGGGTTGTAACTTCTACTAGCACCTTCTCTCCTGCACCTCTTTTCACTAATAGATTCCCAAGTCACCTGAGCGCAGATTCACAAGTTATCTCAAGTACTTTCGTTCCACCAACGACTGTACCAACTACTGAGAAGATCCCAGAAACTATTCCAACAACAATGGCTCGATTCATAGAAACGACCACAGCTCCTGTGTCTACGACTGTCTTCACTACGCGAAGATTCATTTTCCCAGTTAGACGAGAAGAAACACAGTTTAATGTCCAACCTACTCGAACTTTCACCAAAGTAGATCGCTTAGAACTATCTCCAACGGTTCCTCCTACCCGCACTTTTGCTCCGTTAGCTCAAGAACCATCTGACCCTTCAAAGTTGTTTATGTTTGAGCAGTTAAGGCAGAACATTGGTCTGATCAATCAAAATATTCCACCTCAAATGCCAACCTTGCCACCTCAGCGATTCGTCAATATACCCAACACTAATGTCCCAATGAACATTCCTATGATGGACCGAAATCCTAACTCTTTCCTTCCACCACAAAACGCTCAAGATTTCGGTATGAGTTTTGTTCCACAGGGTCCTCGTTTCCCCGAGCTACTTAGCCCTGTAGAGCAATCTCTGTTGATAAACTCAATAATCCCCCAAAACATGAACGGTCCAATGTTATTTGATCGTGGGCAGGTACAACCAAGAGAATTATCTGGACCTGCTGGGCCACCAGGACTTTCTAGTTTCTTCGTTCCATCTCAAATTCAAGATGCTAACATGATGCCAAGAAGGCCCTTCTTCCCTATGAGATCTATGGAACAACCCCAATTCACTACTCACTTCTTTTCTCCAACACCGCCTTCTACCACAGCTACCACAACAACAACAATGACAACAACTGAAGCTCCAACAACTACCGAGGCATCTACTACACCATTTGAGTTCAAAATAATGGAACCTCAGCCATTAATTGGGGGACCAGTGCCTCCACCGAAGGAGACTGCATTCGAACAGAAAGAGGTTCAACTAGAAACATTATCGGTAAGCTCTTATTTATTAAAGTTATGAAATTGGTATTTCAGAAGGATAGTCCACCTAGCCAAGTTCCGACTTGGCAGTGGTTGATGGATCATCCAGCTAGAATGAGAGCTCTATTGCGTCGACGAAAGATGTTATTGTAAATGCGTTGTAACTATATATGGACTATTTTATTATTATATAAAACATAGATTAAGGTGTTCTGAAGGATATAAAGCTCGCTGATAAAGTGAAAGACGAAAATGTGAATCGAAAGAGCATATACAAGTTGAGAGGTGAGGTTATGATGACGACACAGGGGGAAGAAAAAGTTGGGCTTATCATCTATCAAATATTCCAGAAGATACAACTGATTGTAACAAAATGTAAAATACACAAGATAAGAAGAGACGTAGAAAAACAAAAATTCCAAACCGTCTTGTATATTCCGTTAAGGAAATTATACGGCTGGTGGACTGATAAAGGGAAGAATGTTGGATGTCGTTGAAAAAGGGATCATTAACTATCATAAATAAAGAAGAAAAACGGTAATGATAAGAAACTTAGGATGAATCGGAGCAAGTATGATACGATCTCATCTCACCAGGTGATAGCTGTTGATGGTCTCATAACTAATCGTTTAAACTTTTGAATTCTAGAGTTTGTAAGCTAATGGCAAGATAATCGATCTTCCGTTAGTCTTTGGTATGAATGACGCGACGAAATCAAATTATCAAAAAGTGATTTCGAAGCGTGCCTTTTCGAATGTCACCCTGTTTCTGCTCGGCTTTTTCTCTTATCGTAAAGGACAAACACTAGATGATTGGACCAGCTGATGACATTGTTTTCTTGCTTGTCATCATAAGCCAACGAATATAGAGCTGATGATCAAAGGAGAGAAGAAGAAACGATTAGAATTATGATGTCATTTGACCCATTAGGATGATATGCATAAGCTGAATATTCTAGAAGATATGTTCCTTGTATCAATCATTGGTTGCAGGGAAGTTTAGATACTTTCTATATACTAATTTTGGTCCCTATCTATGAAACTGGTGTTCGTTTAATGTGGCTTAGAGAATGCACCGAGCATCAAACTACCCGACTTCCAACGCTTTTGACCTCCAGATGACGTATGAATACCGCGTGCTCTGCGCGCCTGCTTGATGTCGTCAACAGAAGACTGGCGACGTGAATGTCTGTAAATAAAAAATGATCAGAAGAATGATGCTTTTGTTTTTCTTCGCGAATTTTCCATAGTTGCTTCTCTAAATTAATGAAGTGTATAGCTGCCGACCACTCTAACCCTCGACCGCTTGTTTTTTTTTCATTTTTTGTAGTAGCTTAGCGCAGAGCGGTTGTATCACCATTCGTCTCACTCGTTTCAACCTCGTCCCTTGTCAAAAAAAGCTTATTGTAAAAATTGAGATAAACTGCTTCATTCTTCGGACTTATTACACTACCTCTTAGTTTTTTTCTCAAAATGATCATTGAGCATATAAGTTAATGAGTGATTAATTACTTTTTGGCGCGCTTTTTGAGATTTTCAAAAACTTTTGTTTTTCGTTTCACCTTCCCCTTTCTCCCAACAATCAAATGTTTTGTTTATAAGAAGGTCTACATACTTTGGCTTCACATATAAATGCTGAGCATGTTGCGAACCAACAGCACCAGATGAGCTGCTCGGAGATAAAGTGTCACTAGGCGAAATCTGAAGTGAGCTTTTTCTTTTTAGCGAGAAACAGCTGTAGTTCCTTTGGGAAGAAGTAGATAACTGAGAGAAGGACTTACAATTATTTGAGGAGAAGCGCATGATGTCGGAGACTGTGGTTGAGAGGATGCCATAGATAATCTGAATATCTTGAGTGTTTTGGAAACAACTTGTGTTTTTTTCGTAGTTCTCTATGTTGGCCCAGATGAACTATCATTTGGCCAGTACGTTGTTCATCAAATAGTCTATTGAACGGTGACGTCTGACAAGATGATTCAACTGAGCCGAACATTGCGGAAGAAAGTTAAGGATGATGAAATAAGAGAAGCGAAATAGATATCTAACTGTAGGCGAACGGAAGATAAATAGCTTTTTGTATTTGATAAGAGATTTGATATCAGCAAAGTCACCTACCTGGCGACATTGAGTAGCAATTGCCCAGTTGAGGTGATACCCTCATTTCCTCCCGTAATTACAAGATTCTTTGTCAAGTCTAAGCGTTGCCGACGCTCTATCTCAGCGTTCTCCTCCGCAATAATCTCCATAGTGCGTCTGAAATAAGAAGTCCAGTTTAGAAGTCTCCTGTTAAAAATAGTATGTTTTGATTAGATTTCAATGTCTTCAATGCCTGCCGTGTTTTTAAGTTTCATAGTAAATGACGTGATAGGCAATTATCTGAAAAGAATTATGACTCGCGAAATGACTGATAATCTGATAGGAACCATGTTCTTCAAATGAAAAACGAGTCTTGGACACGTGGTCTTCGACTATACGAACTGATAGCCAGCAACAGATTAAAGAAAATAAAAAGTGAGAGAAATCTATATATAAAACGCGTCGGATGAAAAAGAAACTTATTATTAGTTATACGCAGAGAAAAAATTGAAAAACTCTTTCTCCACACACACATGAACCGGCTATGTTCTGTCATTTGACCGTCTCTAAGATATCATTGTTTCTTCGTACATTTAACTTCTTTAATTATTTTTTTGTTTCAACCCTTTGTTCCAGCGATTTTGTCGGTAATTCTAACCCCCACCTCCATCCAGTCATCAGTAGTTTGCATGTTTGATGCCTGCTTGTAGGGCCTCAAAATCTATTTTTTCCCCTTTTTGAAGTAACTGATAACAAAGCGAATGGAGTGATAGATCATTGAGAGAGAAGCGTTTGACGAAAAAAAGTTATTTGAGGAGGAAACTGAAAAAAAATTCAACCGGTTCAAGCGTCTGTGTTTTGATAAATGACGCGGACGGCAGCCAAAAAACAAGTACGTGGAAATGTACGTGAGCTGTTAACGTTCAAACGGAAATGACGATGACTCGGTTGTTAAGAACAAATGTCACAAATTTTTTCCATATTTTCATATTCGTATTTGTGTAGTTTCTCTTACCGTAGTGCAGCATTTTTTCCTCCAGCTGAGCCTGTAACCATCCAAGCTTCAGAGTTCATATTTGGTCTGAAAGTGATAAGGCTAATGATTGTTTTACAAATGAGTTTAACCGTAAAGTGGAAGTCCAGTAAGCTAAGAATATCATTAAGGGGATAGAGAAGACAACGATCGGTATGATAGCAATGTTCATAAATTCCGTCATAGAATCATAACGAGGATACTTCTCATAACTAATTATGGACCATCCAAGCCTGTTTGATATTTCCGTCAAATGTTTCGTCAGCATATCTTAACAGCCAAGAATAAGTCAAGTTGGCAAGTTGTTGTTTCTTTTCCTCTAACCACTGACTCTCGGGTATGATTCATTAGAGGACTGGCTTATCAATTGATGAGCCTGAGACTCTTCGTTTTTCAAGGAAAGTAAGTACATAAGTTGTTTTTGCTGAATCGGTTGTTTTCAAATCATAAATAAGTGACTAATATTATTAATAGAATAGAAACGAGTAGTTTCAATGATTTGAAGAGTACATTCATGTCAAAAGCATGTCGATACTCTCATCTCAATAACAAATTGATGATGAAGAACAAAAAAAAAGAAGAAAAAGAAGAAGAAGAAGAGACGATACCTGATATGACAGCTCTGGGAATGAGTGGCCGCTGTTGTTTTACAGCTGCATCTGTGTTATGAGGTAATATTATGTAAAACTTTATCTGAATGGTTCCATATTCCCTTCGTGGAAAGCCATCCATTAGAACGATCTGTTCTGCATTGAACACAGTTCTAAACATCTTTTATTGAGAAAAAACAAATATTTGAATGTTCTTTGGGCCAAGTTCATAGAGCGAAAGTTTTTTCAAAAAACATCCAAAGAAGATTCAATTTTGTAGTCAATTGCCCCATTGATAGCCATGATAAGTTTGGAAATAATCATGAAACGTCGGATGTTCGTGCATTTCGTGAGAAGTAGATTGACATACGTTGATTTCATATTGCAAGCCGTTACGTTTTGGCAGTACTTTGTAGCGATTTTGGCCATCGTTCGACGGAAGGGCGATATGACATCAGGCAAAGGAGCATCAACACAGTATGCTACACGTATGCCTGATGACCATTCGAACATCTCGAGCTCTGAAACATATATCAGTATTCATCTATTCTTCATCTGAGCAATATCGGCTGTAATTCATCTTCTTCACACACTTTTTTGTCTTTTCTCTAATCTGTCAAAAAGAAATTTGAGATATGAGCTAAGTGAACTATGTGTTTGGCGAGGTTATCATCTATAGAGTGTGCACTTGGAATTTCCATTCAAATATTGAAATTCTTTCAATTTTTAAAGATTATAAAGCTTATTGATAAGCTTTATATTGCTTTTGAACATCATGAGATGATAGGAAATGCTATGATGAGCTCAGGCACACAAAAGCTTCTGTTCATACTCATCTCTACGAATGATAGAGCTGACAGGAAGGAAAAAAAAAGAAAAAAGAAATTCAAAATTACCCTGATAGCTTGGGTCTTCCTGATGGCCTGCATAACAGAAACCTTTCTTAGTTGAAATGAAGATTATATACAAGAAGTAGATAACAAGCATGAGCTTTATCTGTAAAGACATTATTGTAGTTTGTATTCATCACAGATCAAAACAATATCAAAAAGGTCAAAAAAACCGTGAATGACGCATTCGTCATCTCTCATTCTATCATTTTCTCTAATTTCCATTCAATTGCATCTTTATATGTTTGATCTTTGTAAGATTATTAACAAATTAAACGATATGAAGAGATCACGAGGTTGCTATCTTAGGATGTAGCACGCGAGACTGTGAAAGATGTTACTCATTGATCCTTATGAATCTTTTTGTTTAATAAGGTTTTTTATGATGTGAGTGGGGTTCGAAAGTGATTTCATTTCGTGTTAAGATAGATCTGGTCAGATCATCTTGTCAGCTTTTTCTTGACCTTGAAAAGCCTTTCGTGTACGAAAAGAACTCGGTTGATATCATTCTCACACAGATTTCATCATGATGAGTAAAGAAGGCGGAGGGATGTTATGCCAAAAGCAAATTGTGTTGTGTTCCTCTTAAGTAATTGAAGACTCGTTATCCTCGAATAGAATGAAGTGGGTTAAGATAAGATAGTAGAGTAAGTGAGGAAGGTTATGAGGTAAAAAACAAAGTTTCCATTGAACTAATTGAGTTGGAGCACATAATGGTATGTTGTAAAAGAAATGTAATGAGCTATAGTGGTTGGGCTTCATCTGGTTCTCTTTCTCTCTATGGTGAGCTCTCTCTCTATCTCTCTGTTTTCTAGTCTGTGCTAAAAAAGGAAAAATACCCAGACTGTGTATATGTATTTTGAAACTGAGTGCCAGAAAACATTGGTGGGTTCAGATGATTAAGGCGGCAATTTGATAGAGAACACAAGAGAGGAGATAGATGGATTCGGCCATGAAGGCAGTCTTGGCCTATCGTGCCTGCTGTTTCGGCTGTTAGTCTAGTCAAAAAAGCTGAGAGGTTGTAGTTGAAATGGCCAACTGAACGTGATCGAATACAGGAGATCTAGAGAAAGAAAGCCGTTGTATTATATTTTTCCTCTCTCTGTAACAGCGAAAGTGATGCAAGTGATGTGAAACACGAAGTGAACAAAGAGGAAAGAAGAGATATTGCTCCCGAGTATTCTTTTCTTCATTTTCTTCAAGCCTTGTGCTTCATTCTGAAAATGTGTTGTAAAGGAAGCAGATCTGCAGAGCGCTCTCTCCTATCTCCTGAATAATCCCAGCCCTTAATCATTTTCACTTCTTCATTTTTCTTTCTCTTTCTCTCTTCCTCTCTATTTTTTTCTCTTCTCTTAGAAATATGATCATCTCGCAACCTCATGCGACCTCATGTAGCTGCTGTTAGCCCCACCCTTTGACTTTTTTTCTCTTTCATGATCATTTTTGCACTATGACTGAGCATTTTTTCCATCAACATGCTTATCTTAACCTCCCATTTCAATTAACTTCATTCCTTCAGTCGCTCGCTCCAGTTTATCAGGCTCGTAAATTGCAAAAACCAAATTTCACCAGCACCTCATCTTTTAGGGACAAATGGGAGGAGCCTAGGAAGTGAGAGAAACGAAAAGACGAAGAGTGTGATAGTCGTCTTTCTGTAGACCCCACTGATCACTCGTCAACCCGAAACGTACATGGCGGTCGCTCTGAGTTGTGTCTCAAAATTTTAAAGTTCAGTACAGCTGTTGACCATAAATGACCTCGGTATCGTCAATTATTATCAACTTGCTTCTTCTCGCTCTCGAATGTTCTATTTTTGTGAAGAAGTGACCTTCTTGCAAAGTCTTTTCTTTGTTTTCTCTGCTTTTTCACTTTCCACCATTCGACACTCACTTCATACTTGCGCTCTCTCTCCTGCTCTTTGTGTTTCTTACCCTATTCGAATTAACATTTAAACTCACGTAGCGACGTGAACTGTGAGTGGCGCGCGATTTTCATTTACCAAAGTCCGCCGCGCAGATCGGTTGCATGCAGAGTCTTTCTGTCCTTCCACTTTTCTCTCTCTCTCTCTCTCTCTCTCTCTGTCTCTCCTTCTCTCTCTTTCTTTTCTCTTCTTTTATCATGAACTGTGTAGTTCAAACGTTAATACGTTATCCAGAAATTCAATATTTGTTTTATTTATTATTCGATTTTTATCAGCCCATTACTTCTTTCAAGAATATAGTCAAAACACTTATGGCTATCGACTGGCCGTTTCCTGTTTCTTTCGTCTAATCACCTAATTTGTCCTTGCCTTGACATCCAGTTATCTTATTTGCAAAGCAGAACACCACATGGGTAGATAGGCGGGCTGGATCATGTTGTCAGCCATGTGCGTCTGATACTTCATGTTCCTGTTAATCATTGTTCTCATTTTCAATTTGAATCCTACTTTAACTCCGCCTTGTTTTCGCCTCCCCTATGATTGTTGCAGATGAACGAAAGAAAATGGAAATGATGTTTTGGTTTTCTCATAATCCCTAACGGTTTAATTTCTTTGTTGGGGTACTTAGGACTCATTTCCATGCCCCCAGCTTCTTCCTTGACTTCATTTATCAAAACTCATCGGTGATTGGAACCTAGAAGAAACACGTGGCCGGTTAAAAGATCACGGCAGACGCAATTGCACAGCTGTTTCTTCGCCCATCTGATGGTTTTTTTCCCTGCTGATTTCGTCAAGTTTCTTTCATTGTAAGTGACAGTGTATCTAGTTGTTGCCAATTCTGCAGTTGCCATTCGTTTGCAAACGTATACTGCCGTTTTCCAATAAGATAAGTTGAGTATTGTTTGTTGCGAGTTTTTGTAGAAAAAAGTGCACAAGCCTCCAGTTGAACATTGACCTCGTTGAAACCATATGACTGCCTCCTCAAGATCGCAACTGTCTGTGTCTTCATCCGTCTTTAACAAATATTTAAGAAGTTTTTTTCATTAGTTAGCTTCGGCAACAGCTTCACTTTGGTAGCTTAAGCAAGCAAAGGCTGTGTTGCAGTTTACTCTAGAGCCTGAGAGAGTTTAACCTTGGCTTTCATGTGATCCAAAAGATCATTCTACACTCAGTTGCTCTCTGTAGTTTCCTCTGTTATTTGGCTGCCTGATATTCTCAATCGGTTGGCAAAGAGTAATGATTGAAGTTCATATGAACGAACTACCTCAGTCTCGAAGCTTCACTAAAGTCCCAGTGATCTCCTGTTTTCTACAACTTTCTATATTTATTTGAACAGCACTACTTACCTCTTAGCACAAAGTAAGAGATCACGTGATACATTACAAACTTGTGATGAAATCTAATTTTTTTTTCTAATATTTCGTCTGATAACAGCTCTTTTAGGTTAAAGACGAACATTTTCTTTTTCCCCACCCATCGTTAACGGCACTCTAAGTGCAAACTAAACAGTGAACATTCATTTCTTTACTTTTTTTTGTGAAAATTGGTAGTACTTCTAGTTTTTTCTGTCTCTCTTCCAGCTCCGTTATCGTAATTGAGACAAAACAGTAGTAGTTATCAGTTGTTCGATGGATAAGGCTAAGTAATTGCAGAAAAGATAGCCAGGAGATTGTCTATCTGAGAGTTTTCAAATAGATGACACGTTATCACAGTCCATTGCCTCACATATGGGTAGTATGCTTTGATAAATAATATCATTCCATGTCTGAACGTTCATTACTGTATCAGCATCTTCCTTGTTCGCTCAACTTTTATGTAATCAGTTTTTTGTGTTTGTGCTAGGCGTCCACTGTGGTTTATGTTCTGACGACCTCATAACTCCTCCTCCATTTGCTTGTACATCGAATCTGTCCTACGATCTGTCGCGGACATACCTAACTTCGTCTTCTCCGCTCTATTGTGTGCTCTTCGACCAGGTGATGGATGGACTGAATGACCATCATGACTAAGAGAGTACAGACATGTCTTCTTTCGTCGCCAGGAAGGGTCGGTCAGAGGCTCCAGGTTCCCGCCATCCGCACGTATATAATATCTATATTTCTAATGATCAGTAGAAGACTCGATTTCGTCCCGGGTTGTTGCATCATCTTGCATCATGCGGCACTCGCCTTCTCTCAGTGGGCTGACGATCAGTGCACGAGCGCCACATTTACTAAGATTTTGAAGTGCTGTTGTTCAGGCTGCTTCAAGCCCCACCTCATTAAAGTAATTAAAGTAGCAACAACTCGCTGATTGTTTCTTAGATAAGGATTCAGCTTTTCTTGTCATTTGCAGATAACACTTCACACATTCATTGCTTTTTCCCAAATATGTATACGCTTATTCATTCTTGTCTTAAGCTGATTTATTATTTCCTTCAGTACGCAAAGTTGCGTGAGAACATCTAAGGAAATTGCAATCAATTTTTTTTAAAAGTCGGATACGTAATGTGTATTTTACATCATTTAAAAATATATTTAATCTCTTCACTTAATATCTTTGATTATTGGCAGGATGTCGTTCTTCTTTCTCTTTCTCCTTTTTTCTTTTGAACCTTTTTAAATTTTATTCAATTTTCAGCTTTCCTAATAATGATCGGTCGCGTTCTTCTTCGTCCTCTTGAAGCTTGCAAGCAAGTTATCCGCTCTGGTTCCTCAGTCTCTTCGAGGTATCATTTTAAAATAGTTAAATATAACATATCCGAAATACAGAAGCCAAGATGCTCTCCCATGGACCCCATCTGGAGACCCACACACCTCCTTCTACTCCAACGACTTGTTAATTACTTCTGTTAACGAGAGCGAGAAAAAGACAAAACCAGTTGATGTAAATATTTTGGAAGATTTATGAGTCTAAATGTTGCTTACAGGGAGATAACCTCGGGTTCGGATTAGTCTTTTCCGATTATATGGTTGATATTGACTGGAGCGCGAAAAACGGCTGGACCAGACCTCATTTAAAAAAAATGGAAAACCTCTCTTTACATCCTGCTGCTAAGGTACGATCTCGAAACATAGTTGAATATTATTTGTTTTATATAGTCTCTTCATTATGCTTCTCAACTTTTCGAAGGAATGAAGGCTTACCGTGGTGTAGATGGAAGAGTCAGACTCTTCCGACCGGATCTCAATATGGACCGTATGAAGCGGTCTGCTAACCGTTGTGCTCTTCCAGATTTCGATGCTAATCAGTTAATTGACATCATCGTTGAATTAGTACGGATCGGTTGCATTCTATCTTAATCATTGTTTTGATTAAGGTGCGTCATGACATTGACTGGGTCCCATACTCTGAAGTCGGTTCGCTGTATATCCGCCCTACCATGATTGGTACTGATAGTACCCTTGGAGTTGCTCAATCTGGCGAAGCCAAACTTTTTGTTCTCAGTGGCCCCGTAGGTGGATATTTCGGAAAAGGAAATCAGGTACTTTCGTATAATAAATTAAAAATACAATGCGTAAATATTAGGCTGTCACGTTGCTTGCCGACCCTGAGTCTGTTCGCGCTTGGCCTGGTGGAGTTGGTGCTTACAAGATGGGATGCAATTATGCTCCAACCGTACGAGTATCTGCAAATGCTTTAAAGAAGGGTTGTCATCAAGTTTTATGGCTCAGTGAAGAAAAACAATGGGTGAGAATATAACGAGTGGAAATCAAAGTTTATCACGATCATGTACAGGTTACCGAAGTTGGAACAATGAACGTGTTTATGTTCTGGAGAAATGAAAATGGCGAAGACGAGTTGGTCACTCCTTCTCTTAAGAGCGGTAATTTGAAAACTTCACATGTTTGTCTATGAAACCCATTCAGGAACCATTCTTCCCGGAGTCACACGTCAGTCTCTCTTGGACTTATCCAGGCAATGGGGTGAATTCAAGGTTGTTGAAAAAGACTTCACAATTCATCAGTTAAGGCGGGCTGTTAAAGAGAACCGAGTATGTTAAAAAAAATTCATTATAAAACGTGAGTAACACTTTGTGATTTTAGCTGTATGAGTTCTTCGGATGTGGAACTGCTGCAGTTGTAACTCCCGTCGAAGGAATTTTATACATCAATCGCGAGGAACAGAGGGAAGAGAAAATATCGATCCCAACATTGAGTAGCCCATACGGAATCATGAAGAGGTGATTACTAGCTTAGATTATTATTTCAAACAAGAACATCCGATAAAATTGGTCACGTTTGTGAGGTGGTGTGACTCTGGTCTGACCTCCAAAGCATTTTGAATACTATTAAACGTAGTTCCCGCCCTCAGTTCAAAGAGACACGCCTTATATAATTCCTTCAGGCTCTACCAAGAGGTCATCGATATCCAATATGGTCGCTCAGAGCAGCCCGGATGGACGCGCGAAATTTCATAGATACATTTTTACTAGAAGTTTTAAAAATTACGGACTTATTTGGAATCCTAGTTTCGTGTTTGTATTTCCATGAACTGACGGTTTAACCGATCCACACTTGCACACTTGCTTTCCATATTTCAATTCTCTCATCATCCTCCAATTGTTTTCACATTGTATAATTATTCGTTTTTACCGAATAATCTATATATACATATATATATATACATATATCTATAATAATATTTCGTGTTGTTTGACTTATACACTATGAGCATGCTTTTATGCAGAATATATTTTTTTTCATTTGGCTGTTAAGTTCTTCGTCCAACTTACCCGATTTAGATAAGCCCACTCTTAGATGCAAGGGGATATGGTTTCTGAAATTGAACAAAAGGAACTCACGGACTTTGACAAAGAAAGGTTGGTCTTCCAGAATGTGTTTACTTTGCTGTTTCCTGAACTGTGGCGTTGACGTAAATATTTTGGTAGCAACTGGGACAAATCGATGTCAGTTCGACGACTAGAGAATTGAAAGAGCGTTATGAAACGGAGCGTGGCTAGACGAGTTGTGTATTACGTGTTGTATTTTCAAATGGGTCGTATTTTTGATATGAGCTTCCATCTGAGACATCTGAATCGGGCATATGGTGTTTCAACAAGTTCTTGCGGTGGCTGATGATTCAGACTGGGCATGTGTGCCGTCATACAATCATCATCCATACTTGAAATGTTAGAATAACATTGGCGGCAATGCTATTCTTATTCAGGAATGACTGATTCTCTTTCTGTACTTTTATATTTCTAATTGTGCATATGTTCTCTTATCTGGATTTCTTAGATAATCATGCTGACTGATGTAAAATGGATGTGTCCTTTGCCCTCCAATGATTGGTGGCGCCACTACGCTCTTTCTTTCAACCAGTGTCTCACAGCGAAAGCTTCCCAGCTTTTGTGTGTTTTATCGCTGAAAACTGATTTATTTACTTTCAAATATTGCCCTTGCGTTTAAAGCTTTGCTTTTAGCGCTCTGGCATCGAGTCCGATAAATGTTTAGCAGTGGACGTTCACGCCCATCAAGCATATCTGTTTGACCTTACCTTTGAAGCCTCCATATACCTTACTTCTGGTAGCCCGGGTTTCATCTCATGTCCAGCAATTGTTTCATCTGCTGCTATCGTTTGCAGTTCTTTTAAAGTCGTTCAAGTGTCGCGTCATTGTAAAATCATGCCACTTTCCTGGGCCTGGAATATCATATTTCAATTGATCTGTTTCTTCTTTGACGTTTTTATCGTTTTACTTATAATCAAATTATTACAGTGCTATGCCTGGTAGAACGCTTAGAAAGCGAGCAGCAATGTCTCCCGATGCTGCAAGCACAGAAGTCTCCAGCAAAAAAGCCAACAACAATGATGAATCTGTTAAGGTCTGTTTCTTCTTTCACTTGAATCTCATTCTCACCTTTTTTCAGGAAGTGGAACCTAGACAGCTGGCTTTGTATGGCCCTGCACCTTTCAGTGATGAAGAAGCCGCTATCTTAGAGAGAAACAGGGTTGATTATTCCAAAAAAATCACCATTGCCATGGCCAAAGCTAATTCCGGTATGCCATCAGCTCATTTCATTTTATAAGTTTTGATAGCGGGTCGTCCTGTGAGAATTTACGCTGATGGAATTTATGATCTATTTCATCATGGTCATGCTAACCAATTGCTCCAAGCAAAAAACGCTTTTCCTAATGTCTATTTGATAGTTGGAGGTATGCCCTTAAAACAAGTTTTTCACTTTGACGCTCTTTCAGTGTGTGGAGACTCTAATACACACCGATATAAAGGACGAACCGTCACATCTGAAGAAGAACGTTTTGAAGCAGTCAGGCATTGTCGCTATGTCGATGAAGTTTATCGTGATGCTCCATGGTTTTGCACAGTTGAATTCCTGAAAGAACTTAAGGTTGGTTTCATTTATAAAAATAACAACCGGTTATGTGTGCTTGACTCATGAAATGATAAGACACCACACATTTCACTTTTCCACGGCGCACGTGTTATGCTAATTTTTGAATTTTGCAGGTTGATTTCATTGCTCATGATGCAATTCCTTACGTTGCCCCTGGTGAAGAAGACTTGTACGAGAAGTTCCGACGTGAAGGTTCGCAGAAAAATGAGTAAAATTTATTTATTTTCGTTTTCAGATATGTTCATTGAAACTGAAAGAACCGAAGGAGTTTCTACCAGCGACGTTGTGTGTCGTATCATCCGAGATTATGATAAATACGTCCGAAGAAACTTGCAAAGAGGTTACACTCCAAAAGAATTGAATGTTGGCTTCCTTGCTGTATGTTTTTCCCCATGTATCATGTTCTCATCATAGTTTATAGGCTAGTAAGTATCAAATTCAAAACAAAGTTGATAGCATAAAGGAGAAAAGTATGGAGCTGATTAACAACTGGAGAAGTAGATCAGATGAGTTCATCAAAGACTTCATTGACACATTCCATCGTGATGGCCGTTTGAATGTAAGTGATCCTTAATGTTTACCGTTTGATAATGGAATTGTAGGCTTTCGGAGGTCGACTACGAGAATTAGTGTCTCGGTCACCTTCACCAGCAATGGACGAAGAAGAGGATTCAATTCCAACAACCACATCTACAAGCAATGGTATCTCTCAATAAACAAACTTTATTAACAAATCCTGACGTGTTCGCGCTAGTGGGTAGTTTTAATTATACAAATTTCTAATTAACTGATATTCTATGCATTTTAATTCACAAACATGCCTTTTGCCATTTACTTCACTTTTTTTTGCTTGAACAAGGGTTTTAATGATGTCAAGCTGTTAGCTTTCTAACTATTTATTCTTTTTAACTAATAGACATTGTTATCCACTTCGCTTAAGTATAGATTTCTTCCCAGTATTATTCAAATCGATAATAGAGGTCTAGTCTTGTCATAATCAATAAACTTTCTACGTTTTTGTTTTGATTTCGCCTTCTAAAGTTGCTCACTTTTAGAATACTTAGCGATTGCTTTGTAAGTTCAGATAAGTCCATTAGTTTAGAATGACGGATGAAGTCAATAGAAATAGAAAGAAAAAGTCAATCAAGGTGAATGAAGAAGACAGCAGCTTATTCAGCTTAACTTTTTCAGGTCCTCATCAGGAGGTTACCTCCGTATATGACGTGGAATGAACTGAAAGTTCAGTTAGATCCCATCCCACCCACCGAATACATTTCTTTTGTAGCTGCAGATCTTTCGTACTGTCATAAGCTTTCTACGAATGATTCATCCTAATTTGCAGATTTGAACCAAATGCATTTTGCAGATGTTACCTTGCATTCTCATCTGATGAAGATGTAATAGATTTTAGTGAACGTTTCAATCGATATTTATTTGTTGATAGCAAAGGTTTCCGAATCCTTTTTCTCCCCCACATCCTCTGCTTCAGGATATGAGTCCGCTGCCATAGTTGAATTATCTTTGTTTGGGAAGCTCCCGAAGTCTTCCCCTCAAGATGCAGTTAAAGACACTTACTGTGGTCAAGTACAAGATGGTTAGAGTCTCTAGAAGCTTAATTATGTTGTCTACATTTCAGAATTTGAGTATAAACAATTCCTTGACGAGCTTGAAAACAGTCGTAAATGTAACTACCTCTCACTCGAGGAACAAATTCGAGCTGTTCAGGTTAAGGATGAAAGATCTAAGAGTAAGTTAAGAGAAAACAACGTGTAGTGATAAGGTTCTTCAGATCGGAACTATCAGCAAACGCCACTGACTAAGTTTATGTTCCAGAAAAATGAAGAAAAGATAAAGAAGAGAGAGGTTTCTATTACCATCATAAATGTTGAACACTACCATTTGTAGGAAAAAAAGAAAAGCAAAGGCGAAGAGAGGAAGATGCGTTTAAAAGAGAAAAACGAAGAGGAAAAAAAGAAGAAAGCTCAAGAAAGTTCTTACCCTACCTGGTCTGAAGGTTTCGTCTTTTCATTAAAGTCCCTGAAGAGCACAAACGTTTCAGGTACTAGCAGTAGCACTAGCACTAGCCGGCCTAAAGAGAGAACAGGATTCGTATCAAGATCAAATCGAACTGAATTCAGCAGAAGCTTCCATGTAGATGATTCTGGGTACGATGATTATTCAGTTCTACATTCATCTTCATGTTGTAGATCCACTCGTCCTACAGAGAAAGTAAAAGAGAAACCTGCTCCTAGGAAGAAGGAGAGCAAGCCAAAAGAGAAAAGAGAGGGTCCTTCTACGGCACCCAATAGAGAACCAAGGTTTTAATCAGCCTCTTGTACCAGACATCAATCATAATTTTCTTAGGAATTCAAATCGAAACTCTCATACTCCAAAAGCTGACAGTGAAAGCAAACCGGAAAAAGGATATAGATATACCAAAACTTTCACTTCATCTCGTATAACAGCCCTGAGCAAAGATCCTTCTGAGAAAAAGAAAAATAAGGCAAGATTATTGATTTTGACCAGAAACGATGTTGTTTAGGACCGTCCTGATCGAGAAATATACAAACCTGGTCAGAGATTACGGGATTCTGAAGGCACAACTCAACAATAACTGATGTTAATGATCTTCATGAACTCGGAAAGTCTGGCATCTCTTTATCAATGTTGAAACGGCTGCTCTGTGTTATGATCTATATGGATTTATGCAGACGATAAAATGGATTCGATCCCCTTTTTGAAACTTTCTAATCGATGCTTGCATGTTTCATGTCTCCCAGTTTATTTCGAAGAAGATCCTCTGCCCATTTGCCTTGAGCACTTAATAAAATGTTGTTGAGGTTTAGAAGTGTTGATTGAGCTAAACGTGTTTCTACTCTGCCTTTCGGCGAAAGACATGTATCCAAACTACCTTCAACACTCCGAGCTCAGCGCTCTAAGCTTGTCAAATCAGTATTCCTGACAAGTGTCTCCTCGAAGTAAGACGAGATATGACAGAGTGCTGTTCATTCTCTTTTAACTTCTTCAACCAATTTTTAGCTAAAAAGCTTCATCGTTACATAATCTCCATTTTCCGGGTGAGTTGTTCCAAGGTTTGTTTATTGTCTCTCTCAAATGAGCAAGTTTATATAGTTGGCGGAGTCGCCCATCCATGGGTTTTCGTGCAGGAAACAATCTCAACATCGTCTTACTTGATCCCTGTCCTCATCTCCGGCTTGTATATTGTCTTTCACCTCTTATGAGCATTCAACAATTGCCCATTATCCCTTGAAGTAATGTAGGTCGTTTGTTGAACACTAATTTTCGAATGTTTTCAGGTTGTCCAGAGATTATTGTAATAAACTGCGAAGTCCTCAATCATGAGCAGCAGCAGACAACATAACTCTATAATCAACGTGAACGTACGTTTCGTTATCTTTGCCCCCGTTAGCTTCTTATTGTTATAATAACAGTGACACCTTGTGTTCGTTCTGCTCTCGTATATTGCAGTTTCCCAGAAGAAGCTATTATATTGCTATTAATTAATAATTCTATCTTGAGTTATTTCCTGTTCTTTGATTTTTCCTCACTTCGGAATTATCGAGGAGGAGGTTTGGAGTATTTCATTTATTACTCCGAACGAACTTCCGGACAGTGGTTCTGTCTCTCTTTCTTCTCTAATGAGCTATCTAGATGTTGATGTTATAGATAGATCTAGTCTGCATAGTAATGACGTGAGTTTATGGAACCTTACTTGAAGCGTTTATTCATAGTTAGTAATACAACAAGGGGAACAACCGCACTGCGCGTCTGCATAAGTGGAAATGAGACATTCCACGTAACTTTCACGCGATGTTTTGTACATTTAAACTGAAGTAGTTATTCTCAATGAAAAGATTTAATCTTTTCATGAGGGATAGGCATGCAGCCTCCCTTTGGGATCTAACAGATATTCATAACATTCATCATTCCGTGTGTGAAATTTGAATTACTGTTCCATCTGCTGTAGTTGTAAAGCAGAAGAAGAGTTGACCTTCTAATGCTTTTGAGTTATTTTACCCAGCGCCTAGAAATAAGTGACAGAAAATTCTGTTCTTCTCTGGGTTGAGCCTCTCACAGAGCTCTGCTGTCGAGTGAAATGCGGCGAAGATTCCAAAAACACTGGTCAGATGAGTTCAAACTGTCTATTCATCACCTGTGTAATGAAATTGGTCTAATCATCTATGTTTTACTCTTGTCTGCTCTAGAGATCTTTCTCTTACACACTCTGCAACTCTTGAATTTCCCAATTTTTCTATTGCCTGCTGCTCTCAAGGTCTCTCTTCTCCTAACACTGTTTCAACCCTCTATCTTTCTGGGCTTCTGCAGTTGTTGAAGAAGTCTAACCTATCTACGATTGAGCGTGTCAGGTATTGAAAACAGCATATTGCTATCTACATCATCATATCCATATATCATTATCTTCTTAAATGTAGGGCGGGAACTGAAGTTATTTTACGTTTTGCCTCACTGTCTGCATCGGCTCTCAACAGTTGTTTAGAAATTAGACAAGCATTATCATTTTATAAGCTTTTAATCTATAGTGCAGTCCATTTTTTAGAGATAACTTTATACTTTGGCATATGCTTTGTCTGATCTTAGGCTTCATCCTAGGCACGATACTCATCATGTAATGTCCTTTTGGTGTTCGTTGAACCTAGAGCTGATCCAACACGCTATATTAAACTGTCTTATCACTTTGTCTTGTTTAGAGTTCCTATTTTGAGGTGATATGAATGTGAGTCAGTTGACAGCTTCCGAACGACGGAACCGTTTAATGAGACGTGTTCATACACTTCAGTCAGAAGATGTATCAGCTTACGGGAGTAGTTTGGAGTTGGATTCCATGCGAGATTCAGCCGATGGTTAATCATTTCTCTCTTCCCACTTCCTCTCAAAGCTCCTCTTGATTTTCAATAGTTTTGAGTGGTAGTTCATTTGTGGCTGTAAGGAATATCTCTAGTATGACTTCATTGTTAAAGGGCAAAGCAGTGAGAGCGATCATGCAGGGGATGCCCAACAACCTAATCCCGCGTTTTTGCGAGTACCCACAATGCACGAACTTGGATTGGATTATGGAGAAGCTCGGCCTCATAAAAGGGTCAATAATTTGAATTTAAACTTAAATGATTATTCACAGAAGCGGTTCCTCGCATATCTTCTGAAAAACATCTTGCAACGAGTAGTGAAGCGAACGAATGCTTAATTAAACCAGAGAAAGATATCATAATTTATATATTTTTATTTTACAGGATGCCATCGAGAAGATCCCTATGCGAGCTAGATCACAAAGTTGGTTGATAAGAACACGGCATCTCCTCCACGAAGAAAGAGTAAGCAGTCTTTTGAAATCACAAGTCAATTTCGTTCTTCTAGGAGCCACCACCACTCATATCTCGACTAATGTTTATATTTTCTCTTTGTTTAATTATTATATCGTTTCCATGGAGCTTATGTTTTTGTCTTAAAACTATTAAGTAAGCTATTTCTCGAAGACTCGAGCATGACAGACATTCTTCAGGGAATACCAGCGAGCAGTTATTTTCCGGTTAGGGCGTTTGATTAAAGGTGGTACAAAGGGCCCAGGATTGTTTTTCGTATTTCCTTGTATTGATACTTGTAAAATAGTGAGTTTCAGAGTTTGTACTCCTGTTTACTATAGATTCAGGTTGACTTGAGAGTTCTATCTTTCGATGTACCTCCTCAAGAGATTCTTAGTCGTGATTCAGTAACTGTGTGTGTAGAAGCTGTCATATTCTTTCGTGTATCAAATCCGGTTAGTTCACATACTTCTTCATAACCCAAACGTTTTCCGAGCACCCAAGGAATTGCGTGCGAGTTATTTTTCTTTTTACCCTTTATGGACAATCAATAATCTTACTTGACACATTTTTAGGTAATATCAGTCACAAATGTGAACGATGCTCAGTTTAGTACAAGGCTCTTGGCTCAAACTACTCTTAGAAACGTGTTGGGTACAAAGACACTCAGTGAAATGCTCAGTGAAAGGGATGCAATAGCAGCGGTGAGTTTTTGATAGGGGGAGATTATGCTAATGACTTCAAAAGTTATGACGTTGCACGCGCCACGTTTATTTTTGAATTTGAAGCGACGCCAAACGGTTGTGTATCATCGCCTACGTATAATAATAGCATATTTGAAAGTAAACCTCTTTTCGAGCTTATAACTTCGGGATGAAGTTGGAATATATGTAGGAAGATGATGTATATTTTATTATGGGAATAATTCCTTCTTTTTCAGATAACTGAGAAAGTCCTTGATGAAGGCACTGACCCATGGGGAGTGAAAGTAAGTTCTCACTAGCCTATACTGACTTATTAAACTGTGTGTTTTCAGGTTGAGCGAGTGGAAATAAGGGACATACGTCTACCACATATGCTCATGAGAAGTATGGCCGCAGAAGCCGAGGCCGTCAGAAATGCAAGAGCTGCGATGATTGCAGCTGATGGAGAAAGAATGGCGAGCAAGTATGTGAGAAAGCGTAACTACTGTTCTATATAAGGTCTTTATAGGAATTACAATGAAGCCGCTGAAATTATTTGTTCCAACTCTGTGACTGTTCAATTAAGATATTTACAAACGTTGAACCGTGTCGCTCGTGAAAGGTAACCTCTCATTCAGTTGAAACATCATTGAGCTTCCTTCTTTCAGAAATAATACCATAGTGATACCTTACCCTGTGGAAATCGCAAAATATTTTATGAAGAAGTATGCATCTGCGAGAGGTTCTGCGAAGATAAAATAGTTTGAAGGAGATCTCAAACAAGCTTACAACTCTGTTAAAATGGTTGACAGGACTCGCTTGTCACCTGTTCAAAGTTGCTAATGTTCTTCGTTTCTGTGGTTCCAATTGTAACCAGAAGAGCAAGCATCATGATGCGAGCTTTAAGATGCGAAAGATCTGATTTACATTTTTCAAATCTTCTATGAATAAATAATTGAAAATCATTGCTCTGACTGAATTAGTGTTTAACCTGCTTTGATCACGTTGTTACTTCCATGAATCTATGTAAATCTTCACGAACCCACTGTTTTCAGAAGATAAGTGATGAGTGTAACAAGTCGACTTATCGATTTTTTATGTGTTTGCTCTTGAAGCTTATGTCACAAGGGATTTCTCATCAGTACTGTCGACTATTCATTATTAATTCTATTCTCTGAACAGGTTCCATGGTAATTACTAATAACGAGGATGACGAGTAACATGGTTTTCCCCAAGTTGCATTGGGGTCAGTTTCCCAAAGAGCTCTTGGTTGAAATATTTAATTATTTGCCTGCTAAGGTTCCTTTGTACAGCAAGATTTAACCTGACTACTCTAACTTCTTTCAGGATCTTCTGAGTTGTATGAGTGTGAATAACTTCTGGAATTATGTCGGGAGAGAAGAGAGACTTTGGAAAAAGCTATTTCACAATGAATTTTTCTGGTTTTACTCCACACCTAAGGTAATCCAAGGTGTCTCTCTTCAGCATCATGTTTCTTTATTTAGATTTACGATAGCTTCCGTGAAGAGTTTTTATATTTCAAGCGAGATATGCCTCGCAAAGTTATTTTTTCTGTTGAGCATCAAGGTTATAGCTGGCAAGTTCCCGTCTTCTCTAATAATGGAAAGTTTCTGATAGTTTCCGGCAAACCTGCCAGCTTCTCGGTAGAATCAGCATATGAAAAAGACTGAAAAGTTTCCTCACAGGTTTATACAACAGATGATTTCGAGCTGATAGATGAGAGGTGTTTGAACTACTCGCTTGGATGGCTTTCAATTGATTCCATGTATTTTTCTCCGGATGACAGCAAAGTTTCCGACACTTACGTATAGTCATCAGACGATATCTTCAGGTTCTCATCAGCGGAACAAGGGAAGGAGATCCTGGAGAAGTTGCTGTTTTTTCTGTTGATGGTAGAGTCAACTGGTAGGCTTATCTTACAACACCTCTCCAGATGCCACCAAGAGAGTTCACTTCCTCTGCAGAGTTCTATCTTTCCCCAAGACCCTGGGAAGCTGGTTTGATAACGATCATATTCTTGTTGGAGAATACTATGAGTTCTGCTTCCAGTATCTTAACAGTACTGTTCACCTTAACACGATCATTCGTTCAGATCTCCCATCGCCTCTTCGATTTCTCAAATATACTTGTGTTCGCTACCCAAACACAAACACGATATTTCGAACTTCTATCCTTTCTTGAGGTAACTGATATTTATATTGGTTTACATGATGAGTTCAGGTTTCTTAATCAAAAATGTATGGTTCTAAATCCACTTGTTACCAGCACAGTGTCTTCAAGGTTTCGACGAGTTGTACAAATAGGGCAACAAGCTAAGCAAGAGGGGAAGGTATTATAGACTGTTCTCTTCAGTTTTGAATATAAAAATCTCAGACGTTGGCTGAAAAGCTACAAGAATTAGATTTGCACACGGATGGAGACAGTGGGAGTACCATAAAAGAACTCAGAGAGGTAAGAAGCTCTGACTTCCCACTCCATTCACAGTTGGCTTCTAGGTTCTCGATCAGGAACAACAGTGTTTCCGATGTTATTTGAAACATACCCTTACGAAAGAGGAATATGGCGGAAGTACAGGTAAGATCAATCATCTTATACTTTTAAAAATTAGTTTAGAATGTAATTGTTTATGTCATCAAGCTTACCATAAGATGCTCATTTACGTTACGGGTGAATTTCGAGAACGCATATGCTTCAAACTATTGGATCATGAGCTGGTCAATGATGCTTTAACTCTCAAACGATTCAAATTGCCAGAAAGCTCGTGAGTTCATCTGGTATAGGTCCCCATTTAATTTTCACGCAGGCCTAAGACAGACGAACAACCCGAAGATCGATGGGAATATATTATGAGCAGGGTAGATCAACCAGATCATCATATCGATTTTGGCGGTTGTGTAGTTCATATTTGGCTCTCACCCGATCAAAAGTACGTGAGAACTTGCAGTTCTTTAGTATATATTTTTATTCAGACAGCTGTTTGTGATATTGAAGACTGTAGCTGGAGATGGTGATATAGACGCTAATGGCATTTGCGTATGTGTTTTCGAAAGCTAAAGTGTCATTGAAGGATTTTTCAGAATGAAGTTCGCGTAATTGATCTTGATAAGATGATAGTCGATCCAATAGGATGTAGAGGAACACTAAAACCCTTGGGATCGGGACATGTATCTTGTGGATCGCGCTTGGCAGTGAGGTTTGTCACACAAAGGATAAGTCTCAATATGAAAGAAATGCTATTGTAGTTATGCGGAGAATGATATAAACATCTGGTCAACACATCATTTGGGGTTGCCGGTGAGCAAGCTTCATGTGGATCTTCCGATTAGCTCTGTTGCCGTTCATCCTTCCGGGAATTATTTGGCCGTTACATGTGGCTGTGAGCTACGCATTTATGATAAATAAAAGAATTTATTTATGAAATATCTTATAACAGGGTACGTAAGTTCACAATATAAGTTAAACTTGACCCTTATTAGGAGCGATAGAGAGAGGGAGAAGAACCATTCAGGGAAGTGGGAGGAGAGGAAGACGATGAACGATTAGTTGAAGAACAAATGTTTCTTTCAACTCAATAGCTTTAATGAACTAAGAAAAGCTTTCTTTGCCCAGACACTTCTGAATGGAGCTCATCGTAGCCTTCTGACGGGAACGTTTTCTGTTTATTGTTCAAGTATGTTTGTTCTTGATTTTGTTTTGAAAATTAATTTGATAGCATCTCATGTTGAATAATTGCTTAGCTCATCTAATCAGCAGCATCTCGTAGTCCTTCTTAGATGTTTGATGTGCAAATAAGGAAAGTAGGCGATAATCAATCAGTTTGGATTAACCTGCCTCCCAGTTACGCCATCTGCATTGACTCATTTCTCAAAAAACTCTTCTCTCATGTGTCATTTGCTCACAAAAGAGAGGACATGTCGATTATATCCTAAGGGCTTATCCATAAAGTCGCATTATCGTCCAGACGCATAATCGCATTTTCAAGACGCTTTCTTAAGTCTTTCAAAGGATTTTTTGAAATACTGAGTGAAAATAAGAGATAGAGCAAAAAGGAACATAGGAAGAAGGGGAAAAGCTTGCATACCAGCTCCAAATTTCTTTATTCTCCTCATAAGTTGGCCCACTGGCATCCTTTGACCGCTCTCGTTTGCATCGTTGCTTTTAAATTTATAAGAACGCCAAGCAGTTTTATTCAAAACGAGCTTAGAATGAGAAAGAATTTTCAAATTCCATAGAAGAACATGAAATACGATCTTCTGAGATGACAACGTTGGCTATGAAGATGACGTTTTTCATTGTCTCATTGCGCCTTTGCCTCTCATTTTCCCATTTGGCGTCTACGCATAGCTAAGCTATCATTCATTTTTATAACCAAAGTAACACTTGGAGATAAATTGAAATTGCTTGATGTTTATCCACTTTGCTACAATGTGTTCATTGGAGAGCTACAACTGCTCTTATGATTCTTTGTGCAGTGATATCATATTCAGCTTAAACTCATCGTTCAACTTGTGCTCGTTATCATGTGCTTCATCGAAAGCATTATGTCCTTCTATGACTTATTTCCGAAGCCTGAATCCAATGCTCACAACCAGCATATTGTTCTTTCAGTGTTTTCTTCATAAACACATTTGCAGAATGATTCAGCTGCCACAAACTTCCTAAAGGAAATTCTTTTAAACATTTCAATTGGCAGTTGGCCAATTGCAGTTTAGCTCATTCAACATCTTCAGTGAGTATACGTCGTACAGTTATACTAACCGTATATGTATAATGAGTGTTGAGAATGAAAATGAAATTCCATGGTTGTTCATAAATCCATCTCTCAATGTTTCACGTCTCCCTGACTCTTCCTCCTCTTTCTGACAATTTGACAAATACAAATTGGGCTGGTCAATGTCCGCTTTTACCACTTGAAGCTATTGCTCTTCTGAGCAATAGCAGTCAGTGTTCCAAGTCTTCGACAGATTTTCTTAAATACATTTCATTCTATTACCAATCTATTATCTTTCATAATATCATCATTCAACTAATCCATCCCCAAATAACCAAAAACAACGCTTTTTTCATTTTTCTCCGAAAATCTAATTAGATCGTTGTTCTTCATGATCATCATCATCATCATCATCCCATAAAGTTATTTCCTTATTAAGTCTATGGATTGAAGCGAATGATGCGCTGTCACTTCGATTCTCCTTTTTGCTTTTTTTTTTTTTCAAAATTAGGATTTCGCACGATTGTCCAAACATTTATCGATTTTCCTTGTTCTTGTACTTTGTTTGTCTTTTTCTATTGGTCATTTGAAAAAAAACTTCTCGAATACTTTTCTTTTTTCATTAATATTCTTCGCATATCATCTAATCTATTTGCTTTTCGTCCATTTGATGTTTATTGATATGCTAATGAGCTTACGTGGAAGTGACGTGACTTTGGAGAAGCTTCATTTGCACCTTGATATTTCGTTTGAACGGTTGTTTTCTTGTTTCTTTCTCTAAATCCAAATCTTCATTCTCCCCCTCCCTACTTACCCTCTCTCTTTCTCAACCCTCTCAACCCTCAACAACCGTTTTCCTTTGTTTTTGAACTTTGTGAGGTCTGAAACCATCTGCACACATTCGCTTTGATATTCTGTGGTTCTCTTAACACTTTCATTGAAATTGTTAGAAACGTTGGCCGTCTTTAACTATATGTGTCTCATAGTTCATAATTTATGTCTTTCTCAGTAGTCTTGAATAGTTTCGAAACAAATAGCTTTGTCCTCTACTAGGCTTCCTTTAAAGTAAAAATTCCATTGCTCATCATCCCTTTTTTGGATTACATGAAGATATGTTTTCGACTCGAACATGTACTTGGTGAGGATAAAAAAAACGAATAAACTACACACGGGGGTTTGGTTTAAGTCAACTTTCTCCCAAAACTATTTTGCTTCATTCGAAAAGACTGTGAGCTTTAATGTCCTTTCACGGCTGTTTCCCTTTAATCTACTTATCTACGGTCAGCTGATTCTCTTCTTTCTTGTTGTTTTTAGAAGTTGTAGGTTGTCGTCCAATCCCTTTCATTCTCTTTCAACCAAGAGAAGACGTTTCTCTCATCTAGCACTTATTTCTTTTTCAATTTTGGCACACAGCCTTGTCTTTTTTGGAAACTTTGTCGACAATCAGGACTGACATCCGGAATTCAAATTAAATTGAACGAGAAAGACGGGGGCAAAGCTAGTGGTCAGATGTCGATTGAAATGTTTGTTTATATAAGCGGTAGGCCATGAGTTACAAAGCTTTACAGTTGAGCTTCTTACAAGTATCATTTGGTTTTATCTTGTTATGTTTTATCTCACGATGTCATCTGTCAGTTGATACACTTCATTCGTTCACAATCTTGGATTCTCCTTATGAGCTTCTTCTACTCTCATTCACATCCCCTTTTTTGTTTAAAAACTCAACTTTCAATAATTTGTGGCACTCTGAAGTATTAAGGTACACAAAAAAGAATAGAGAGAACAAACAGATGAGAACAGTGGTACCAATTGAACACTAATTTGCTTTCCTTTTTTGAATTTTCACTTCTTCTACGTTTCTCATCATCCACTCTTCTCAGAAGTTTCTGAGCTTTTTGATTTTTCAGTAAAATAATCAGAAAATATCTTCAGAAAGGTCTTTCTGATGGCTTGCTTGACTAAACATTCGCCAAAGTTTCTTATGAAAACTAGACTGAGAGAAAAAGAAAGAGAGAGAGAGAGAGGTCCATGATAGATCCATGCAATTTCATTGAACGAGATAACTTTGAAACATTGTTCAATCTTTCAATGCAACATCCTTTTATCCTTAACTCTTATTAACTTTCACATTACATTCGTTTGCATGAGATGCTCTCTTTCCTTCAGTGAAGGGATAATCAATATGAGTTTCTTCAATTATATTAGAACCAACGTTTGTATAAAATTTTCTCTCAGCTTTGCATCTTCAACCCAGGAGCGGATGATATCCTTCCGCTCTCCGCACACCTGTATTTCCAGCTTCTTCACATTACAGTTCTTCGACCTATTTCATTTCATAAGGATCAGTTGTAATAGCTAAATCATGATAACTTACTGTTTCGGTCTGATTGTCGTGGAACTTATTTGCTTTGTGAGTATTTGGCTCCTGAGACAACTCTCCCAGTCTTTCTCTCTCTTCTTCTTCTCTCGAAATCCGTGCATGTGGACTTTGCGCTTTCAGGGCCTTCGGCTATTTTCTCAACTTTTATTGGCTTCTCCATAGATGGTTCAAAGAAAGAACTTCCTTTAATCTAACAGAAAAAATGATGGAACCTACTCTCTGCCCGTTCATCTCACTTCTCATTCAAGTACAAGTTGTAAGGATTTAAAGAGAGAAAAGAAAAGAATTAGAGAGAGAGAGAGAGAGAAAAAAGAGAGGGGAGAGTTAGTGTAAGTCAACCGGTTCATAACGTCTGCAAGTCCAGAAGGAGCATTTTTCCCTCACTCCCGTCAAGTTTGTTTATTCAAATTAGTTTTCATCAGTCACTCACCAAAAACATTTTTAGTGTTTTTGACTTATTATTAGTTTGTTATCAAAACGTTTATTATCAGTTTATAGTATACTAACTCTATAAGTTGTGGTTGTCCGTTTTTTGTTTTCTTTTTGTCTCATCAAGCATCAGACAGGTTCTTCCTTCTTCCTGCTTGCCTTTTACGACTTCTACTTTCTTCATTTTTTTTTGACATTTTTCACTTTTTGAGGACTCGTCTAGAGCGTCAAAATCGGGAAAACAGATGTCCGATGTGAAGAGATGGACAACTCTATCACTTCTTCCACCAGATTTTGTAGCTGAAATTGAGGTGAAAGCTTGAGGTTATTCAATTATAGTTTAGTATTCTTCAGTCATGTGCTGTGTTTGGAAGTTCTGGCAGTGAAGTCTTAATGATCACAAAAGACGATGAAGTATATGGATTGGGAACGAACTTCTGTTCATGTTTAGGTAAGTGTGTTTCTTGAACCTTCTCTCAACTATTGAATAATTCAGGAGCTCCATCAATATCAACATTGAATCCAATCAGAATCGAATGTTTATCAGGGAAACGAATCCGTCAGATATCATTCGGGTCTGGTCCTCATGTCATAGCATTGTCAGAAGTTGGCTCGGTTTACTCTTGGGGCCACAATGCTTTTGGACAACTTGGTAAAAACTTTGAATGTTTAAATCTAATTCGTCGAAACATGCTACAACTTCCACCCAACTCTCAATGTTTCCAGGCCTGGGTCATTCTTTACAAGGAACCTCACCCACTCTAATAGCAGGAATACTGAAGAATGAAAAGATTACGTTCATTTCCTGTGGTGGACATCATTCGGTAGCAATATCAGAGAAAGGCGAAGTGTTCACTTGGGGTATGAATTCGTCTGGTCAATTGGGATTGGGGGACACAAATAACCAAGATACACCTAAAATGGTCCCATTATACAACCGTCTGATCATATCCGCTGCTTGTGGGCATAACAGCACCGTCGTTCTTTCGCAATCAGGCGATGTACTTTCATTAACTCCTTCCCTATCATAATTTAGAGTTGCAGGTGTATGCTTGGGGTTTCAATGGGAATGGACAAATTGGCAGTGGATGTACTTATAATCAGCTGATTCCTTTTCACATAGAAAGTCTATCAAAATCTGGACCAATCATACAGGTTATCGTCAATTGCGACGAATTCAATATTTTTCTTCTAGATTGTATGCGGCTACGCTCATACTCTTGCCCTCTCTGATCAAGGAAAGCTCTATGTGTGGGGTTCAAACAGTTGTGGGCAATTAGGAAATCATAATCTGAGAAAAAACGTTGGAGAGCCTATTCAAACTGCCGAAGATCTTGGACTGTGAGTCATAATCCTTACTATCGTGACAATTGTTGTTTCAGGATAACAGAGGTGGGTGCTGTTCATTCATGCAATGTTACAGCTGTGTCTAACAAAAACGGAAAAGTTAGTTTTACCTCCCCAACAATCTCAAACGTATGTTTAGGTCTTCATGTGGGGTCATTTGAGGGGACAGACTGTCTCCGTGCCGATTGAGACCCGCTTTCGTAGAGTTGATGATTGTTTCTCTTGTTTCGCTAGTCCCGCAGTGAGCTTCCGAATGCTTTATTTTCGTAAGAGACACCGAAAATGTTCGATGCATAGAAATCTTCTTCAGAAAACTCTAGGCAGAAAACCATCTTGGACTCACTCAAAGTGGCTTTCGATGATCCGATTTCTTCAGATCTCGTCATTTCCGTTGAAGGCAACCGGATACATGTACACAAAGTATGTTGATGATTTTACTGCCAATTTTATAATGCTCTTGTTTATAGTCGTTGTTGAAAATCCGATGTGAATACTTCAAAACTCGACTCGGCGGTTTATGGGAGGAAAACAATGGAAAGTGAGTTGGCCTTCGTTACATTTCTCTTCAACTATCATGTTGCAGTATCATCGAAGTTAAAGACTTTCCCTTTTCCATTTACAAATCTTTCCTTTTCTGGGTTTACACAGACGAATTGACAGTTGATGGCGTAGAAGATGCAGTTGGTTGGGTCCTTGTACGTGCACGTTATAATCACCTACTGTTTCAGGTTTACTCGAGCTATCAAACTGCTACTGTGAGACAGTTTTGAAAACAAAATGTGCAAACTTCTTAGAAAAAGTGATTTCCATCGAGAATGCAGCACAGCTGTATGCCATTTCACTTAAGTACAATGTTCATACTTTGGAAGAGCACTGTTTCCGATTGTAATTGTCTGACTACTTGTAATATCATTGCAATTCTCTTTTACAGTTGTATGAACCACATGACAGCTGTGACACAATCCGAATCATTTCGTGTTCTGGATGACTTCTCCTTGAAACAACTCATTTCGAGAGCTTCCCGGGAAGGAGTGTTCAAACGCTGAGACTATCGAATGTACTTCTTTCCTGCTGGATGGAACCATTGGCTTCCTATCTTGATACTGGTATTTTATAAATCTTTCTTCAATTCCCTTCAGAATACTTCAAAGACTATTTATACCTTGTAGGTAACTGTTAAACAGAAATAAACTTTATACGACTTGACATTATGTTCTTTTCTTAATGAACTGTCGGAGATCGAACTTGGTCTTTAGCTTGTCGGAACCAGTTTGTACACTTTCAGATCTTACTAAGCTATCACACCTATTAAAGCTGTACCTGCAGATTTTCAAAAATCAATCCTCTATAACTCGTTTCTGCTCGTTATGAGGAATCGAACAAAAAAAAAACTTCTCAATTTGGTTGATTTTTGATGAAGTTGTGGCGTTTACCCTAATAGCACGTTTATCGCGTGCACCACCGCTCACCTCGGCGTGAAAAGTTCAAAATGAAACGTGAGAAGTTTCATTTTTTCACATAAAAAAAAAAAATTCCCGGCGTCTTATCAGGTTCATTCCGTGAGTGTGCCTTCTGGAGTGAGCGGTCGTGCATAACGAATCCAAACGCACAGGAGTATGTCATTCCAAAGCTCATAACTTCATCAAATCTTGACCGTTTTCTTTCAATTTTTTTTTATTTTGTTCCGGAAATCTCGATGATGCAGGCAAAGGGTTTACATGCTCTCAGAATCTTATAATTGATTTTTTTTGAAACATTAAACTCTGGATTCCTCAATTGAACTCGTTGATTCCACTGATTTAAGAATTGGTTTTGAAGATGAAATTCCGGAAAGCATTATCTCACTCGAACAGCAAGTTAGTGACTGAACCGAGTACTTCTTTATGAATAAATATTTTTTGTGTGTTGGGGGTTGGGGAAGGGTAAATCTGTTGCTCCGGATTGTTCGGAAACTTCGTTTTTTCGATCAAAATGAAG